TAATGTATACAGGGTTAATTCCGAAAGTGAAACTAGATGTACCGGCTGTGATATATATATATATATATATATATATATATATATATATATATATATATATATATATACACATTATATATATATATACATATATATATATGTATATATATATATATATATATATTATATATATATAATATATATATATGTATAAATATATATGTATTATATATATATATATATATATATATATATATATATATGTATTATATATATATATACATTATATATATATACATATATATATGTATATATATATATATATATATTATAAATATATAATATATATATATATATATATATATATATATATATATATATATATACGTATAAATATATATGTATTATATATATATATATATTATTATTATTATATATTTATTATTATATATATATATATATATATATATATATATATATATATATGTATAAATATATATGTATTATATATATATTATATATATATTATATATATATATATATATATATATATATATATATATATATATATATATATATATATATATATATATATATATATATATACATATATATATATATGTATATATATATATATATATATATATATATAAATATATATATATATATATATATATATATAAATATATATATATATATATATATATATATATATATATATATATATATATATATATATATATATATATATATATATATATATATATATATATATTTCCTGCTAAGACTCTTCTACAGCTTGTGGCCCGGACAACATGCCTGTTAAATTCTTGCAAAAATGTTCTCCGGAGCTGCCGTCTATACTTTCAAAACAATTCAACAAGTGCTTATCAGAGTCTTGTTTTCGAGCCTGCTGGAAAGCGGCATCTGTTATCCCTATTTTCAAAAATTCTAGAGAGCGATCTGATTTGTCTAACTACCGTCCCGTTCTATCATAAGCAAAGTTTTTGAATCTTTGATTTACATCTTGAATCTAAAAACTTTCTAATCTTCAATATGGATTTCGATCTTCTCATTCTGCAGCTGATTTGCTAACAATAATAACCGATAGGATATATTGTCCATTAGGTAAAGGTCAAGAGGTTAAGGCGATTGTTCTTGACATTTCTAAAAATTTTGATTAAGTTTGGCATGCTGGTCTTTTCCATAAGCTTTCTTATTACGGTGTATCTGGTAACATCTGTAAAATTTTTGAATCTTTCCTTTCCAATCGTAGTATTGGAAAGGAAAGATTCAAAAATCTTACAGATGAAAGTTGTCCTCGATGGACAGCATTCTTCTTCTTATTCTGTAACTTCAGGGGTTCCTCAAGGTTCAATCCTTGGCCTTACATTCTTTTTAATTTACATTAATGATCTTCCAGATATTCTTACATCTAAGGTGGCGTTGTTTGTTGATGATACCGCCATTTATTCTTGTCTTATTAAGAAGCTCTTTGATTGCTTGGAGAGAGCATTTGAGCTTGAAAAAGATCTCACTTCTGCTACAGCATGGGGCTCACAGTAGCTGATGAACTTTAATTCAGATAAAACTCAATTTTTTTCAGCCAATCGTTATCGCGATAATTTAGATCTTTCTATATTTATGAACGGTAATGTACTTGATTAATCATCTTCCCTTTCTCTTCTAGGATGTACTTTTACTTCCAATCTTTCTTGGAAACCATATATGAAATCCGTTGCAAAATTAGCATCAGCTAAGGTTGCATCTCTTTATCAAGCTTGACACTTTTTTACTCCGGATTCTATTCTCTATTTGTATAAATCTCAAATCCGGCATTATATGGAGTACTCTTGCCAAACTTGAGCCAGATCTACTAATAATGCCCATTCTTTTTTAGACATGGCACAAAAGCGCATTGTAAACATAGTTGAACCTGGTCTTGCAGCTATCCTCCAACCATTATCACATTGTCGTAATGTTGCTTCTCTTTCTCTTTTCTAAAAATATTATAATGGGCACTGCTCTAAAGAACTAGCGTCTCTTGTGCCATCTACTAAATCTCATTCCCGTGTTACTCGTCATTCAATTAAGTCTCATCCTTTATCTGTGTCTGTTCCTAAGTGCTCTAAAAACTCTTATTTCTCTAGTTTTTTTCCTCGAACATTAGTTCTTCGGAATTCGTTTCCTTCATCTTGCTTTCTTGATTTATATAATTTGTAATCTTTTAACACTCCTAGTCGGCGTTTATGGGGACATGTTTTTTTTATTCCCGTAATTTTTTTTTTAATTTTTTTTTCAATTATTTTATCATACTTATAAATTTTTTTAATTTTTAATTTTATTTCTATTTTTGTTATTTTTATTTATTTAATTTATATTACATTTCATTTCTTTTTTCATCTATATACAAAAACAGTAATATAACCATTTAAACTTTGCTGTAACCCTACCCCTAAACCTGACTTTAATGCTGACCCTAACCAAACCCTCAGTCGATGTAGCAGCACTCTGTTATCGGTCAGGTTATTTGATAGTCAATGTATGTACTTGTCGCTTTGTATAAAAAGTTTACAGGGACTTTTTTTTACAAAAAACAATGCTTACGGGAACAAAAATTTAACGGAAACACAAAAATGTCCCGATAACGCTAATATTCTTGTAAGTATTCTTTTTTTTTTTTGTGTAAAATCTGTCCCCGTAAGTAATATAATAAGTGTGTGTGTCTATAAGTATATATATATATATATATATATATATATATATATATATATATATATATATATATATATATATATATATATATATATATATATATATATATGTGTGTGTGTATATATATATATATATATATATATGTATATATATATATATATATATATATATATATATATATATGTATATATATACATATACATATAGATATATATATATATATATATATATATATATATATATATATATATATATATATATATATATATATATATATATATGTATATATATATGTATATATATATATATATATATATACATATAGATATATATAGATATATATATAGATATATATATATATATATATATATATATATATATATATATATATATATATATATATATATATATATATATATATATATATATATATATATATATATATATAGATATATATATATATATATATATTTATATATGTATATATATATATATATATATATATATATATATATATATATATATATATATATATATATGTATATATATATATATATGTATATATATATGTATGTATATATGTATGTATATATATATATATATATATATGCATATATATATATATATATATATATATATATATATATATATATATATATATATATATATATATATATATATATATATATATATATATATATATGTATATATATATATATATATATACATACACAGACACATTAAAAAAAAAACTATCAAAACGAGACTATTTCATGCCAGGAGCAGACAGCCTGCCGCTTGCGATCGAAGTTACTCATTTAGAGTGAGATCTTGGAGTCCTTATATCAGATGATCTTAAACTTAATTCTCAAGTTTCAGCAGCGTGGTTAATGCTAACCACTCTTTAGGGAGGCTGAAAAAACTTTTCGCAGCCGTAGTTTTTTACTGTGGAAACAACTGTATATCACGTGTGTTCGTCCTCACCAAGAGTACGCTATCCAAGCGTGGTCACCGTACCAACGACTAGACATAAAAGCGCTAGAAAAATTTCAAAACCGTGCTTCAAAAACCATTTCTGAGATTAAGCATCGCAGCGCCGAGCAGCGAAGAGTCATGTTAGGTCTTACGACACTGCGACAAGAAAGAAGAATAAGCGGTGATTTAATGTTCAAGTTCATGCGTGAAATCGATGAAATAAACTTTCATGTTCCATTCAATTGTCCTTCGTCGTCAAAGTATATTATGCGTGATCATAATCAAAGACTTGCACTGCAAAGTGTACTCAATTGCATACCAATAGAGAAATTTTTGACAAACCGTGTTGTTGTACAATGGAATACCCTGCCGCAAATAATAATTGACGCGACTTCGATGAATAAGTTCACATCTTCGTTGGTAATGTAAAATTAGCGAACATTTATGATTTTTTAAAAGTCTATAAATTTATTATGGATTTTTGTAAATATTTTAAATTACACAGGTCAACAACAAAAAAAAAATTTTTTCTGGTGCCGAGCAAACAATTTGTTTTTTGTATAGCATTTCTCATTTTGATTTCAAATATGCAACTCATTTTTCACCATCACCTCAAGTTGTAAAGATATTTGGGTTTAAATCTTTAGTATTTGGGGTAAAGTCCCTGATATTGTCGAAAAAAATTATTCAAAAGTATGTCAACCCGGATCTCAAAAAAAAACGTATTTTTGCAAAGATTTTTAAAATGTTATTTGTTTGTAATAAAAATACGTACTTTTTGTATTATTGCTGAGAAACATTTTGTTAAAATCTTATTAAAAGTCTTTAGGATTTTTTCACATATTTTTTTTTTGTCAATAAAATTTAAAAAAAAATGTAATGTTTTCGAATAATCTCTATAAAAATACGCTTCTTTTGAGATCCAGGTTGGCATACTTTTAAATAACTTTTTTTTCGACAATATTAGAGATTTTAATCCCAAATACTAAAGATTTGAACCCAAATATCTTTACAACTTAACGCGATGGTGAAAAACGAGTTGCATATTTCAAATCAAAATGAGAAATGCTATACAAAAAACAAATTGTTTGCTCGGCACCAGAAAAAATTTTTTTGTTGTTGTTGACCTGTGTTAATGATCACTAAAATAAACTGCAATAAACTATATATATATATTATATATATATATATATATATATATATATATATATATATATATATATATATATATATATATATATATATATATATATATATATATATATATATATATATTTATTAAAAATGTTATTTAAATTTTATTATATACCTTTGAAAGGAAAAACTTTAAAATGGAAAAACTTGAATATCGAGCATATATTAAAACCACTGCTCTACTTGGAGTTTCAGCACAAGCCATAACCGATGAATTGGTTTTAGTTTATGGTGACTTAGCTCCAAAATATAGTACAGTTGACAAGTGGGCTACTTTATTTAAAGATGGTAGAGAGAGTCTTGAAGATAATCCTCGCTCAGGGCACCCTAAAACCACGTATACAGCTGAGAATATTGAAAGTGTGCAAGCCATTATTGAAGAAAATCCGTATGTAACACATGATTTAATTGAAGCCCTGACATTGATTAATCGTTTTACAATCAACGAAATCATTCACAACGTACTTAAAAAAAGAAAACTAACATCACGTTGTATACCCCACGAGTTAACCGATCAAAATAGAAAGAATAGAGTTGAGGCATGTAAGGAAAATTTAGCTCTTTTCAGAAACGGCCTATGGAGGTTATGTGATATTGTTACAGAGGATGAGTCGTGGTTTTATTTGAGACAAGTTGGACACAAGTCAGCTAACGCTAGGTTTCAGCCGAAAAGCATGTTCTACATCTTTTTCAAAACAACAGGTGTTGTTCATTTGGGTTATGTTGAAATTGGAGACAGCATTACTAGCAAATATTATATAAAAAATTGTTTGAAACCTCTTATATTCGAAATAAATAAGCGAAAACCTAAAACAGCCACTCACAATTTCAAATTTCTCCGTGATAACGCTCAACCCCATGTAACTTAAACCGTCACAAATTGTCTAAACCAAGCTGGAAATACAATAATTTGCTACCCACCATACTCACCAGACTTAGCTCCATCCGATTATTGGTTATTCGATAAAAAAAAATCTTGATGACGGTACTGACGTCAAAAGCCAAAAACCCGCATAACAAAACTTGAAAATATACCCAAAGAAGAGTATAAAAAAACGCTACACAAATGGGTTGAAAGGATGCAACTTTATATAAATAATGATGGACATTATTTTAAACATTTCATAAAATAAATATTAAAAAAACTTTTTTGTTTTATTTTTTATAGGGGAGTTCTACGAACTTTCCTAACGGATTAACTATAACCAAATTTAAATAGAATAGAATGAGACAATCGAATTTTTTATTGATCGAAGCTGTTTAGAATCGAACTTGAACTTTCTATCTTGTATAGAATCATTTACAGTCAACTTTTTTATTTTAGTTATTAAAACTTGTTTCAGTGGAAAAATATTGAACCACCATCTAGAGCAGAATCTTCTAGAATCGAATCAGTTAAGTAAATTAAAAGTATGCATAGTATATATTTTTTTATGTTTACGTACAATTTTGCAACAAATAAAATATATTATTTTCGAAAATAATAAAAACTTTTTTTTGCAGAATTATGTGCACTGGTTTTTGTGTTAAAGGTTAACATCTTTAACACAAAAACCAGTTTGAAAAAACTGGTTTTTGTGTTAAAGGTTAAAATGTTGTCTTTCAACTGCAACAACATCACATATACATTAAAATTACAATTGCAAGAAAATTCGATTGTAAAAAAATTCGATGCTAAATTAATCGGCTGTGAAAAATAATTCAGTTTTTAGTTTCATTGAACTTTTTATGATATTCGATCTTCTTATTCCATGTTCAATAAATTCGATTCTAGAAATTAATCAAATCTTTTTCGATTCTAAGCAGTTTTTAGTCAATTCGGTTCTAGAACATTTTCACAAATTTTATTGGCATTGGATGCCAATAAAACTATGTAGTTGTAAGTAAACTCGCAGAAGACAAAGAGAAGTCTTTACATCGAAAACTTTTAAAATATAAAATTACCAAAAAATTTATAAAGCACAAAAAAATTTTGAGGTCTACTATATAGTACTAAGTTGTTAACTTCATTTATGCTGTTTTTTTTTTTTTAATTTTTATTATTATTGTTTATCTTTTACAATAAAATTTTTTTGATAAAATTGGTTTTTCATGGAAAAAAATTATCCATTTTACAATTTTTTTTAACTCAGTTGATCTAAATGATGAAAATATTTGCTATAAATATAAAATTATGTATATTATTGCAGTTTACATATGTATTTTAATGCCTTATATATAATTTTATGTATTTTTATATGTATTATTTTCCTCGACAGATTATAAACAAGTTTTACAATGAAAGCTAAACAACGAAAGACTGTCATTACGGTATTAGGAGTCTTCCAAATCTTATTTAGTATATGTTTGATAGCCATTGGTATATGGGGTTTTGTAGTATGTCCAGCTCCAGTCGGAAAGACAGGTGCAGTGCCATTTTGGATAGCTGGAATGGTAAAAATTTATTATATAGCATTAGTTTATTCTACAAAATTTAATATTTCAATATTTTATTAATTTTTTAGCTTTATATCTTTTTCAAAAATAAAATTTTTTCTTTCATGCAACTTTATTTCGTATGAAAGTAAAGTTAAGAAAAAATTTAATTCAATTTTAGTTAAATTTTTTTTTTTTTAATTTTATCTAGAAGTCCTTACGGTTTTATTACAGAGCACCGCGGATGAGCATTTAATTGGAAGTTCACGCCTCCTTCCTAACCAATGTCGCAAAACTTGCCCAGAGGTAGGGGTTTGAACTGTGGATCCTTTGTTTCTGAGGCAAGTGCACTACCATTGCCCCACGGCTGCTCTCACTATTAACAAATAATTTGCACGGAATTATTAAAAAAAAAATTATAAAATATGTTTAAAAATATTTTGAATTTATGAAGCATGGCCATGCCATACTATGGTACTTTTGTAAACTATAAAATGGTATAGTTTACAAAATAAATAATATTTATTATCTTATACTTTTTTATTTTAGTGCTTGTTTAGTGGTTATGTTGCAATATTTTTTCCTAGAAATCGCACCAATATATGGGTATAAATTTTTTTTAGATATATAAACAAATGAACAACAAATTTATACATTTGGGTTTTTTAATATTATAATTAAAATTATATACTTTTTTAATGTTTATTTTAGATATACCTATTAATATGTACATGTGTTATAAGTTGTATCGTATCGGCCGTTGTGACCAGCTGGATGTTTGTCATGTCACTTCGAGCGACAAATAATAGCGATTTAGTATTTTATGCTCTCGTGATGAGTTTTAACATTTTTATTATGTTAAATACAGCAATTTTATCAATTGTTGCGAGAATAGAAGCAGAGGTTTCTTTCTTAATATCCTCACCAATTGCAATGGTAAGATGTAAAACTGCGTTTTTTTGAACTTTTTAAATTACTTAAATTATATTTTTTAATTAATTTATAAAGTTAACGTTATTAAACATGTTTGTTTGTATATTAATTATAAAAAAGTTATAAAAAAGTTGCCACAACCCAGTGGGCGCGGGACCTAAAAAAGAAATAAAAATTAAAATTTTTTTTAAATGTTCAAAAGACGTCCAAAACGTTCAAAAGACGTCCAAAACTTTCAAAAGACGTCTTTTTTACGTCCCGTGTCCACTGGGAAGAAGAAGAAATTATTTTTTCTTAATAAGTGTAAGGAATGAGATATCTTAAAATTCTTCAAAAATCAATTTATTTTTTCAAATTTATTAGTCAACCCGAATTTGAAAATCATTTTTTTAAAGATTTAGTTCTTGAGATATTAAACCTTCGACTTTGATAATATTTGATTTGCATAACAACACGCATAGCAACGGAAAGGATTGAGACATTTTAAAAAGAATTGCAAACTATTTTGTAATATTTTGCAATTAAATAAACTTTTTAAATAAACAAATTTGTTAAATAAATCATTCAGAGTGAAACAAAGCACTAAAATTAAAAAAGTAAAAAATTCAAAAAAAAAATTCTGGTACATCTATTTCCTAGAAATAGATGTACCAGAAATTTGCTAAACGATTCAACTTTCTTAGTCTCTTATCAGATTTGTCAAACTTCCTTACACTTAATTCTTCGTTAAATTTTTCCATATCTATTCCCAAAAAAAAAGTTGAAAAGATTTAGAAATAATAACAACAAAATAAAAACAAAATTGTTGGTTATTTTTGATAAACTGGTGCATTAAGCAATTGTGTTGCAAAAAATCAGCTTTTTTTGGTGCTTAAAGTAATTTTCAGATATGGAGCAAATTTCAAACTTGGGTATGTTTTTGCTTATATAAAATAACTTTTTTTTGCAAAAAATTATAAAGATTGGAGCTGAGAACAATAGTACTTCTAAAACTTGAACCCAACCCTAAAACTTGTACCCAATCCTAAATATGAGGTTTTAAGTTATTGAGTTTTATCAAACTTCAAATTTCATTCAAAGTTTTAATGTTCGAAAGACCATGTAAAGTTTAATACCTGCCAATTTTATGAAATCCCATACAAAAAAAACAAAAAAACAGTCAAAATATATAAATTTTAAACAAAACAGTTTTGAATCAAAACAACTCTAAAATATAATTTAAATATATTTGCTTTCCATTAGATACGAAGATACGTTGAAAATATTTTACATTATTACCCGTTTTAAAAATTTATTATTTATAACTTACGTTTATACTTCGTCATAAATTTTATTTTAAAAATTTTATTAAAATAAGATTTTAAAATAAGAATCTTAAACAAATTTTTAAAATTTTGCACATTTTTATGGGCTAATAATTTAATTCTGTGTGCAAAAGGAAAAAAAAAAAAAGAAAAAAAGGGAGATGAGTCAAAAAATGTCAAAAATGATTTATACACGGCGTTCGAATAATAATATTAAGTATCAAGTTTAAATGTTTAAATTTTAAATATCCTTTCAAAAAATGAGCACTCGATTCATTATACAAGGCTTGAAACCATACTTTTCAAAAAAATTACAAATGCGCCAATTTTATATTGCTTCTGCTGTAAAGTAACATTTCATGATTTATCTCCTTTTTCTTTTGCACACAGAACTTACATATATGTAAAATAATTAAAATCTAATTACTAATAAAAACTAATTAAAATTAAATTCTAATTAAGGTAGTACAGTTTTGTGTAACTGATTTTTTTAATCTTTACTTTTATTTAGAGATCAACTTCTGTTATTAACCGTCACCCATCGTCTATCGATCCTCCCCCGTATACGAATGGTAGTTTTCAATTTGGAAACGTAGACTTTTTGCAATCAGAGCCAACAGTCGATGCTCCACCACCATATGAACCGTAACACTTTGTTTAAACCAGAACCAACTTAAAAAAGACAGCCCAACTTGTTAATAAAGAAATTATTGAACAAATATAAATTAAAAATAAAAAGGTTGAGAGCCATATGTTACATTTTCTAGCAAAATTGCTCTTGAAGAACATTATTTAAAAGAATTCTTAAAAGTTATTTTAAAATGTTTAATACAAAACTTTCATAAATGTTTAATATAATATTGTCAAAAAAATTTTTTTTATTATAAATTTAGTTGTTTAGTAGCATTTAAAAAAGATTTGTTACAACCAGTTTGCTCCAGGTGCTTAATACAAGGTGGAATAGAAATAAAAAATTGGGTAAAGATGTTTTTGTCTAATAAATAGGGAGGAAGGAGGGGCAGGGGAAGGGAAAGGAATCTAATAAACTCATAAAAATAACAATTTTATTTTTATCAGTGATTTAAAATTTTTCAATTTTATAGTCAGGTTACGCTGAAAGTTTTTATCTATTTTAGTTTCGACAGTTTTCTTTGTTGATATCAAGTAAAAATTAATAAACGGGGGCTCTTAATAAGTTTTCGGTGGGTGAGAAATTTTTCCTGAAATTATCAAACGTCCTTGCGTATATTAAGCACCTGAAGGTAATAGAAAAATAAAAAGTTGAAAAAGTCCATATCTATTTTTAACAAACAAATTGATAAAAAAAAAGATAGCTCATAATGTAAATCACATAAACGTAGTTTCTCTATGGGCAAATCCTTGAAAGATACTATTCACTTTTTTTGAATCATAGCATGAGTTAGATTTGATTTAAACGTTTTTGATTGTGTTTTAAATCTATTTGTGCCGATTTTGTTGTTAGTAATAGAAAGATCAAGATAACTTAGTTTCGTTTCTTAGTAATACTTATAAATATAATTTCTATTGTAGATTTAATAATATTATGGTGTTTATTGGATAGATCTAAAAACTTGTGTACGTCTTCATTACTTGGAAATCAGTATGTCATCCGCATATCAGTAAAATAATTTTTTGAATATTACTTAATAAGTGCCGAAATTAATAAAAGCTACAGTAAAAGAACCTTATTTTCATGATATGATAGATGAGCTTTATTTATGCTGGTAGATATGCAACTATACATTTAATATGGTGCGAAAACAAAATGGACGACTCACACAGAAGAACATTTAACTACACCTTTTTAAGATGTAATTGAGAACTTGAAAATTGTAATTAAGAAAAGCAAGATGTAATTGAGAAAATTAAAGTTGTAAATAAGAAATCGTAAAATGTAATTGAGAACATGATAGATGCAATTAAGGAAAGTATAAAAAATACAATGTTCTTTGCATTTTGAATTTTGTAGTCCTAATATACTTTGTAATTTAAGGCTGGAAATAATATTAAAATAATATAAAAAGTCATGAAAAAGGCATTTGAGGTTCAGGCAGTAATTGGAAAAATCCTATTGGGTGCCAATTAAAACTTTCTTTTATTTTTGTGAAAAATTTAATTAAGATTTCAGATGAATAATAAATAAAATACAAATAATTTATTTACATAAAAATTTAAAATTTAAATTTTTATGTAAATAAATTATTTGTATTTTATTGTATTTGAAATTATTTGATTTTTAATGACGTTGTTTTAAGAATTTAAACAACGTCATTAAAAATCATTACAGTATTCAATTTAGCACCAACTTGGACGTCTTCTATATTTAAAATCGTTGCGTAATGCGTGGTCGTGTGTTGTATAACGCGTGTACAATCAATTCCCATTATTGTATTTTTTGCCGAAGTAACAATTCTTTACAAACACTGCATTCGTTGTTCCATAATCCCAGCACCAAATAAAGGTGGAATGCGAATCACATTTTTAACGTTAATTTTCATTTTGGACCAGATAGTTTCCACTGGGTTTAACATGACTGTAGGGTCCTAATCGTAATAACTGAGCCGGCAAATTTTCAAACACCCGTTCCAAACAAGCGTGACATAGAGCATTGTCTGTTATGACGACCAAATCCTCTAAACGATTCCCGGATGTAAACCACTTGTTAAAAAGTGGTTTACAAAGCCAACATCCACTCGTCACAAGAATCTGCTTTACATTATCCTTTGCGAGTTTCCATCATGATGACATTTGTTGTTGATACAGCTGCACTCAAATATGTGTGTATGTCAAATATGTGTGTATGTCAAATATGTGTGTATGTCAAATATGTGTGTATGTCAAATATGTGTGTATGTCAAATATGTGTGAATGTCAAATATGTGTGTATGTCACCTTTTGAAGAAGGTATTTTTATTATTGCTCTTTTTCCCTGTTTTTCTACGCCCTTGCGTTTTTCTACGCCCTTGCGTTTTTCTACAAAAAAAGGTTAAAATTTGTTTTATCCCACCCAAACTATCTGATGACCATTTGTGATGTGTTCGTTAATGTTCCTAACATAGTTCCCAACCTATTCAGCTTTTTTTTGTTTGTTCTCATTACTTTTCAATGTAGTAGGCTCCTTGTGCACTTTTTAAAATGAAAATAGTCTGCCTTCGAGGTGATTCGCAATTGTGTTTGTGCTGACGCTAATATTAAATTGTCTTAATATCCTTATTTTAATGGCCACGAATGTCAACTGACAGTCACTTTCAATCCATATTAGTGTTTCTTCGATTTGATTATCGAATAATTTTTTTGATTTAAAACCACCTCTTCTATTGAAATTTAAATATCCGCTGCAAACTCAATTGTATGCTGTTTTATATTTGGCAAGTAAAGTTGTCATCTAATCGTCATTTCGCTTAGCACATTCAATAATTCTTCCTTTATCATTCGATTAAGATAAAACGAATGTTTTCTTTCAACTTGTTTAGTTGTATGCATTTCATGTCTACAAATTAGACAAGTTGGTTCTGGTTGTTCCAGAAGTGGATGTAAACAAATTTGGTGAAATAAATGCATGCACGGATTTAATTTATTAACAGACTATCTGTTTATTGACAAATAACACAACGATCTTTTGATTCCATCACTGTATTGCTGGTGCATTCAAGTACTAAATTTGATATTTTTAACTCATTAAAATGCATGTCCAAGAAGATCTTTTATAATACAACCTTTAAGTTTACATTGTGAATTCGGAATTACAAATAATGTATTCTCATTAACATGTTACGATTTCTTAATAACAGCTTTTGTTTTTCTAATTACAAATTGTGATTTCTTATTTACATTTTGGGTTTCTCAATTACATTTAAAAATTTCCTCTTTTTATGTTGTGTTTCTTAATTACGAATTTCGATTTGTAAATTACATGTTGTATTTCTCAATTCCATGTTACGATTTCTAAGTCACATGTTGTATTTCTCGATTCCATAATACGATTTCTAAGTCACATGTTGTATTTCTCGATTCCATATTACGATTTCTAAGTCACATGTTCTACTTCTCAATTCCATATTACGATTTCTAGGTCACATGTTCTACTTCTCAATTCCATATTACGATTTCTAAGTCACATGTTCTACTTCTCAATTACATATTACGATTTCTAAGTCACATGTTCTACTTCTCAATTACATATTACGATTTCTAAGTCACATGTTCTACTTCTCAATTAAATCTTACTTTAATTACAACTTTCAAGTTCTCAGTTACATCTTTAGAAAATTCACTCCTCTTTACTTACCGATAATACGAGTATTATATGGTAACTGGCATTGAACTGCTCGATTCTGAAGAATACGCCTATTTTATTTTCTATTATTTCCAAATCTTATTTTATTTTTAATTTTTCTTATTTTATTTTCTATTAATTCCAAACCTTTCCGCAATTAAGTGTAGCATTTAAAAAAATATCGCTTTTTCAATCTTTAAAACGTTCAGAAAAAAATACAACGTTGCAAAATCTATTTTAAAACGTTCAGAAGTCACAAAATACAACGTTGCAAAATCTATTTTTTCGAATTTAAAAATTTCACAACAGTCAAAATTTAATGAGATTTCAACTAGGGTATAAAAAATTACTTGGGTGTAAAAAAATAAAATAAAAAGTATGCGAGAATAAAAATTTCATACTAAGCTGACGGATTATAAACGGTATGAGTCAGTACTGATACAAATTTATTACGAACTATATTTATACAAACTTTGTAGTTTAAAACAAAAACTTTAATAATTTGGAAAATTCTTGTCAATTTGTTTGCTCCAACTTAAAAAACCACCTTTTATATCCTTAATATTTTCGCATTCAGTTTTGATGTACTTTTCACGCTCAGTAAGAAAGTAGAGTACAGCTTTCTGAGAATCGTTTCCTCTTCTGCAAACAATGTACACTACATATAAAAATATGAACCATTAATAAAAACATATTTCCATTAAAATAAAATCAAAGAAAAAAAAATAAACAATTTGTTATATTTCAAAATTAGTTTAGAAACTAATATTTTAAAATACAAAACGAAATAATTCTAACAATAATAATCATTAGAATTAACCTTGATTTATTTTTAACTTTTAAGAGCAAAAATGAGCGTATAAATGAGGCGCATGACTCCTGGTATTAATACCAGTGGTTTAAAAAAAAAAAAAGTTTTAAATTTTAAAAAAATGTTTAAGTTTACACTTATAAAGTTTCCATACTTTTCATGTGTAATTTAATAATCTAATTTACTTTAAATTCTTGAATTTACACATGTCTCACTAATTTAGACAAATAAGTCTTTTAAATACTGTTCTATTTTTTTGGGTTTTACTGTGTAATAAATGTTAATATTAAATTAAAGATGTGGAGCCCACAATCCAATGAATTTTCTTTATCGAAAATTTGCTGCCGACGTTGCTTTTAACGTCATCAAAAGATGAAAATAAGAAATTTAGGATTTAAACTTGGAACACTGCACAACAACTTGTGTTTGTTATGAATGTTATATATTATCTGCTAAACAGATACATAAAAAAATTAAAGCTTTTAAGAAATTTTAAAAATACAAAATAAAAAGTTTAGTGGTTGCACAAACTAATAACTAAGGCTTGTACTTTTAAATTACAAAGATACAAAAGTTAAAAAAACGATTGGCATCAGACTGATTATTACTATGGCTGCTAAGTATGCGACTACAAACCGATGCAATGGTGCATCCTTAATATAGACATACACACGCACACACACATACAAAAGCATTCCGCTATTGTTAAACATATTTTTTAAAACATTTCATTAAAATTATAATTAGGTACACACAGATATATATATATATATATATATATATTTTATTCAACCAATCAATAAAATTTACAAATTTCATCGTAAATTAATATAAATTGGTTAGGTGTCACTCATATAGTTACAAACTAGTTAATGGAGTGACACCTAAAAAACATAAAAATTTCACGAAAAAATAAATAAAAAAAAAGAAGAAAAGAAACAAAAAACAAAAAAAAAAAACAAAAAAACAAAAAAAAGCAAAAACTCAACATCTGTATATATAAATAAGAGAGAAAAGAAGAAAAGATTGTTAAACAAATAATAATGATATTTGTAATAATAATAGTAATAATACAAAATAATAACAATAATAATAAAGTACCAATAATATTAAGAATATTATAATACAATATAAATTGTACGTACAAATCATAGATAATAATTAGATATAATAATAACATAAAATGTAACATTAATAACACAATAATAAATAAATATAAGATAGGTAAATAATAAATAAAGTAAAAATCAAACCACTTGTTCGTTAAAGAGATTATATATTGAAGACAACTACAGTACAGAGAGAAATTATAAAGAAATACACTCCAACAATATATTTTTAAATTGAATTCTGTAGAGCAGTAAAAAATTCGTAACAAGTGGATATTTTTTCTTAGACTTTTTTATTAATGCAGGAATACACTGGTTCCATTGAGAAATACATTGTTGTTTTATGGAAAACTTACCATATTTGATTGTGTTGAAAAAAGAATAGTATAGCTTACTATTTTCTGTATTCCTGGTGTGATGATTATGAACTTCGTTTGTTTTAATAAAAAAATTTGAAAAAGGGCTTGGTAGTTTATTTTGGAGAAAGTCAACCCAAAAAGACAATTGTAAAACTTTACAAGATTATGGAGTTTTAGGATTTTTAGTTCAGAAAATATTTTTTCGATATCAGATCTCATTGGGGAAAACGTCATTATTCTAATAGATGCGCGTTTTAAAGTAGCAATGTTATTAAGTAAAAAGTTTTTTTTTTGACCCCAAACAATACAACAATAGCAAAGGTGAGAAGAGAATAAAGAAAAATAAATCATTCGAAGAGTTTGGATAGGAACATAGTAACGAATTAGAGAAAGCATACTGTTAGCTCGTGTAAGTTTTTTTTTTTAGATGATACAGTTGATTACCAAGATTTTCATCAAGATATATTCCAAGATACTTTATATATTTTGATGGAAAAAGTTTTTTACCGTTAATTTTAATTTTAGTATGATCAATAGTTTTTTGAGGGGAATGAAAAATAATGTATTCAGTTTTATTGACATTCAAGGAAATACGGTTACTATTTAACCAGTTACATAAGCGATGAAGATCTTGATTAACTTTTTTACAAAGAGTCGTGAGGGATTTGTTGATATATAAAAGATTGGCATCGTCAGCATAATGATGTATCATAGAATTTTTTAACGAACAAGATAAATCATTTATATATAATAAGAACAACAACGGTCCAAGAACGGAACCTTGTGGAACGCCATACTTAATAACTTTATGTGTGGATTCAAATCCGTAATATATGAAGAAAACCAATGATTAGCAATACTACGTATTCCGTAGTAGTTTAACTTTTTTATTAGAATGTTGTAATCAAAAGCTTTTTGAAGATCTATGAATACACCACAAGAAAAAGAACAACTGTCAATCGCACCACAAATCATTTCAGTAATGCTAATAAGAGCGTGAGAAGTGGAGTGATTTGAGCGAAACCCAAATTGTCGAATATGAAAAGAAGCAGAATTATTCAAAAAGTTGTAAATACGAAAATACATAAGTTTTTCTAAAAGTTTGCTGACATTTGATAATAATGAAATTGGTCTGTAGTTATTACATTCAAGTTTTGAGTCTTTTTTATGAATTGGGATAACAGAAGCAGTTTTTAAAATATCAGGGAATACACCGGTTGTGAATGACAGATTAAATAGTTCAGAAAGTACAGGAGAGATATCATTTGCAAGAGCTTCAAAAATAGATATTGAATGCTGTTAGGTCCCGAAGCCTTGCTGTCATTAAGAGAATGAATAATTGATAATACTTCGTTTTTGTCTGTAGGTTTTATGAACATTGAATTAAGATTAGGATTTTTAAGATATTTATTAAAGTCAGTATTGGATGAGTGGATCTTATTCTGTAAATCTTCTGGAACTGAAACAAAAAATGAATTAAAAGATTCCGAAATTTTAATGGGGTTGTATATCATGGAGTTGGTAGAAGATAAGCATGAAGGAGATGAGTTAACTCTCGAACTAATGTTTAAAAGGTTTTTAATACCATCCCATGTAGATTTCAAATTTTTGGCATTGTCAGAGAAGAACTTAGAGTAATAGTTCTTTTTACTACGACGGGTGAGAGTAACAAGTAAGTTTCTATATGTTTATAAGATTTTTCTAGATTGAGTTTGTTATTAGGATTCTTTGCTTTAAGAAATTTGTTAAATATTTTATTTCGCATTTTAATAGAAGTTAAGATTCTTTGTGTTATCCAAGGTTTGAGACCCCTTGATAAGCAGCGATTGCTGACTTTTTTTAATGGTGCATGTTTATCTAAAAGAGAATTAAAACTTGAGAAAAACTCTTCAAATGACTTATTAGTCTTACCTTCGTTGACATTGATTACATTAGTCCAGCTATTTTTTGAGAAATCACTACATAATTCGACGCAATTTATTTGTTTTAAATTTCGACGAAAAATGCGGCTTTTACGAGTATTAATTTTGGTTCTATAAAATGGATGTATGGGGCACCGTAGAAGTAAAATTACCTGCAAAAATATTTGGAGAAGTTGCATTAGAAAATATGTTATCAATTAGAGTTTTGGAATGATTTGTGATTCTTGTTGGCAATGAAATAAAGGGAAGAAAGTTATTTAAAGCAATAGTGTCTAAAAATTTAAAGACAGAATTATCTGAGTTTGCTAATAAAAGATCGACATTAAAATCGCCTATTAAAAAAATAGTTTTGTTTTTTTCCATAGATAGCTTTTCAAAAAGTGGAATTAAATATGATTTAGTAAATTCTGAAATATCCATACTAGGATGGCGATAAATACAGCCAATAATAATGTTTGATTTTTTAGAAATTATGATTTCCACAAACACAGATTCTAAAAGCTTTGGTTTAAGGATATTAAAATCATATCGAAGTTTGTAAATTAATGTATTCGATATATAAAGTAAAGCTCCTCCAAAATAAGATTTTGTTGGAATGTGCTCATAAACATAACCGGTAAAATTTAATGGGATAGTTAGTAGAATGTCATTTTTTAGTTTAGTTTCAGTTATGCCAATAATACTGAATTTATGATTAATAAGAGATAAAAGTGAGTTTAATTTGTCAAAATTTTTAACAAGAGAAGCACTTTTTTAAATGAAAAAGAGAAAAATTATTTTTGTCGATGTTAAAAGAGTTAAAACTTTCTATGTCCATATATTTACAATTAATAAGGTTTTCTTCGAGGTTTACGTCATTGTTATTGTTGTTATTATGTTGATGGGAAATAAAATCATTAAGTTCATTATAAAAATTAGACTGTATGGTGTTTGGGAAAGATGATATGTTGTTTTCGAATTCATTAATATGAATCAATTTATCATTTATTGTTTGCATGTGCAGCTCCTTATCTGATAAAGTACTGAATGGAAAAATTTTTTCCCTACATGAAATACAGAACCAAGATGTTTTAAAGTGTTTTTTTTTAAATAAAAAAATCAGAAAAAATGAGGTGGCGAAATTACCCCATATATATATATATATATATATATATATATATATATATATATATATATATATATATATATATATATATATATATATATATATATATATATATATATATATATATATATATATATATATATATATATATATATATATATATATATATATATATATATATATATATATATATATATATATACTTATATATATACTTATATATATACTTATATATAAACAAATTTTGTGAAACAATTGCTTTTTTAAAAAAATGCGAGATTCTTCAAACTTGACTAAAAGATGTGTATTTTTCACTTTTCTTTATTATTTTATATTTTTTGTTGAATTATTTAAAGAATACCCAAATACTACGATGACAAAAAGCATATTTTTGAGATTTCATAAAACTATATAATAACTGTACGTTTGTTGCAATAAAAATGTTTTGAAAACTTCCTAAAATTTTTAACCCTAATATATATATATATATATATATATATATATATATATATATATATATATATATATATATATATATATATATATATATATATATATATATATAGAGAGAGAGAGAGAGAGAGAGAGAGAGAGGGAGAGAGAGAGAGTAAGATGGAGTAATTTCGCCATTAATTCTTTTAATTTAAATAACTTGAGAACTAAAAATGACACTAGAATTTTTTTTTTATTGTTAATAATACTTTTATAAACATTAGATACTTTAATCTTTTTTTTTTTAAATAAAAAAATCAGAAAAAATGGGGTGACAAAATTAGGGAATCCAATTACGATTATCGATTACCCGAGTAATTGATACTTTATAAGCAAGTTCCGAGTAGTCGACTACTTGGAATATTTTTTTCGAGTATCGTGTATAATATTTAAACAAAAAAATGTAAATATTGCACATTCATTTAACTATTAATCAATCGAGTATTGGTATTCTACCGTTTTTTCTTCTTTTACTTCTATAATAAAGTTGCTTAGCAACCGTTGATTTTTAACTAAGTTTCAAAAGTTTTTTTTTAACTAAGTTACATAAAATAAATAATATTTGTAATTTGAAGTTGTAAGACATAAAATTTGCAAGAAAGTGAAATATTAAAAAAAAAATTTGTGAAATGTTTTTTTAATAAAATACTTAATTTTCTAATATATATAGCTGCCTTTGGTAAGTGAAGTGTTTTGAGTAAAATGTACTAAATTTCAAGTAATAAATGCATATTTAAATACATATAAATTTCAAGTTTCAATTTTTATGTTGTGATTTTTTATTTTAGTGATTTATTTACATATACCCAGAAATGTCTTCGAAAAAATCAGAGGTATGGAAATATTTTACAAAAAAAGAGAAATCGGAGTCAGTTTGTAACATATGCAAATCTATAATTCAACGTCCGGGATCTAATACTACTGGAATGATTAATCATTTAAAATTACATAGCATATCTTTACAAAAAAGAAATTTAGGCGACACAAATGAAACTGATGCGTCTTTTTCGAAAAACACAAAATCAGTTGGAAATAGAGTAATAAATTTCATAAGTCGAGAATCATTGAATGAAATATTGGCGAAATGTGCGACAAAAGATGGATTTAGCATCAAAGGAATTACTTCATCTGAAGCCATTAGGGGTTTCGTAGCAAGTCGTAATTATAAAATGCCAAAAAGTGAAACAACGGTAATGAAATATATAATGGATTTTTATAAAGAAAAAAAAGAAGAATTAATGGCGTTGTTGATAGAGCAAAAAAAATCTGGAGAGAGATTCAGTATTACTGTCCATGAATGGAGTGATATAAACGTTAGAAGGTTCATGAATATCACTCTTCATTCAGCAACAAAGCCACCTGTAGTCTTGGGTCTATCTGCAATAATAGGTTCTTGTCATTCAAATGCCACTATCGATTTGGTAAAAGCAAAACTTAAAGATTATGGAATTGAAATGGATAATGATATCGTCGGATCCACACATGATGGAGCATCAGTCATGGTAAAATATGGGAAAAATATTTTACCATTTTCTCAGTTATGCTACAACCATGCTATACATCTTGCTGTACTTGATGTATTTTATAAAAAAAGTGGGAGTTGAATTACGAATGATGATGCGGTAATTGATACAAATTTCCAAGATGATGAGAATTTAGAATATGATGAAAATTTAGCAGATGATGATTGTGTTGAAACTACCGAACAAAATGATGAGGTAGCTGATGCATTTGCTTTTGATGGTAACTTAAATTTCCAAAATGATGCAGTTAGACAATTATCAATCTTTCGTGAAGACATTGGCAAAAATTCTTGATGAAACACGAAAAATTATTAAAGTTTTCAAATATTCTTCAGTTCGAAACAGTGTTCTTGAAAAGCATATAATAGATCAAGAAGGCAAAAAGTTACGATAGCTACTCGATTGCAAAACAAGATGGAACTCAATAATACCAATGGTAAATTGTTTCATAAAAATATACGATTTTATACAAAAGGCTCTAATGGAATTAGGTCAGCAAAAATGTTCAGAAAAAAATATCAAAGTTTTAGAAGAAATATCACATGTTTTACAACCGGTTCAGCTTGCTGTTAAAGAGCTCAGTAAAGATAATAATCTTTTAAAAGCTGAAGGAGTATGCATTTTTTTGCTAAACAAACTAAAAGAAACAAATACACAGTTAGCCATGGAAATGTTCACTGCTTTGAAGAAAAGAATTGAAGAAAGATGAAATGAGGGTGTTGTATCACTCTTGCATTTTTTACAATCTGGAAATTATCCTAAACCAGATATTAACTGCCATTTTACTTATTTAAAAAAAAGTTCTATTCATTTATTGGCTAAAGAAACCTTCAAAAGGCTGTTCAATGAAGATCCTGCAAACACACAGATGGATACAGAGTTAACAATTGAAAATGAAGAAATAATTTCAAATAATGGTTTGGTTTCAAATTATGATGAACTCCAAAAAACAATTGAATTAATTATGACTGTTCCGAAAGAAAATAATGAGAGAAAATCCACATTGGAAAAAGAAATGAAGTTGTGGGAGAAAGATTGTTCAAAACGAGGTGACTCTATTGGAAAACTTTTTACATCATTATTGACAATACAACCAACGTCAACAGTAAGTGAAAGAGTGTTTTTGGTAGCTTCAGCTTTTGTCACAAAAACCCAAAATCAGCTGAAAATGGAAACGGTTGACAAACTTGTATTTTTAAAGTATTATTTTTTAAATAAAAAATAGATTTAAAACTAAAACTGTTGCATTTTATTTTAAATTTAATTAACACAACATGGTGTGGGTAAATTTTTTTTCCTTTACCCGGATACCCGGGTAATGAAAAAAATAAATACTCGATTACCCGGATAACTGAAAATAAGATTATTTGGACTCACTAGGCGAAGTTACCCCAATAAAATCTAATTTGGGGGAATTTTGCCACCTATGTTATTTATAACATAAACTTTTTATTTTTAAATTATAAATCTTAAAAATACATTTACAATCAGTTAAATAAAAGAAATCTAACAATATTCAATAAGTGGGGACATGGCCATCGAAACCGAGAGGTATCAGAGCATGTCTCCCCCTCCACTTTTTTTACCATTTTTTTTTTGTTTCAGTTCCGGATGGATTATTTTTGTCAATTAATTTCCAAGTTTTACAAAAACAAGATTGTTTTTTACATAACTTGATAAGAAATTTGTTTTTCTTCCAAACGAAATTTGAACTATAAAAAATTCTATTCCTGAGTAAAGTTATAGTTATAAAAATAGATATACACCAATTGGTGGCGAAATTTCTAAGGTGGCGAAATTACTTTATTTTACTCTCTATATATAAACCCTATTTTATATATATATATATATATATATATATATATATATATATATATATATATATATATATATATATATATATATATATATATGTATATATATATATAAAATAAAATATCAAAATGTACCATCATTGTAGCCATAAAGTATATCTTTCTTATGTTCACCTTCATATCTATTGTGCAAAATATCATTGATAGGTATATTTGAAGAAGTGTTAATTGAAAAAATCATTGCTAATTATCTTTATTGGCTTTAGAGTGACCAAAATTCTTTAAAAAATATAATAAAACAATTTAAATTAAAAAAAAAAATGTTTTAGAAGAAAAATGAAAAAGTAAGTTTTGTTGAGAACATCCCGATCGTTAGTTTAAAGATATAATCAAAGAGTTTGCAAACATTAGTGTAATGATATATTCAAAGAATTTGTAAATATTAGTATAAAGATATATTCAAAGAATTTGCAAATATTAGTGTAAAGATATATTCAAACAATTTGCAAATATCAGTGTAAAGATATATTCAAAAAATTTGCAAATATTAGTGTAAAATTATATTCAATGAATTTGCAAATATTAGTACAATAACGTTAGAGGCGTCAGGGCGATTTCCAAAATTAAAAAAAAATTAGAATAATTGACCATTAGATTTTAGAGATATAAGGAAAGTATAAGGAAAAGTTCTTTGCACATAGTTTTACTTTATCCTTGGGAGAGACTATAAAACCAACATGTAAAGAATAATGCATGATTGGACATATATTTTTTATCAAAATTGTTAAAAATCTCTAGAACCTAAAATCTTTAAAACTTCTGAGATAAAAAAATGAGATTTAGTAATCCTTTAGTGCAAGACAATAACTTTTGCATTTCTTGCAAAAAGTCGTTTGTACTCTAGAGAGTTGTTCATGTGAAAAAAATGAAAGAAATAATTATGATTAGAAACATCAGCTGCTCAAGAAGGTTGGGTTTGAGCGAGGCTTAACTAGAAACTGACAAAAAAACCAAACCGAAATCTTCCATACCTGTTTGATTTTAGATTATTTGATTATTTTGATTTATAACTGTTTGATGCCAAAAGAGGCAGAATTTTCAGCCAAAAACAACAGACATCAGCCCAAGCACTTTCAACAAAGAAAATCACAAAAGGAATCTCGTTCAGTTCTAAGATAGTAGTATGGAGTGCAAATGTAAGGTGAAGAAAAATTACAAGATAATTATTTAGAAAGATCATAGCATAGTCCGAACTACCTTAAAGAGAACAAGAAAGAACTAAGCACAAGCTAGGGTCAGAAACAAGACACAAAATTGATAAATTCAAGAGAAGTGATTAGCGTTGTCTGGAAATGTCACAACGGTAACCATCTGAGAAAGAAAAAAAAAACAAAGCTTAAGAGGCAGTAAGATTATCCTTTTAAAAATAAACCTTAAAATAAATAAAAGCAATGGAACATCTAATCTAACATAAAGTATGTAACCTAAGGTAAATTTATTTCTTAGAATTTCATGTTTAAAATAAAAATGTCAAAATAAAATATATATATATATATATATATATATATATATATATATATATATATATATATATATATATATATATATATATATATATATATATATATATACATGCATAAAACATATACAATACATAAACTTTAATACATTAATACATACAATTAATATATACATATATATATATAACAGAACTTTTAGTTTTAAAATAAAAGAAAAGATATTGATTGAGTCTGGAAGTGAACATATATCAAACTCCACTTTAGGCCTAACGTCAATCAACAAGTGTGGTTTATTCGATAAACGCAAGTTGGCATATTCCTGAAAAATGTGATTTTATATATTGATTTTTATTTACTTTGAACAAATCTAACTTTCCTGATTAAAATAGCAAATTTGTCTTAATTTAATTTAAAATATAAATAATTATGTATAAAAATGTAATATCTTATTATGCAACTTTTATAAATAACAACCAAATTACTGTACATCTTCATAACATTAATGTACACAGTATATTTGTTTGTCTATCAAAACTCACAGTTTTCTCTATTTGTATGTTTCATTTAACAAATCTAACAGTTTTCTCTATATGCACATCATTAAACTGTTCAAACCATCAAAGGAAATATTTCATTTAGAATTATTTTTTAAATTCTATTAAACAATAAAATTTGTCATTTAATTTTATTTAATTTTATTTAAAAGTTGATAATGATAAGTTATAAAATTATAATTTTTATAAACAATTTTATGAATCGCTAACTTGAAAAAGGAGACATGTCCTGCAAAAATTCACATAACATGTCCCCTTTTTCAAGAAAGCAATTCATATAAAGAATGGATAGAAATTAATTCAAAAGTTCATTTTTCAAACACCTTATTGTTTTAAGTATCTCCATTATTTTTAAATATCTCCATTGAGCATTCTCATTTAACTGCAAAGTATCGCTTGCCTGCATTTAAATTTTTATTAAAAAGTATATTCTTTTTTTTAAACCAAATGTTTGAATTTATTCAAACATTTGGTTTAAAAAAAACTAATTTTTAATATTGCAAAAATATTTATAATATAAAATAATTATATTGATGCAACATGCAACAGGAAGCATGCTGTAGGAGGTCTTCAAAACCAGTGATTTTTTATTGAAGTTTATTTATTAATTAAAGGATTTTGGTTGATTGTAATTTCATTGTTTTTTGTTTTTTTCATTATTTTATTTTTATTTAATTATTTTTCATAAAAACTTGAACTGTTTTTTAAAAACTTATAATTATAAAATAAAAATTTGAATTGAATTAAAAAATTTAAACAAATAAATAACTTTTTTTGCATATAATCAAATCTTTTATAATCAAGTGAATAACAAACCTCAATTAAATTAAATTATTCAATTAAACTTACCTCAACAATAATTCTTTTTGCATCAGGTAAATTAAACTAACCTCAACAGTAATTCTTTTTGCATCAGGTAAGATGGATAGAGATAATGCCTATTAAAGTTTCTTTTATAAAGTTAATTAAAATAAGACAAGAATTCATGAAGAACTTGAAACCCAAATTCATAAAAAATTTGAAAAAAACCTTATCAGTATAAACTGAACCACAAAAATGCTCTTGATCCACAAGGTGTGTAATCGTTGGATTTTTTCCACATACGCTACATATATCCTTTTTTCCTCGTAATTTGATATTTCGGAAGATGCCACGAAAGCCATCAAATAAAAGCATACTGCCATTATAAGATGCTAAAACAAAAAATTTTAATTATTTTATCGCACAAAAAACAACAAAATTTTTTTATTTTGTTCACCTCCAGAATCAGAGAAAGCAGTTCAAGAGTTTACTCATTTTTGACATAAATAAATTTATGCCTGTATAATTATCAGCTAATTTTGTAAAAATAAAAATGAAATTGAATTTTAAGTTTTATAATTATTAATTTATATTTTCAAACTGAAAATTAAAAATATATATAATATAATTAATATTAAATATATTAATTAAATAATAAATTTATTAACTAAATAATCAATATATTGAATAATTAGTTTTAAGGTCAGCTGGTTTAACTGACTGACCCATTTCGATTATGTTTTTATTTACCAACCTTAATGCCTGATAAATATATCAATATATAATTATATATTAATATATAATAATACAATGTATATTGTATAATTATATATTAATATATAATAATATAATATATATTGTATAATTATATATTAATATATAATAATATAATATATAATGCCTGATAAATATATCAATATATAATTATATATTAATATATAATAATTATATTATATATATTAATATAAAACCTTAAGAAATATATTATTTAAAAAATAAATATATTTACTTATTAGTTTTAAGGTCAGCTGGTCAAACTGACTGACCAACTTTGATTATGATTTTATTTACCAACCTTTATGTTTTATCTTTATTCATAGTCATAAAATAGTCTGGCCAGTTTAAGAACGCTATTGTTTATCTTATCGTTACCGTTTTTTTTAGAACCCAGCCTACCAATAAGTACACACATTTTGCAAACAAAGGCGCACTAAGAAGAATATTTACATGAAAACTGTTTATTTATCTTTGATTTTTGCACATGCCTCGTCTTAATTGTTACATATTTGACTCTGGAACTTTTCGAAGAAATATAAATGTTTTTCTATTTGAGATATCTTCTTCTGATGATGTTTTTAACAAAAAATTGAAAAGAAAAGTTTTACAAATTATAACTAAAGATATATCTTAAGTTATAAAATTATTATAATAAAATATTAAAATAAATAATAATATATAAAGTAATACATTATTATATTGACATAATAAATAGTAACTTTACATAAACTATATAGTACTATATAGTTTTTATATACTATATATATACTATATAGTAGTTGATAAAAAGCTAAGGTTTCAAATCAAAAAAAAGTTATTGCTGGTTGGCGAAAGGCTAACATGTTAACTGTCAATCCAAATAAAACTTTTTTGTTTGGATCAACAGGTTCACTACCTTCAATAAATCTTCCAGTTAAGAGCTTTTCATTGCCAAATCCTTCTTTATGCAGGATATAGTAGTTTCTCATATTCCTAAAGCTCAACTAAATGAAATCAACTTTTTCTTCTTAAAAGTTAATGTAAATACTTACATTTAAAAAGATCAATGTTTAATACATTTGTATCTAACCTTTCATTTAAAAAAAAAAATCTTTCATTTAAAAAAAAAATCTAAGACCCAAAAAATTTAACTAAGACTTCTATTTTTATTACTTTATATTTTTTTGCAAGCAATAAAGGAATGTTACAGTCAGTTTAGTTATTAATATTGCTAAATACCTTTTAAAAATTGTTTTCAGTATGTTTTAATTGAAAAAAATATGACAAGATTCATTAGATAGTTATTCTAGCCAACAACGAGCTATAGGAAGAATAAAGGGTAAGCCATATTAAATGATATTGGGTATAATGATAATGACACAATACGGAACCAATGTACTTTCAAACCAATACTAAAAACTGACAATCTTGATAATAAAATTTGTTGTAAATAATTGTGAGTAGAGATTTGAGTACTATTTAAATAAAGAAATGTACTTATTGTGGCTGTTATATTATACACTGTGTGTAATAAAGAGGATACTTAGAAAAACCTGAGGTTAGTGGTAATTGGGGTATCAAAAGGGGCATTTTAAAATTTAGTGATGTGCCATTGGCAAGTATTTTTCAATAAAAAACAAAATTAAGAGTATTTTTCAAATCAACTTTGAATTTTTTGAATGATGTACTGTTTAAATTACTAAATACGTATCCACAAAAGTATTCAACTGCATTTTTTTCATTTTCTGTTTTCTAAATATGATTAACAAGGATATATCCTACAAAAGGTGAGGATCTGTGAGAAAGACCTGCAACTTAATAAAATTTTGGATAAAAAAACTTCAACTATAAATAACTATTATAACTTCTTTTTATTAACTCGAATGATAGCTTTGCATCATCTTCTAAGAATATGTACTTTGAAAGCTCATCTCTGATATATGGAAGGCAGCAAAGATTATTTATAACAATAAGAATGCAACAAAGATCGTTTATAACAATAAGAATGTTTTTTTAAACAAAATTCATGAACTTGTCTGTAGAACAAGTTTGCTTAACCTCAGTTTATGCATTTATTAAACACTGTTTAAATGCTGCTTTGTAATGTTGCATTTTAATTTATGCTCCGACTCACAGAGCATAAACTAAAATGCAACATTTTATCATAAACTGGTAGAAATAAATTTGGTTGAAGCGTTTTTAGTCCCAACTTCAATAATAAAAGAATTACCATTATTGATAAACTTATGTTTTCAAAAAAAAAAAATCTGATTTTAGATCTAAATATGAAATATTTGATGAACTGTTCATCTGTTAGGTTCGCCAGTTTTTAGATTTTTGTGCATTTATTGGTACAATAATAAATTATAAATTTTAATCTTCATTATTTAAAAATAATAAAATCTTGCGAAAACAGCCCAACTGGCTAAACTATCTATTATTATGACTATACTTTATTAGGTTATACATCATTTTGTATATAGCCTTGTATGACATCAATCAAAAAACATCATTTTGTATAAAGCCTTGCATGAAAACAAATGATAATAACATATTGAAATATACATCTGGGGGGTTGCAATACATAAATTGCACTGAATAAATAAACTAGTAATAATTTATACTATACTATTATATAATAACTAAAAAATCAATATAAATATATTATACAATATATTTATAATGAACTTTTTTTCAATTGTCAATATTATCTTTTCTCTTTAGGAAGAAAAATTTTCAAAAATTCAAATTATTCAAAAAAATACTTAGAAAAAAAAGACTCTTTAGGAAGAAAAATTTTCAAAAATTCAAATTATTCAAAGAAATACTTCACAGGAAGTTAGAAATTATTGTTACTTATTCTAATTTCAGTATTTACCTTGTAAACTAGAAATTATTGTAACTTATTTTAATTTCAGTATTTACCTTGTAAACTAGAAATTATTGTAACTTATTTTAATTTCAGTATTTACTTTGTAAACTAGAAATTATTGTAACTTATTTTAATTTCAGTACCTTGTAAACTAGAAGTACAGTAAGTTTTAGTTGATTTTGCTGGTAATTTTTATAAATTAACAGAAAAATGAATTTGTTATTCTTGTAATTATTATTCGAGTATTTTGGTTTTATTGTTTATCTTTAAAGTTTTTAAAAATCTTACTTTTGTGTCTTCATTTAAATATTTTAAATCTAAATTACTACTTAAATGAAATGAGAACAAAATTCTTCAAAAATGGTTATAATATTATTTGCATAATATTCTCAACACAAAAATAATATGATACTTATATACATACATATAGATACACACACATACCAATGGTTGTCGAAGAAAGTATTGAATGTCCGAGTACAATATAGTCCAGTATTATAGTTATATTAATTCAAAAATGCTAAGTAGAAGCTTTTTTTTAATTTTCTTAAGGTAATATTGTTGTTTTATATAGCTTTGAAAAAATGCAAAAATATGCATTATAGGACTAGACCGAGCTGTCAAGCCCAAGTGAAATAAGGAAAAATTTAGGAGAAGAGAAAGGATAAAATTATTAAAAATATCAAACAGATGTTCAGAACAAAAACAAAGATACTATAGTAAAGCGTGTAGTAAAAAATAATAATTATAGGCAGACATAGTTTCTAAAATAAAACAATTTTATTTAAATTCTTTTAGATCCCAAATATATTTTAATAGCATAAAATGACTTGAAAATTTTTCATGTAGAAAAAATTATTTGAGATTGAAAATTGTTGAGAAAAACATTTATTTCTACTTGCTCACAGTTAATATTAATAAATATTATGTTTATTAAGGTTATTTAATAAGTGACACAAAGTGTTCATTAGTAAAAATAATAATTATATATATAAAATATATATACACATACTTATTTTTTATTTTTTAATATATGAATATATATATATATATATATATATATATATATATATATATATATATATATATATATATATATATATATATATATATATATATATATATATATATATATACACACACACACACACATACATACACATGTGTATAATTAAATTGAAAATAAGAGACATACTTGATTGGCAACATATAAGTTTTACAGCTTCTAATGCTTGCAAAGAACCAATAACACCAGTAACTAAAAAAACAATATTTTTTATATTAACAATGTCTTTAAATTTGATACTAATTAAGTATCAATTTTAAAGATTAAAGCAAGTTAAAAGTAGATTTTTGTTTGATTGCAAAACATATAAATCTTTCTTGAATTCACTTCAATTCTGTAAATCTAGTTCAGTTATATAATTCCAAGATTAAGACAGTTGTGGTATCATACAATTGTTTCTTCTTTACATATAAAGGCTCTGGGCAAAGGCAAAAAAAGTGAGCAAATGCTTATAAAAATACGCTTTAGTAAGTGTGTGTGTATATATATATATATATATATATATATATATATATATATATATATATATATATATATATATATATATATATATATATATATATATATATATATATATTCTCTTTCCCAAGGCTCAATGTGCCATAATACAGACAAAAACACTCATTTTTTAATATAAGTATATATAATGCTGTATTTTTTAAATTTGTTTTTTTAAATCATTTTTATTTGTTTTTTTATTCACCTACCTATAATTACTACAGTCAAGGAAGCTTAATTATGGTTACAACCCTCTGTCAAACTCCAAAACATGAACTTTGATAAACAAGGATGCTGTATGGATAAATAAGCAAATTACAAATCTCTTTCAACCCTGAGATCTTTCAACATATGAAGTTTCACAGTGACTTCTTTTTAAACTGGTAAAAAAAATCCAGTCAGTTCAAAAATGATTTAATTAAGCTGCCGTGATTTAATTAAAGTGTAGTGCTTTTAAAAATTCAAACAAAGTGTGTTTAAATTTTTATGAATACAAAATAATAAGCCTTATGAACTAATTTCTTTGAGGAAAAAAAAAAAAAAAAAAAAGATAAAATTTAAAATAATTAATTTTTGCATTTTATAAAAGAGAACAGACTATTGAAAGTGTTCCTACTGTGATTTAAAATTGTAATATTTTCTTAGAAAAAAAAAAAAGTCAAACCTCAATACTTTTAAAACAGCTTTTTATATAAAGACGTGTAGTGTAAAAGTTGAAATTAGTTTTACTGCATTTTTAATGTTAACTATGTTGTCAATTATTTTTATAAAATTGTTCTATTGTTTTGAACATTAAATTTTTTTTTGCAATATAAAGCCATTACTTTCCCATAACAAAATAATAAATTTTGAGGCTATTTAAAATATTTGAGGTTAAGATAAAATTTATAGATACCTGCACCTAACACACCACTATCTGAACAATTAGCAACAGCATCTGCAGGAGGAGGTACAGGAAACAAACATCTGTAACAAGGACCACCTTGAAAATTGTATACAGTTAGCTAAAAAATATTATGCTATGAAAAACTTTTTTCTTTAATTTAAGATGAACTTTATGATTTAAACAAACTAATTTTGAGTAAAATAAATAGGTGATGGGAATGAAAATTACTTGTCCTTCAAATCTCAATGCACTTCCTGATATCAAGGGTTTACCATATAATACACAAGCATCATTCAAAAGATATCTAAAATTAAAATACCTTTAAACAAAACAACAACAAAAAATTCTCCAAAATCAAACCAATCAAAGAACTAATTAAAACCTTGTTGCAACATTATCAGTACAATCTAGTATGATGTCATATGTAAGACAATAGTTAAGTAAAAACATTTAACAATCTAGTATGATGTCATATGTAAGATAATAGTTCAGTAAAACATTCAACAACCTAGTATGATATCATATGTAAGATGATAGTTATGTAACTTTAACACAAATAAAAATAAACAAACGCAGGACCTTGAACATTAAACTCAGAACCAAAAAAATTTAATATAGAAAAGATATTCATCAATAATTGAAAAAGCATTAGTTGCAGATAAAGAAACAATATGTTCATTAAAACAAGTGCTTGAGTTGAGCCTAAAAATAAATATAAATTATTATATATAACTATAAATCCAAATATTATTATATTTTAAAAATTAAAGTAAAATTTAAAACTGCATATATATATATATATATATATATATATATATATATATATATATATATATATATATATATATATATATATATATATATATATATATATATATATATATATATATATATATATATATTAATTAAATACTAAAATGAAAAAATACAACTTGTTGGTACTCAAAGTTTCATGCCTGGAGGCAATCATCAGCCATATATTTTTAAACCAAGAAATTAAAAAAATTGTTCAAAATACAAATTAAGCATATATATATATATATATATATATATATATATATATATATATATATATATATATATATATATATATATATATATATAAAGAAAAGTTAAAACAAATCAAGGCCAAAATGATATTATAAACACGGTTCTACATGAGGAAAAAGAACATAATAAATGAAAAAATATTATTATTTTTGGTGTTAAGTTAGCAAATCATGATAACATTGACAAGAAAAAATGTGATGAAGATATGGTAAACGATATTTTTGACTCAATAAATGCAGACAAGGATAAAATAAAAAAAGTCATTCAACTCAAAACAAGAGACACATCAAAAATACCACCAGTTATCATTGAGTTAGACAATGCGTCAGACAAAATAAGTGTATTAAAAGCTGCATACATTAACAGAAACAAGATAAATGAAATCTATTTTAACTCATATATCCAAAAGATAATCCAAACAGAGATCTCATTAAACAGCTACGTAGTGAAGTTAAATTGTTAAATGCTAGCCTAAATCAAAAAGATGAATACTACTACACTATAAGAAATTTTAAAATTGTGAAACTCATAAAAAAACCAAAGCAATAGCAATCCTCAATTAATTTGTACCAACCTGCAGTAATGGCTGTCCTTTCTACACATAATCCTGTATCTAATTATGTTAAACCAGAAGTATTATTATGCAAATCATTACCCAAATACCATCTATGTTGTAGATATACGAATGCGACTTCACTTAACAATAAGTTCGATTTGTTTTTGTTAGAAATAGCAGTGTATAATCCTGACATATTTATTGTAACTGAAACTTGGTTTAACTCATCAAGTGCCATAAATGTAAGCGGGTATAATGTTTTTTACAACAATCGATTTAAATCTAATTCAACTAAATCTCATGGCGGAGGTGTAGCTATTTATGTTAAAAATAAATACATTGCTTATACTCCATATGACCTAGCATCTGAAAAAATGACAGTTGAACAAGTCTGGAGTGTCATTAAAACAGAAAATGAGAATATCTTAATTGGTAGCATATATCGTCCACCAGATGCTACAGAATTGACAAACCAAAAAATAAATAAAATAATAAATATAGCTAAAAAAAGTGTTGATTGCAACAAATATTCAGGTCTACTCTTAGCCGGAGACCTAAATTACCCAAATATAAAATGGAATGAGAATGATGAGAATATCCAAAAAGTGTTAAAAAATGATAGACAAGCACAAATTTTTTTAGACAATTTAAATGATAACTTTTTGACTCAAAACGTCACAAAACCAACCTTTAATTCAGGGACATTGTCAGAAGGCAATACCTTAGATTTGATTTTAACCGATGCACCAGAGCGTATTTCGATCATAGGCTATAATCCTCCGTTAAGAATTAAACATGGTGAGGTTAAAACGTATTGAATATGAAAAAAAAATCAGTGAAACATCAAAAAGAAATCCTAAGTTATTTTATAGTTATGTAAATTCTAACAAAAAAATTAAAGGAGGAATAGCTTCAATGTCTAATGAATATAATAACATTGTAACAAATAGAGAATCTATAGCAAATATTTTAAACAATAGTTTCAATTCAGTTTGTGTTAACGAAGATAAACATAACAAAACAAATATACCGCAGAAGACTGAAATTATTCTAGAAGTAGATATAAATAATAAAATAACTTGCCATACTATTGAAAAAAAATTAAAAAAATTAACTGTTCACAAAGCTATCGGAGTAGATGGGATAAGCCCATATGTTTTAAATAAATGTCATAGTACTCTCTGTGAACCATTACATTTAATATATATAAAATCGTTGACAGAGAAAAAATTACCTGAGCTCTGGAAACTAGCAAATATAACACCAATTTTTAAAAAAGATAATACGAACATTGCATCTAATTACAGGCCAATCTCATTGACTTCTATCCCATGTAAAGTTTTGGAATCACTCATTAGAGATGAAATTATGGATTATTTAATAAATAACAGCTTATTAAATGAAAATCAGCATGGGTTCAGAAAAAATAAAAGCTGCACAGCAAACCTATTGGAAACTCTTGATATCATAACAGATGCACTAGAAAATGGCCACTCAATTGATATGTTGTATCTAGACTTTGAAAAGGCTTTTGATAAAGTACCACACTCGCGTTTGATCACTAAACTTCAATCATATGGTATTATGAGAAATTATCTGGGATTAATAGAGAACTTTTTAACTAACAGAAAACAGAGAGTGGTCCTTGGCGACACTGTCTCAGATTGGCTACCAGTCATTAGTGGTGTACCACAGGGGTCAGTTTTAGGACCACTGCTTTTTTGATTTTTATTAACGATTTGCCAGATCAAGTCAAAAACCCTATTAAACTTTACGCTGATGATAGTAAAATAATAAATATTATAAAAAATCCTAATGATTCAATAAGCCTTCAAAATGATATAAATAATATAATGGCATGGTCATCTATTTGGCTCACAAAATTTAATTATGAAAAATGCAAAGTTATGCATATTGGGAAAAAAAATCTAAATGCTACATTTATAATGACTGATATTGATTGCAATTACAATTATACATTGTGTAACACAAAAGCTGAACGTGATTTGGGTATAATGGTTCAATCTGATTTAAAATGGCACTCACAAGTTGATTCAGCAACCAGCAAATCAAACAGAATGTTAGGTACCATAAAGAGAAGCTTTAAATATTTAGATGTAAACATGGTAAAAACGCTCTATACAACGTTCATAGACTACGTGGAGATCTGATTCAACAATATAAAATTCAGCATGGCTGCGATAAAATAAATTGGGTTGCTAACGATTGTGGAAATGCATTGGAGGAGGGTCCATGTCTGCGACAACACAAATTCAAAATGAGGAAGCCTTTTAGCAGAAATACCTTCAGGTATCATTTTTTCCAAAATCGAGTTGTAAATGCGTGGAACAGCTTACCATCTGAAATAATAGAAGCTACTTCAATAAATAACTTCAAAAACAAACTAGAAAGAGCTGGATTTTGCAGAAACTATTTGTTAAAACACAAACAAAAGACAAAATGAGCTGTTACAGTGCAATATCTTATGTTATTGCACTTCGCAACTGTTTAAAACAGTTGTTACAGTTGTTTATTAATTTATTTATATATATATATATATATATATATATATATATATATATATATATATATATATATATATACATATATATATATATATATATATATATATATATATATATATATATATATATATATATATATATATATATATATATATATATAAATATATTGGCAAAAAATTCCAAACCTCTTTTCTATGTTTTATGGTAAAACCTTCATATCAAATTTTTTTTTTTGGCGACTTGATGGTGACCTTCGATTAATGTCGGCAAATTATTGTCAACCTCATTTTTCCTAATGAGGGCTGAACCATTCGTACTTTTTTATTTATAGTTTATTTTAAATTTACCACTGTACTCAAAAATGCAAAATTATGAAAGAAGGCAGACCTAAATCAGCGTTAATATAAATACATACACACACTTGCACAAATATTTATACAATTGTTTTAAAATGGCATTCATGAAAACTCTTTGTTTTAATTTGTCTGAAAAATTAAAGTCTCAAATAAGTTAAGTTTGATCTTTTCTTTATTCCTCAGTCAGTTAGAAATATTTGATATTAAAAACCAATACTTTTTTTTGGGTCTAAAAATCAAATAAACCCTCCCAGTCATCAAGTTGATTTGATGTCTATTAATACTCACAAATAATTAAAAGTTATAATTAATTGTATTACTTGCCTTTTGAGTTCACTTATAGCAGACTGTACTTTACTCATGCCAATATTGGTTTCACGGTGAAGTATTTGCCGGTGTAAATTGCTTAGCTCAACAGCATCATAATCAACTAAACCTATTGTTCCTGAAATAAATTTTCACTAATTTTTAATAGATACATATAAAAAAACATTAACAAATAAAAAAAAAAAAAAAGAAAAAGAAAAAAGAAATTAAAAAAGTAGTTAAGTTGTAACGATAACTATTTTGTAAATGTAATGATTATTGATACATAATTATATTTATTATTGTTACATAATTTGTACGATGTCTTATTTATCTTATTACTATATTCGTTTGTTACTGATATCTGCTAAATGTCAAATGTTTACAATATAACTACAGTTTGGTCATGTAAATATTGATTGAAGTTCATTTGTTTGTCCACGCTAAATAAATTAAATGCTTGTCCACTACTACTCAGACTTATAACAGAGTATATTTATATTAAACAATTCCTTTTTACAATGACATTATATATAACTAGTCTCTAAGCATTTTTCACTGAATATTTTTTGCATTTTCAAAGTATGAACCAGATGCATGCTGAAATTAATAGATGGTTGGCAGACATACATCATGGCCAACCAATGGCCATGGACTACTTTTCAGGCTCCTCCTATTCTTATTCTTGTGTTCTTTTTTAACTCCATGTCCAGCCTTTTTAATTCCATGTCCTTTTCCATTCTCTTCTGTTTTTTATTTTCCTTGATCTTGTATTCCTTTCTCCCTCATTCTCATCTTTTTTTTTTTTTTTTTGTTCCTTTTTATATAAGTCGCTAAGCATTTGTATGCTTTACGCTTGAGTGACCATTTGCTTGTTATCGCTCACTAGTAACCAAACTTTTCACATTTGGATGACTATTTATAGTTTACTATGTATAAACTTTTTTTGCTTGAGTAAACATAATTCTTAAAAAGGTAATAAAATGAAAAACATTAAAAAAGATTATGCTTAAGCAAATTTATCTACCATTTTCTTTTTTAAGCAAATTTATCTACCATTTTCTTTTTTAAGCAAATTTATCTACCATTTTCTTTTTTAAGCAAATTTATCTACCATTTTCTTTTTTATTGAAGTGATCTCAAAAATCATAATTTGTCTTTAATTAAATAAACATTAGAACTTAAGTTAAACAAACATTAGAAAACAGTTTTTTAAACAAATAGGATACAGATTGCTCCTACAGGTCCTAATTTTTTATATCAATTTATTTTTTTTATATCAATTTATTTATTTAGGATTTCATACTTTTTTGTGCATCTTGGGCAAATCCTGCTGGAGATCTTAAAGAAATGTTCAACAACCTAAGTGTCGCCTAACTATTTTTGAAAATGTATTTTTTTTTTTAGTTGTCAAACAAAATAATCCTTTTGTTTTTTCATTTCTCATTGTTTCAAATTTTGATTGGATTTAAAAATCAGGTTGAAGAAGACAACTGGATGCATTTTTCTGATCAGTTTCCCCCAGAGTTATTAAAGTCCTATTGAAGTCACAAAATGACTACAGACTATCCATTGAAGTGTCAGCACTCATTTGAACACTTTATTATTGTGCCATTGAGCGCATTTTAATGAAAAAAAACGTTTTGGATATCCGGAAAAACCAAAAGTCAATAAAAATATCCGGATTTCCAAAAATATTTGGAAAAAGATAATCCTGCTGCAGATCTCTATAACTAAGATTATTACTTCTGTATCATTCTTAAAGTACTCATGCAGGTTAAAATTGATTGAGTGTTTTTCATTATGTTTTGTTGCTTCACTTTTTTTTTTTCCAACTTTTTTTCCAACTTCCAATTTTTCAAAAAAATTGAATTTTCCAATTTGAATTTTTTAAAAACTAATTGGAAACTTTTTGAATTTTTATGGTATTTACAAATAATCAACTTTTCCATTTAATCGTATATATAATAATTAATATAAGACCAGAGTTTTCCCATAATACTGGTCGATACACATTTCCCACTTATTCTTCACTTGTTTTCAATAAGTTACAGGAAATGGTAGAAAGTAATGATATTAGCCTCATTAGAGATCTTTCTTTACCATTTCCTGTTGCATTGTTGAAGTGTATATATATATATATATATATATATATATATATATATATATATATATATATATATATATATATATATATATATATATATATATATATATATATATATATATATATATATATATATATATATATATATATATATATATATATATTTAAAGTTGAGTTAACTGAATACATTGATTGCTATAATATCAAAGCTTTAGTTTCATTATCTATTTATTGCTTAACTTTAGTTTCATTGTCTATTTATTTGTCTATGAACTTTGGGTTTTGAAACTTCTTCCTCTCAATTACTTAAGCCATCTTTATTTTATTTTACAGCAAATTTTATTAACAAAAAAAAAAAAAAATACTGAAAGCGGTAATATTGACTTTAGAATTATGTTAATGCCTGCCAACGATCTATTAATTTTATCTGGGTCATACTTTGAAAAACTATATCATCTGGGTCATACAATATCATCTGGGTCATACTTTGAAAATGCAAAAAATATTTGCAATATACTTTTTTTTTAATAATGCACTGATGCGGTGTTTCAATACATCTACATAGTCCACAGGCTACCCATCCAATACATAGCTGTTATACAGCATGCTACTACATAACCTGTTATATAGGTACAACATAGCTACTACATAGCCCGTAGCCCACAACATAGCTACTACATAAGCATGTAGCTCGTTACATGAGCTTACATTTTTTTTCCGCCAATATCTTTATTTCCAACAAGGCTGCAAGCAACCACTATTAGAGTTAGAAGTTACTGGAAAAGAAAAGATGAAGTTTGTATAGCAAGATAACGATTGACAGACGACTTAAAAGATTGCAAATTATATGAATCAGGAAAGAAAAATGATGGAAGAGAATTCCAATGAACTGATGTTTAATTAAAAAAACAGGACAAATAAGAGTTTTTGGAGCACTTAGGAACAGTCACAAAAAAAAAAGAGACTTAATTAAATGACGAGTAACACGAGAATGAATTTTAGTAGATAGAACAAGAGACGCTAGCTCTTTAGAGCAGTGCCCATTATAGTGTTTGTAGAAAAGAGAAAGAAAAGCAACATTACGACAATGTGATAATGGTTAGAGGTTGGCTGCAAGAGCAGGTCCAACTATGTTTACAATGCATTTATGCACCTTGTCTAAAAGAGATAGGGCATCATTAGAATATCCGTCCCAGTTATGACAATAGTATTCCATGTAAGGATGGGTTTGAGATTTATAGAGATAAAGAATAGAATCCGAAATAAGAAAGTGTTGAGCACGATAAAGAGATGCAACCTTAGCAGATGCTAAAATATAATATTCAATATTTTAAATCAATTTTAAATAAAAAATATTAAAAGTTGGAAAAGAAAAATAATTTGATTAAAAATAAAAATTTCAAATTAAATATATTACCTAATTTTTGCAATATCAAATCAAAAGATGTGCATGTTAAAATAATTTAATTTGATGTTATTTAACATCAAATAAATATATATTTCAAGCAGACCAGATATTTTACAAACACATTTACAAAGCAAATCAGAAAATTTATAAACAAATTCACTAAGCAGACAATTTACAAACACACAAACAAAAACAATTCAAATTTAAAAAAGGGATTTAAGTAATGATGTGTTCTATGAATATAGGTAAATATTTTTGGTTTAAATAACTCAAAACTTATTTTATAAATGCTTTTTTATGAAACAATAATAACTTATTAACAATATATGAAATAAAGATAGAATGTCTCGCACTTTTATAAATATGAGATAACATGTATTTCCATTTGATGAAACAAATACAATTTAAAGCATTTTATTGTAAAAAGACAACACTTCATGAAACAAAGATACTTGTTTCACCACATTAAGAATAATTGAATAATAAAAACTTGCTAAAAATCTTAAAGCTGGTAACTAGGATATCACTAGTTATTTATGAATAGAATAATTATTATTAAAAATTTTCAATTAATAAATAAATATTTTAAACATCTATTTAAACATGTGTGTACCGAAAAGAAACAATATGAAACATCTAATAGATATTTATATAAAACTGTAATATAGATAACAATATAGATATAGAAACAACAACATATCTAGATTGTTTTGTGTTTGCACTTTACAACAACCTTAAAAAAAAAATAAAAAAAAATTATAAAGAGCAAAAACAATTTGTGAGTGGAATGATATCATAAGAGAAAAATAACAGAAAATAACAAATTACTTAACTTAAAGAACAAATAAATAGAATTTGAACTGTTAAGATAAAATAATTTTAATTCAGAATAAAATGATTAAAAAAAGATTAAAAATATTCCAAAATTATATTAAAAAACAACTTGAAAGAGAAAAAGAGACTTTACTGCTTTGTTTTCATCTTTAAAAAAATTGGAATAGATTCATTGGCACAAAATTTTAGGAAAATAATTTTCCTTGTGTTTTTACTTTTCTATAGTTTTGACATCGTTTTATTTTGTACAATGTTTTTCTTTTTTATTATCTAAATTAACTAACATCATTAAAATTAACTAGAAAATGTACTAAATTAAAAGTTATATTTAAATTAGGCAGCCAAGAGTTATTGTTTTAGTAGCTATAAAAGCATTTAGAGACATCTTTACAACTAGAGTTGATTTCTTAATATCTCATATAATTTTAAAATTACACAATATCTTATAATATCATATCTTATAGTATCAAAAAAATTTAGCTTAAACAGCATTAAAAATAAAATTAAAGATAAACAACTTCATTTTTGTTGAATGCGATTGCTCACTTAACTTAATAATAAATACTTTTTTGTAAATAGTACAATATTTTATACAGTTTATATATTAAAAATAATTGTAATTTATATAAAGATTGTATTTTAAAACAGAACTATTATTTAAAACAGAACTAATTTTTTAAAACAAAACTTTAAAACAGAAGTACGATACCCTTGCAAATAATCTAAAAAGATAACTAAAATAATTAATACCTATGCCAGCTCCCACAAGGTATTGCGCAGCAGGACATCCTAATCCTCCAACACCAACAATAAGCACTTTTGATTTTCTAATAAGCACTTGACCTGTTTAAAAAATTTACAGGACTAAAATTTATATTTTTTTATGTTGCACATACACATATACATATACATACATATACATACATATATACACTAACTAACATATAGAAAAAACAATATAGGATGTAGCCATTTTTTAGGATGTTATAAAAATGAAAAAACAGAACCCTTTATATTGAACACAAACATAACATAACTTAGTTTATATATTAAAGACTGTTGTATAAAAAATATAATTAAAATTTTGTTGTTGTTGTTGCTGATTCAATTCCATGTTAATCTTCTAAATCTTTAGGTGAGAAAACTTCAGAATCCTTAAGTAAGAAAGAATGGGTGACACAATTTCAGAATGCTTAAGAAGGAAGAATTAGGTGACACAACTTCAGAATGCTTAACAAAAAAAGTAGTCTAAAACAACTATAGAATGTTTAAAGAAGGAGAAAGCAGTGAAATAAATTTAATGTGGTTGGTGTAACTTTTAAATGAATTTTTATTAAAAGCTTGTTCTTCAATATTCATTTTAAAAATAAATTGATTTAATTTAAAGAATCAAAAACTTGATAAAAAAAAACAAAAACATTTGTCACAATTAATAAAACGCTCATACATTTATTGCGAGCACTTAAATAAGATAGAAAATGTTTAAAAATTCTCCATTGCGCCTAAATCAAAGCAGAAAAGTTTTAAAAAAAAAAAATTTCTTTTCATATCTCTAAAACATTTTTAGCGTAAAATAAGTATTCAATATCAAACTAAAAAACAAAAATGGTAGCTGCATTTGTTTTTTAAGTGAAGGCCAGCGTTTGAAAAAAAAAAATTTTTCTGTCAATTTTATGCTATTTGTTCTCACACTCGTGTTAGTAATGCAGTGATTATATATCTATATATCTATCTATCTATATATATCTATATCTATATCTAAATATATATCTATATCTATATCTAAATATATATATATATATATATATATATCTATATATATCTATATCTATATCTAAATATATATCTATATCTATATCTAAATATATATCTATATCTATATCTAAATATATATATATATATATATATATATATATATATATATATATATATATATATATATATATATATATATATATATATATACACCTTTTGCCGACCTCATTTTTTTGTAATTTCGAGGGTTATGTATATATGTATCTACTATAGCATATTTATATGCGCACTTGCTCACTTTTTTTGCTCATTTAAATCAATATAGGTTTTTTAGAAAAAGAAGAAAACAAAGAATAATGAATGAAATGATTCCTGCCCCATCCCAAAACCTTTAGGCTATGTAGCAGCACTCCACTGCGAGTCAGGCTATTTGTCAGTCGATGTATGTACTGAAGCCCCCGACAGCAGACTATTTCAGTATGACATCACTCTGCTCACCTAACTCAGGAGTATAAGATATATATATATATATATATATATATATATATATATATATATATATATATATATATATATATATATATATATATATATATATATATATATATATATATATATATATTTACTATTTACTATACCCTAATATCCTAATATACTTTTTGCAATTCAACAAGCATTAACCATTAATGTTGCATCTATAACATTTAAAGGATATGTTGATGACTGCCATACACACTTTTCTAACTTTGATAAAGCAGAATTGATTTTGACAGTTTTAATTCCTCAAGACAATAGACATTCAAAAGATCAATTTAATTTCTTAGATGGCGGCATTTCAACTAATCATATAACTCACAAATTTAACTTTTCCATATAGTGAAAGAATGCAATAACGAATTTACTGGTAAAACTGCAACTGTATATATTACCAAATATTGCAATAGGAATATAACTTTTTATTTTACTTCAAATCACCAGTGAAGAATCTTTTAATTAACAAGTAACAAGAAAAATCCAAGAGGCTATTGAAATAGACAGATTGTAATGTTGCTACAGAAAAAAAAAATTCTAAACCAGGTTAATAGCAATCTAGTGTTGACTCACCATTGGAAACCTTTTTTTTTAAATATAAATTTTTTTAATAAAAATTTTTATAATAATATGCATCATTACGGTAAATAACGATTTTTTGTAATTTATTTTGGCTTGAAAATGGCTCATATAGGCGTCAAAATATCACTTAAAATTATCAAATTTATAACAAGTTAAATAAATGTGTCACCATAAATGGTGACATACATTTCTACTACTATTAATCATATTATCATATAAGGATAAGTTAAATTATATCTTCCCATTGCAATGGAATGATTAAACGCTTCATTTTCCTAGTTTAAGTTTAGCGTTTCTTTTTTCAGCGCATTTCTGAAATGTTTAAATCATCAAAACATCTAAACAGTTGTGGTCAAGTTGTCAACAAAAAAAATCATTTGCGTGGTCTGCAATAGCATTCAAATTGCACGCTATTCCTTTTCAAGTCTTTTATATATATATATATATATATATATATATATATATATATATATACATATACATACATATATATATATATATATATATATATATATATATATATATATATATATATATATATATATATATATATATATATACATATATGTATATATATATATATATATATATATATATATATATAAATATATATATACATATACATATATATATACATATATATATACATATATATATACATACATATATATATATATATATATATATATATATATATATATATATATATATATATATATATATATATATATATATATATATATATATATGTATATATATATATATCTGATATCATACTGAAATAGGGAGCTGCGAGGGCTTCAGTACATACATCAACTGAGGAAGAATTGCAAGGAAATTGCTACTATATGGACTTAGTGTTTAGGTATGGACAGCAATAAGTTTTTTTCATTATTCTTTATTATTATTATTATTTATTTTTTTTTTTGGAAAAAAATGTACATACGCGTTATAGTATAAATATATATTTATATTATTTTTTTTTTTTATTATATATAAAATCAATATATTTTTAAAATATCAACTTATGTATAAATACTACCTAGAGCAGACACTTCAGGAAGAATAATCTGTCTTGAATAACGTTCAATGTCGTTATTGCTTAAATTACATTTTTTTATTGGATGAATTATTGGTTGATTGCATAATTCAGAATCCACTGAACTTTTTTCTGAATTTAATTGAAGTTTGAGACTTTCCAGCTCAGCTTCCAAAACTAAAATTCTTGCTTTAATATCTGATGTCATGATGATAACAATATCCTACAATCCTAAAATCTTTAAACTAGAACATGTTTTTATTAAGAGCTAAATAAAAAATAATAACTTTTAACTACAATTATATATAGATATACATGAAATTATACAATTATTGAAAACATATATACTTAAAATAAATTTGATATTCTATATCTAAAAAGATGCATTTTAAATGAAACAAATTTTGCAAAATATTTTTAACAATTTTTAGTAAAAATAAGTTAAGCATAATATTAAAATTTATAATTAAGACATAAACATATAAACAAACACCATACATATTCATACAAATTACAAACATTTTATATTTACAAATTACAAACGTTTTATATGTATCATAATTAACATAATTGGAGGGTGTTTGCCAGAAATACATTTTTTACAGCGTTTTTGCAATATTGGGAATATTTATTGTTATTGTTCTACAAAATATTAGGAACTTTTATTGATATAAGGTCATTGAATTTTGGGAACTCTGTGTTTTATGCGGAGTCATTGGGCTAACACCCTGAATTGGTGTATAAATATTGATATAACATGAATATATTGATATAACATGATTGATATAATTAATATAACATGATTAACATAACATGATATAACAAGATTGATATAACATAATTATAACATAAATATAAATATTGATATAGCATAAAATAACCTTACTATAAAACAAATGTTTAAAAAAATATATAAACTATTATTTTAAACATTATACAAATTATAAAATACTATTTTTGTAAATTTTATAATTAATTATAAATATATATGCATCAAATGAATAATAAAGCATTAAAAAGTAAAGAATGGAAAATATAAAAAACATAGATGTAAAAAGAATATTAACAAACAAAAGTTATTTTTGTTTAAAATTTGGAAAATAATATATTTATATAGCACAAATACTTTGAAGTCCTAAAACTGCTTTCTGTAAACTTTCTTGCTCTGAACCCATTGTATCAACCTCTACCCATTTTTCATAACCAATTCGTCTGTATGCTTCTTTAATTCTAAATAAAATGTTCATTTTTAATATAATGAAAATTTTTAAAACGATTGAATCATTGGTTCAGTTGAAAAAAAACAATACTACAAGCCTTCCCAGAAAGCGCATGCGGTCGCACACCTTGTTCGTCCACCCTTAAAGTAATTTTTTTATACAACTTGACCACATTTTTATATAGTAAGCGTTTTAAAAATTTGCAGCAAAATTTAGTTTAGTAAGAAACTAAAGAGAATAAAACAGCAATACTCGAAGAAAAGAACAGAAGACTATACAAAACAGAAAACCTAAATAAAATAAGCTGAAAAATAGGATATTAAAAAAAAGAAAATTGTTTTTAAAAAAATAATATACTAAATATTTAATTGTTTTTGTTTTCTTATTTTTAGGGTGTTTGTAATTTTTCACTACCAAAATTAATACAAGTTGAGGAAAAAAGTAGATATGAATATAACAAAAATAAAAATATTTTGTGATATACAATTTTTTCCAGACTTTTTCAAGTCGGTATATTAAGGAAATACTTTATAGTTTGCGCTAGAAAAATTAATAATTTTTAAATTTGTTTTTCAAATATTTTTGCTAAACTTTACTGTTTTTATCAATGCACAGGAAAGCGAGGAAACTAATTGCTATTTATTTGTAGTTTTCATGTAAAAAAAAAAATAAAAAGTCATTAATACCTATATTTAAACATAAAATATTTAGTTGTTTTCAATACCCACATTGAAAAAGTCTGCACTTTTGTTGGATTATCCAAATTGTGCATTTAAACCCGATAGTTTATTTCCTGATGAACTGTCATTGAAGATGCTCCAAAAACTTGTGGGCTAGTACATTGTTAATTTACTGAACTTTTTTAACAAAATGTTAAGAAGCCTATTTAAATTTTTTTTTTTAAGTTTTCAAATACATTTTTTTAAAAAGAGCAATTTTTATGTTCATTATCTCTAGTAATTCGTATTAACATTGGAAATTGGGTAATATAAAAGAAACAATTTCAGACATGCATCAAATGCGGTAAACACATTTATTAAAGAAACCATGTTATTCTTTTATCTAACTTATTCCGTCATTACAAAATTTATCAATCAAATAATATTTTTTACAAATAAATATAAATTACGTACAAAATGAATAAAGATAAGAAAAAAATTAACAAAATTTCTCATAGTTCTAGCGTACATATCAAATTAGTTTCTTAATTTTATATGGGACTGATAAAAATCGTGAATAAATTGCATATAAAAACTTACAATTAATGTCAAATCGTTATAAAAGATTTTTTTCAACAACTCAAAAAAAAAAAAAGGAAGATGTATAAAAATAAAAAATAATTTTTTTTTTTTTTTTATTTACCTTTGTTTAATTATTAAATTTTATAGTTTATTTAATTAAACTTGATATTTTGTTACAATTTTGTTTCTTTTTTTAGGATTGTTTTTTTTTCTTAGTAGATAAGTTAAGCTTTTTGCTGCAAATTATTGAAACATTTAACTAGTTAAAAGATAAGAACTGCCGTGGTCAGTTGGTCAAAAAAAATTACTTTAAATGGGGATAAACAAGGCATGCGACTGCCGCGCTTCCCAGGAAGGCTTGTTACTAAGTCATGTTTACAAGATAAAAAAATGAAACCTTTCTCTTAGCTGTGTGCTTTTGCTAATTAACTGTTCTTCACTTGTAATTTCTTGTCTTATATTTACTCGTGTATCTCTATCTACTTCAGGAGTAGTAAGAAATACAACTGCACTTGGACGAATTAAATCAGAAGGCCACAAATATACAGAATGGCATTTTGGTGGTAATGAACAACTACAAGTTGATTCTTTTGCTATTGCATAAGATGTTGTACTGTGCCAAAATCTAAAAGTACAAACAACTTTTATTAATGACATGTTTCTTGTGATGATAACTGTTTATGTAATTTCTTATTTTTATTATTATAATTAATTATAACTGTTATTATTATAGTTAGTTAACTAATTTTTTTTATAGCTACAACTAAATAATTTTTTAGATTAATGCAAAATATAATGACAAAAAATTTTAATTGTATCAATTAAAATAACAGTTATAAATCAAGCTAAAAATAATAAGAGATAAGTTAGAAGGACAATAAAATACAATCATAATTAATAATATTGGATAAACTAATTATGAATAATAAAAAAATACAACAAAAATAAATTTCAATTAACTTTTTTTTCTCCCCATTTTCAACTTTTACCTATCCAAGACAACAGGTTGTGTTTGCAATGTGTTATATATCTGCTGTGCAGCAACATAGTTACTAAAGGAGTAGAAAGATCTTCTAAGCATTTCTGGGAGTGGATTAAACATTTTTTTAAATGAAGCAATTTCATCAGGGGGAGTTCTTAATGCAACACCGTTTAAATGTTTTGCTAAGTTTTTTGTCATTGTAGATTTACCTATTAAAAAATTACATTAATTCTATAAATACAAATAAAAAATACAAAAAATCAAATACACAAATATATTCACAGAAAATACACAAAAGAAATGTTTAATACAATTGTTGTAGTAATTTTTCTTTATATTCAAAGTTTTATGTTGATAATTATACGATCATTAGTAATTTCTTCGATTTTTAAAACTTTATTATAAGTGTTTTCTTTGAATATTTTTTGAAATTTCATAATATTTGATGTTAATAACTTTTAAACAAACTGTTGATTGTAAACTTTAAATAATAAATATTATTTAATAATATAATAACATTAAAAATGTCAATTAATAATAAAATAATACTAGTTAAGATTTAACTTTAAGATTAGTTAAGACAAATTTAAGACATTGTTGCTCTTTTAAATTCAGAAGCATTTATCTTAGGGAGATTAATAAGATAAATCAATGTTAAGATTCATTAAACTTAGGGAGATTAATAAGATAAATCAAAAAAGAAAAAAACTTTAAAGTCTAATTTAAAAATTAAAATAATTTTGAAGAAAAGAATTTATTTTGTTACTATTACTTACTATTATTACAATTATTATTATTACTTAAGATCATTTAATATGTTTTTAAAGAAAAATGTTTTTAAGCAATTGTAAAAAAACAAATGGTGATCATACAAATACAATATTTCTGCAACAATATTAATCTTTTTGCTCTAAAAAAAACTTGCAAACCTCATTTGCAACTTTTGTTGCAATCTTATAATAAAAAACTTTACAAAATACTTGATGTGATCTTAACTTTTATGTAATCTTAAGGTTATGAATAAAAAATAATTTCAATTTATCTTTGTAACTATATTATAAATACCTAATTGAAAAAAGCTGTCTACAGTTTTAATTTGATTATTTGATTTTTAAGTTTTTACTTTAAAAAGTTGAAATATGCATAACCTCACTATAAAATCTAGTGAGGTATAAAATATATTTAAAAGTTAAGAAAAAAATTGAACCTGTCCCATCCAGCCCCTCAACAACTATAAAAGGGTGTTTTAAATTGCTTGGATTACCCAAATAAACATGTTTTGAAAACTTTAGCAAATCTTCATTTCCAACCTAAAAAGTTGACAACAAAGGTTCACTTTGAAAATAAAACTTTACTAAAGGAATTTAAAAAATCTTTAAATTAATCAAAATAATAAATAGTTTAACACATTTTTAAATAAAACAATTTTTTAAAAAAACCTTTTTTTTTTCTAAACTAACTGACCTGATTCAAAACTCTAAGTGTCTTCTCAAAAGAATTAAAAACAGGGTTGTTCTGAGAATCAAATACAGGATGGTAACCTTCAAACTTCTCTATCATAAACTCTAATCCATTAATTGCTTCGTCACTTGATTTAATGAACATTTTTTCGCCAACCCAATGAAACAAATGATGAGCAAAGTTTTCAGGTATGAGAGCATCCTCATTGACCACTAATGAACGTTGAAAATTACCCTGAGTTTGCACATAACCTTTATAAATAGGATCTTTAAATGAGCAAACTAAAGATTCCAACTTTAATAAATTTTTTTCTGTGTCAAACAGTGAATTTGGATGTATTACTAAAAAGGACTTGCTGTGTAATGGAAAACCACTTAGACAACAACCTGCTCTAGATTCACTGGCAGGTTTTAATTCATAGATTCCACCCTGCGTTTCTACACCAAAAATATGATTTTTACGTTGACACAACATAACTACTTTTGAAAAATTTTTCTTCAGCGCATTCAACTTCAGATAAAACATTGCTGCAGTACTTTCAAAGGTATTTATCATACATACTATTAAATTGTAAAAGTAAAGATATCTGAATATATAATACAACTACATACATAATAGAAAAATTATTAGTAAAAGTAAAACAGATATCTGAATATATAATACAACTACATACATAATAGAAAAATTATTAGTAAAAGTAAAACAGATATCTGAATATATAATACAACTACATACATAATAGAAAAATTATTAGTAAAAGTAAAACAGATATCTGAATATATAATACAACTACATACATAATAGAAAAATTATTAGTAAAAGTAAAACAGATATCTGAATATATAATACAACTACATACATAATAGAAAAATTATTAGTAAAAGTAAAACAGATATCTGAATATATAATACAACTACATACATAATAGAAAAATTATTAGTAAAAGTAAAACAGATATCTGAATATATAATACAACTACATACATAATAGAAAAATTATTAGTAAAAGTAAAACAGATATCTGAATATATAATACAACTACATACATAATAGAAAAATTATTAGTAAAAGTAAAACAGATATCTGAATATATAATACAACTACATACATAATAGAAAAATTATTAGTAAAAGTAAAACAGATATCTGAATATATAATACAACTACATACATAATAGAAAAATTATTAGTAAAAGTAAAACAGATATCTGAATATATAATACAACTACATACATAATAGAAAAATTATTAGTAAAAGTAAAACAGATATCTGAATATATAATACAACTACATACATAATAGAAAAATCATTAGTTAAAAACACAATATTAAAATAAAAGATTAATATGAAAAGTTCAAACATTACTTTTAATATTTTATTTTCTTACTATTTTATTATGACTTTTGTTTTTTTATTTTCATATCAAAAATGTACAATAATTTGATATTAAAAACATACAAAGAACTCAATGTTTGATATCAAAAACAGAAAATGAACTTGAAATGAAATTTTTTTTTGAAATTGTGTCAAAGAAAACAAATTCATAAGACATTTAAAATCTTTTATTTAAGAACAGCTAACAAAAAATCTAAATCTTCCACACAACTTCTTCTTTAATTTTCTCTGACTTAACACACAGCAGAGTGTCACCTTCTTGAAAATCTGTAAAATTGTTAAGCATTATTCCACACTCAGAAAGCTTCTTTGCCACAGTTATTTCTGTTGAACCACGTCTTAAAGATTTTAGTGACCCTATAACAAAATTTTTTTCGGTTAAACAACATTTTGAGTTTTACAAACAGCTTAAAAACTGTATATGTAAACATTACAAATGTTTCTTTGCTTGCACACCAGTTTTATGGTTGTTTTGTTTTAATTTTTACACTAATGAAGATATCAGAGTGTAAAAAATCAAATGTACTTTGATGTTAAAAAAATAAAATAGTGCAGGTAGGTAGTAGTACTATTTGATGTAAAAAAATAAAATAGTGTAGATAGGTTGAAAATATTTTGATGTAAAAAAATAAAATAGTGTTAGTAGGTAGAAAATATAAAGAAGTAAACAAAAAAAATTTGTCTTTATTTTAAAAAATTACCTATATATTTGTATTCGTACCACATTATTTCTATTTTGAAACATTATTTCTATTTTGAAAAATTACATATTATTTCTATTTTGAAAAATTAAACATTGTTTTTGTAAAACTTGTAAATAAACCAAATCTGAAACTTTGTTTAGCGTGTGGCTAAACAAAATTAAGCAAAGCCAAAGATGCTTGAATATTTTTTCTACTTTACAAAAGTGTTAAAAATAAAATTTATGCTAAAAATTCTATGTACTATTAATAAAATAAAGTGCAGCAATAGAAATTAAAAAGTGCAATAACAAAAAAACAAAAAAAAAATTTCTTTATCAATTTATATATAAATGTTTACATATTTGTACAAATACGCAGTATATTATTTCTATTTTGTAAACAAAATACTTTGTGAAGTTGTAGCAATTGGAATGCTTTTTCAACCGGAGGTGCAATTAAAATGCTTTTTTGATCAATTGTGCAACATAGTTAGATCATAGAGCTGTTGGGATGTTGATAAGCATAAAAGGCTAAAAGCCAATAAGTTAAAACAATAAATTAGGTCAAAGAATAATTTAGTATAAAGAGTAAAACTGAACTTTTAAAAAGAGTTCTGTAAAAATACTATATAAAATATAAATTTTATATATGTATTCAAATTTTTTAGTTTATATATATTTCACAAACTATAAAATTAAAAAGAATTAATAAAAGAATGTAATAATTAATCATTACTGGAAGCCTCTGCTGGGGACCGCTTCTTTTCCGAATAACGGTCTTGTGAGGTTTATTCTTGACACAACTTACTAATAATTGTTATAACTTTAGGTCTTCAAGAGCGAGGCCTGCTTTAAATAGTTTTTTGCTGACAAAATCTTTTCATAATGTGACTTATTTCTGGTTTAGAAATTTTGCAAAGTCAAGAAGTTTTTCTGTCAGTTTTTTCCCATAGCTTTTATAATTATTTTCTTTATATCATTTAAAACATCATTAGCTTTCCCCATGCTTTTAAAATATATAGCTGAATTATAAAATTTTGCATCTATTTTGGGAATCAGTTATATTTTACTACTTTTTGAAATATCTTAAAGTGAATTTTTAAATTTCACAAAAATTTTGGCCTTTAATTTACAAAAACTTGATTTAATTGCAGGATGGGAGTGTTTTTAAACTTTTGCATGATCATCTTTTCAAAAAACAAATAAATTTTAAATAACTGATAAATTGTAAAATTTTTGTGGTTTGTATTTTAAATTGAAATAATATAAAACATACTTGGTAAAACTTTTAGCTTATTTAAAAACCTTAAAAACCGAAAAATCGAAGAAAATTCAGCGTTTCTAAACTTTAGAAAATAATAATAAATATCATTTTTACTGAGATATTATATACCATAACTTTGATTTGTTTCAGAGAAACATAACTATGATGTGTAGTTTCAAAGAAACATAATTTTGTAGCAAAAGCACTCATAAGATTTTTTTTAAATTTCATTTAATTATTTTTTAGTGTTAGAAAGTTTTTGAACATATAAAATTTTCAGCTCTATTAAAATGAGATTATAAATTTTACATGGTCATTTTGTTTGAACATTCAAAGATAATTAAATGAAATTTAAAATCTGTGGATAAACCTTGGAATTTAGTAAAAGATAGTAAATTAAAACATATCATTAATTTGTAGCTCTTGCATTTGAGGTAGCAGCAGTAAATCAGTTGGAGTAATTTTGTTCCTAGACTCCAATTTTTCAGGCTCCAAATATTTTTAAAATATTTCCATTCTATATAAGCATGAATATACTTAAATTTAGAGTTTTGACTGTCTGAAATTGTCATATCTAAAATACTTTGCTAAGACCTAGAATCACAAAAAACAATTATTTCAAATAAGTGACAAAAGGTGCGGCTACATCATTCACTAAATTTTCTAGATTAAACAATTTAACATCAATAATAAATATAAACAATAATAAATATAAATATAAACAATTGTAATAATAAATCATCAATAAATGCTGCAACCAATTGTGGTTTTCCAGCTTCACTAAAGTTAAAAAATTATTTTTTCAATATTTTTTCATATTTTGGCTCTACTTTCACAACTTTAAAAAAAATCTAAATTTAAAACTCATAGATCATATTTTAAAAATCCAGAAAATCATTTGGGTATAATATCCAGAAAAAATTCCTTTTAATTTTGATTTTAGCTGAGTTAATGCGGTAGTGGTGTAGTGGTAGAGCGCTCGCTTCATAAACGAGTGGTTCCGAGTTCGATCACCACCACGTCCCTGGTAGTACCGCGCTCAACTCGTTTCTCCGCGCAGCGGCCTTGTTCGTCAAGGTTCGTGTTTCGGAGTTATAGAGTTGAGAGAGGGTTATAGCCACAAAATAAGTACCCTCCTCGTCTGTAGTGGCCTTCTCGGCCTTGAGGAGGTGAAGTAAAATAAAAAAAAAAAAAAAAAAGTTGTTTCTAATTTTTTTTTCAAATTTTTTAAATTTTTGTACGAGTGATGAATGAAAAAGCTTAAAAAACATATATATTACAAAAATATATAACTAAACTTGTATGTATGGGGTAATTTGCTACTTGAGAAACTAGGTAAATGTCAATATTTTTTGATTATTTTTTTTGTAATTGTATTTTTATAAAATTTGCTTCTAGTTTGACTCTTTGTGTATTTGCATTTAGAAAATGTTATTTTTTTGAACACCCCTAATAAATACACAACCCATTAAATTTCTCTTAAATTACACTTTTGACTTAAAATACTAACTTTGTACCTGAATATCTTATTATTAAAGTTTTTATTATTTTAACATATTCATATAGAAAATGTGTATAAAAAATTCAAAATTTCAATTTTGCCTTATGTCTCACAGTAGAATGGTGTGAAAGTTAAAACTGCCAATATTTACTTGTTTACTGAAACCAGCTACTTCAATTTCTAATTGCACTTCCCTGAGTTGATTTCTAAAAAACATTGTGCATCTAAGAAAACATTCATAAGAATCCAAATATCATACTTTAATTTTAAGTCTTAAAACCTCACTACTAGATCCATCTCAGATTTCTTATTAAATATATAACACATAACCAGCCATTCTGATGCACAGAATTGCACTTTAAAAAGATCTCTGAAGTCAGGACTCCATGGTTAACAATATGTTTGTATGGTTAACAATGTTTGAATTTATCCTTACTAAGTTCTATCATAGATGCAATCAATATCAAATATCAAATGGTTTCTTTCTAACCGCTAAAATCATCTTCAAAGAATGTCAATCTTCTTTATGTCTTCTAGGATTTTCGTTTACTACTAACTTTTCATGGAAACCATATATACAATGGATTGCTAAATTAGCATCTGCTAAGGATCCTTCTTTTTATTATGCTTGCCATTTTTTCTCTCCTGATTTCCTTCTTTACCTCTACAAATCTCCTATTTGTCTATCTATGGAATACTGATGCCATATTTGGGCAGGTTCTTCTAATGATGCTCTTTCTCTTCTAAACAAGGTCCAAAAACACATTGTAAAGGTATCTGCTAACTTTGAGCCTCTTTCTCATTGTTGTAAAGTTACATCTCTTTCTCTTTTCTACAAATATTATCATGGTTGCTTCTCGAAGGAGCTATCATCTCTAGTTCCATCAACTAAAACTCAATCTTTATTTGTCTAGCTTTTGTACCCGCACCTTAACCCTTTGGAACTCTCTTCCATCTTCATGTTTTCCTGACTCAAACAACCTTCAACTTTTCAAATCTTCTGTCAATCGTTTCCTTGACACTAGATTTGAAAAGTTGAAGGTTTTTTTTTTTCTTCTAGTTACTAGAAGAAAAAAAAAAAACTTTTTTTTTTTTCTTCTAGTAACTCACAACCTAATAGTGGTTGCTTGCAGCCTTGTTGGGAGTGAATCAGAATAAATAAATAAAAAAAATCTTGTTGTTTGGAAAAATTATCTGTGATGCAATGACATCATTGGTAACATAATTATCACTGTATCCACAAACAACATGCTAAAAATCCATTGAACCTTTGCGTTAAACTTACCTCCATTATGATAAATAAACAAATTATTTCATGAAATTGTGTACAAGGAAGCTCTGTTACAACTAGATCTGCTGAGGTACTTGCTTTAGTATCTTTGCATATTTTAATAGATAATTCTGTGGCATCTTTAGATTTTTTAACAAAAAAGTTAATGATTTTTTCTGTTCTTGAATCATTTTCTTCTGTTCTTGAGTCATTTTCTTCACAAAGATGATAGATGACAATAGATGATGATAGATAAATGATTGGATGATAGTTATGAGAGTAATTTCTAGACTTTATTAAAATAGAAACAGACGCCACCTTCCAGTAGGCAAATGAGTTCTCAAAAACACATTTGCAAGACTCTGACAGCAATGTTTAAATGAGCAGTAGCAACTGAAGCATAACTATTTACTATCTATCACTTTTGTTAAATAAGAATTTCATCAAAACAATAGATAGATTTAAGCTCTTAAACTAGATAAATAATGTAAGTTATAAAAATTATTTATAATATTAGAGTACTGATCTCTAGATCAAAAGATCTCTTGCTTAAATTTTGTTTTAGGGTTATAAAATTTGTTAAATTACATTTTCTTTGGTAAAACTCTAGGCCAGGTGAACAAAGAAAAGCAATTGCTTTAACTCAGCATTTTTGGAGTAATTGTTCAGCTTTACATGAATAAAATTTTTAGCAAACTCAAATAAAGCTCACATAAAGCTAAGCAATTCCTAAACCCTGAACAATAGCAATTTTTTCTTATTCATCTAACTTAGGGTGTCTGCTAAGATCTTTTTATAGAAATATTTAAAAAATATATATAGTTAGATAAAAATACTAACTTCAAGATAAAAATACTTTAGGGAGAAGTAAAAAGTTTTGAAACTTAATAAATAATAGTTATAAACAATTACAATTATAATGATCATTAATAATTATAATAATCATTAATAAATTATAATAATCATTAATTATAACATTTGTTAATAATTATAATAATCATTAATTATAATAGCCATGAATAATTATAATAATCATTATTAATTACAATAACCATTTATAACTATACTAATCATTAATAACTAAAACTTTCATGTTTGATTTCTGACTTGTTAACTGTATAAAAGTGTTTACCTATTAATAGCAAATTTTGCCAAAGTTAATTGCTATGAACAAAGTTAATTGCTATGAACAAAGTTAATTGCTATGAACAAAGTTAATTGCTATGAACAAAGTTAATTGCTATGAACAAAGTTAATTGCTATGAACAAAGTTAATTGCTATGAACAAAGTTAATTGCTATGAACAAAGTTAATTGCTATAAACAAAGTTAATTGCTATGAACAAAGTTAATTGCTATAAACAAAGTTAATTGCTATGAACAAAGAAATACAAAAACCTCTAACAAAGGTTGTTTTACTGGTTTCTTAAATTCAGTAAAACATATTATTTTAAATATAAATTAAAAATACTCAAAAGACAAATACACTACAAATTACAAATTAATTTCTATTACTCTGTTTACCATAAAATCTCTATTAGCCAAATGACAAAAAATCTCTCTTAGCAAAATGACAATAAAATCTTTAGTTGACAATGTTCGGTTATAAAAACATTAAAATATATAAGGCTGATTTATACTGCTAATTTGCGTTTTTAGATCAGCATTTGGTGAGCAATAAAGCTCAATTAAACCTACACAGTTTTTCAAAAAAAGAAGAACATAAATAGTTATAAAAAAACAGTTGCTGGCCTAATCCAAACCTTCAGTCAATGCAGCAGTACTCCCTAGCATGTTCTCTCTTGACAGTACATTGTTTGAACTAAAATCAGGACCGTGTAAAAATTTGTCAGTCTCAAAATTTGTTCAAATTACAAGAGTTTTTGAATTATAGAGATTAAGTTACAAAATTTTTTAAATTACAATTTAATCCTAAATATTAAAACCTGAAGAGACCAAAAACTTTGTTCGATTCAAATCTTTGAATTATAGAAGTTTGAAGTACAAGAATTGTATGTATGTATATATCTCTTGAATGTCATAATAGAATAAAATGAATAAATACTTTTACAAATAATCCAAAATTTTTTATTTTTGATATGATTTACAAATATATTTTTAAATTATCAAAATATTTATTTTAAAATATAAATTTCTGGAATAAATATTAAAAATAGAAGACTTTACAAAAAAATATTAATGGCCAAAAATGTACATAAACCACTAAAAACATTTACAAATATGACTCAGTAAATAACCAATATAATAAAATTACTTAAATAAAAATCAAATAATCAGGCAGTATCTTTTGAATATGTAAAAATAAATTTAAGAAACACATTAAGAATAAAAAATATCAAGTTATTTTTAATGGGATCCCTAAGTGCCAAGACAAGTTGTGTTCATATCATAGATAAACATTAGAAAATAAGTTGAAAGTTAATTAAACTTTCTAAAACAAATTATTGAATGAGATATTAACAAAAGCATTTGTTGTTTTGCCATTATACTCCTGGCTAAGAGCCTAATTTTAGGCTCTCAAATCTGCATTGTTTTTTCCATTAAAAAAAATCTGGTTTCAATAATAAATGTTTTTGTTCACCACAGAGTTTTTTTAGATTCAATTCAGTTTTACACAATCAGATTGGATTTTCCTCCTTCATTTTTAGTCTGCGATAGTTAAAAAAAACATTCGCTGTAGCATGTTTTCATTTTTTGTTCAACGTATGGTAAAGTGTTTGAGTTACAATAGACTAGCATAATAAAAATAGTAATTAAGCGAAACAAACTTTAAAATACACAAGATAAATATTTGTCTTTATATTTTTATAATTTATAATTTTTTTATATACAACACCAATTACAACATAATCCAACATCTTTAAAAAAAATCTTTATTTTTTTAATAAGTTCAGGAAACTGTTTTAAAAATGATCTTATACATATTTTTAACTTATTTTTATAATTTAAATTTCTAATTCAAGAAGCCGTTTTTAAAATGATTAGTATATATTTTTAAGATATATTTAAAATTGATATTAAAAACTTGAATCTTATATTATTGTTTAACCGCCAAAGGGGCAACCCCTGCATTTTAAACTTGTATTAAGTTTTTTGAAAGAAACTGTTTTTATTGACGTCAAATATAAGCGCATAAGTAATGCATAAGAATTCAGACCAGATTTAAAAAATAAAAATAGTGAAAGAGCCAAAACTTTCCCTTAGCGAGAAACAAAATGGCGTTAAAAACTAAGAAGTTTTTTGTTAATATCTCATTCAGTGATTTGTTTTGGAAAGTTTAATAAATTTCAATTTATTTTCTAATGTTTATCTATGAAATGAACACAACTTGTCTAGGCACTTAGGGATTCCTTTAAAAATATGTGTATACGTATAATTGTTTTTAATCTATAACTAAATACCTTTAAAAATTTCTTCTCCATCCCTCAATACTTTCCATACATAACCAGTTGTGTTATCTAGAGATCCTTCAAGAACACGACAACCAGCAGCAACACCTTTTCGGGCGCCTGTTAGTTTAAAAACTCCAGCAACCAAAGCCTCTCCAATAATTGTTTCATTGATCTTATATGGGAGGTTGCTTTCTACATCCTCCTAAAACAGAAAAACATTCCGAAATTGTTGCTTAAGACCTTATAAAGTTAGATACATAATTATCTTTTGCACTTTTTAAATTTTGCAATGCCAGTGTTTCAATATTGTTATATAGTTTTTATTCACTGCAAACTCTTTATAAAAACATATTAAAAAATGTTTGTTTGCTTTTTTTTGTTTTTTTATTACCTTCATCTCTTTAAGTCAAGAGGGTATAGATAAATATATGATTATAACTTTATAAATAAATAATTAACTCTCCTAGCCAGGAGGCTAATCATTTATTTATAAAGTTTATCATAGAAAAATTATCTTCAAAGTCGTTTTTTGAAAATGGGATAATCTTATAAGAATTCATTGATAGGATCTATCATACTTAGCATGCATCTAGCAGATGAGAGCTGATTGAATCTGATAAAAGATATTGGTTCCACTATTCCATACCAAATATTCTTAACATTAATTAGGCTGTTACCAAAATATGTTATTTTTCTTTCTTTAATTTCAATTGATTTGTTTTCTTTAGGCTATATACTTTAAAAATAATTCATTTATAGTATATCGTTGGACTTTTTTAACTTTTTTAACAGAAATAAATTTAAGCATGTATTTGTAAGCCAAGATTAGATTTGAACTGAATTTGTTCGTTAATGATCATTTTTAGAAGATGACTTGGTTAACATCATTATTTTTTTTGATATAGAGTTAATTAGATATAACTTTTAGATATAACAGTTAATAGTAGAAATTAAATAAAGTATTTGAAACAAGGTTAAGATGATAAGGTAAAGTTTTTTTAGGTAAGGATGTAGTGCCTAAATTGCAAATCAACTGTGCCATGCAATTGAAAAAGTAGTTATCTGACAACTGTTCAGAAAAACATTTTATTGAGATCAATAATGTCATAGTACTTTCAATTAATAAGTCTGGGTAATTTTTTTAAATCAATAAAGGAACCAACTACAAAAACGTGATAATAACCAGGCTTGTGAAACCAAGCCAGAGCTGTGGAGCCACTGTTTTTTGATGGAGCCGGAGCCACAAAAATTGAGCGGCTCTCAGCTCTCGTGTTTTTTTTTAAAGTAATAGAATGTATGTTTGTTTTTTTACTGTAGACAAACTTTATTCATTTATTGTTTAACTAATTTGTTGAATGAATTATTTATTGAATTTCTATTTTTTTTAAATAATTTTTCTTTATAAACAATCCTTTAATAGCATTTCATAAAATCTTTATAAAAAAAAAAGTAAATTATATATGGAAACATTACAGTATTACATATATTGCTTTATATTATATTTTTATACTGGTACTATGCTGTTAAATTTTTTAAGCATGATTTAATGATCAAAGGTTATTCATATCTTTAAAATTATACTAAAGCATGCAATATTTAAATTTGGTTTTAAAACTTGTCTTTTTCATTTTGATTTGAATTTTGTTTGAATTTCGTTTTAAAACATTTTAAAAATTTTTGCTTGAATTTCGTTTTAAAACTTGTCACTAACACATTATTAAATTTTTTTTTTTTTTTTTTGCGTAATTACATTAAGTAATTATAGTATTAATTCAAAACATCAACGAACAAGTCAAAACGTTTCTCTTAATTAAAATGTCATTAAAACAGTTAAAAAAACGAAAAAAATTTCTGAACTACCTACAAAATCCTTCTCTATCATTACTTTCAATCACTAAAGCATCTGAATCTAGCAAAACTACTGTTTGTATGGTAAAAACAATACATAAGCTCTCTATCTATCGAAGGAACAAAACGATCTGGAAGAAAGATTGGCTTTAAGGATAAAAAAGCAGTAATTAGTATTTGACGATCATTCGCACAAAACCCCAGCTTATCGAACAAAAAACAAGCCAAAAGGTATAAAAGTTCCAGAGTTTTTTAAAGATTAAATTTTGGCAAGCAATATGCAGCTGTGGTCTGAGACTTTGAGCTTTTGTCACATTGTCAACTTTAAACTCGGATATGTAAATCAAAGAACATTTACAAGCTAGACTTTTGCAATTTTATCAAAGTCACGATGTCCCCTGATAATGACATATTAAAAAAGTGATATGTTAATCTATGCTCAATAAATAGGCGTCTGTATTGTTACAAGTCTATTGTTTCAAACAAAAGAAAATAGTTATGATTCTATATGTCGATTTTTTAACAATTTATTGAACTTGTTTAGTCAGTCTAAATTATGATTTTTCATAATATTGTTGTTAAAAATTCATGAACAGTCAACGCAGTACTTTAGTTGTTATAGCATTAGAATTGTTTGTAAACGTTCACAATTTTATGTAAAAGTTGTGTATTAAAAATATGTAAAATGTAGTTCTTTGTGATTTTATAAAAAACTAATTTTTAAAGCAAACAGCAAGTATGCAATTACGATGTTACCATCAAAGTTATTTTAGTAGTTAAGAAGTAATAAAAAACGACATCTTTTAATAATGACTTTGTTAAAACAATCTTTTTATCTAAAAACACTAAGGTAATTTGGTTAATTGTAGCCTAGTTTTGAAAGCAAACTGTTTGTTATAAAAGTTAATAATAAAATTAGTATTAATATAATTAAATTGAAACAGTTTGTATCACGTTAGGATGATTAAATTAATTTCAAACTGGAATTTTTTTTATTTATTAACATAACGTATAATAAAAGAATGCAAAAAAAAAGCGGCATGTCGAAAAAAACAAAAAAATATATTAATGTTGAAACAAAATGAATGGTAAAAATACTAACTGAAATATAAAATATAAAACTTGACTAAAATATCCAATCCATAAATCTTTTTTAAAAGGCTCTCTCTATGTGTTAATTTTATTGTTGACGTTTACTTAAAAACAGTCTAAGTATTATAAAAAATCTGTTATTATATCTTTGCATTTGTAATAAACATCATTTATTAATGTTTGATTTGAACAATAATATGCAAGCACATAAATGATTCATTTTTTACAAAAATCACTTTACAGAATCATCTATTAAATCCTTAGTAAAAATCTTTGATTGGCAGCCATTTTTAATACTTTTTTGCTAATGATAATTATTTTGATAAAATCGTGAAAATGCATGGCTCGCTGATTTTGGCGGTTTCTTTGATGTAAAACAAAAAGTTGCACGTCCATCTCTTATACATCCATGATTTGTATAGTACTTATACATAAATAATAAACATAAATAAGACATAGTTTTTACAAACTTAAGTTATCTCTTTAAGGATCCAGAGGGAGCTACTACACTTAGGGATACAATTATTTTTATATATATATAAAAAAAAAAAAAGTTGCTGTGTGGAGAAACATGTTGATCCTGGTATTTACAATATGTAGAATATATATGAGCCCAAATTTACTCTATTCCACAGGATTAGAGTAAATTTGAAACTGGAAGCACTTGATTATGATACAAGTATTCTACCATTAGTCTACTACTCTAGTAAAGTGTTAACTTTTGATTTTTATATAATTATTATAGATTTTTAGTTTTATAAAATTTATAGAATTTTATATATAAAGCCAACCTCCATTTATGCATAAGAGTATGCTGTTCAAAAGACCTAACTATTTTATATTTTATAGAATTTTATACATAAGGTCAACCTCCGCTTTTGCATAGGAATATGCAGTACAAAAGACCTAACTAATTTGCCAAAGAGCAGAAGAGCATTTACTTAACTTTTCCCAACAAACCATATTCTATGATCTTAAAACTTAATATGATATAAAAATTAAATCTCAATTTTCACAATTTTTTAAGTTAAAATTAAAGTTCATTAAAATATAATTTTTTTTTTAATTAACAAACAAAATAAAAAAGAGAAAACATTTTAAATATACATCAATTTTTACAACAATACTTATTATAAATATCAAATACAAATAAAATAGAAATAATGAATAATAATAAAAATTAATGTATTAATCAGACCAGATTTTTTTGAAAGAAAAATCCAACAACCCATAAATTTCTTTCATAGAAAACGATATAAAAAATGAAAAAGGTTTTTTGTTGATATCTGACTAACAGCCTACAAAGTTCACATAATACAAATAAAAATTTACATAACAAAATAAAAATATGGTATGCAGTTAACACAAACATAACTTTTTGAAATCTTGTGAATTAACTCTTAAAGAGATTTTTAATTTTATTGGTATTAACAAGACCAAACGGCAACAGATTTTAAATCTCATTAACTTGGTAAGAGAACTCGCAAATATTTAGTGGGCATTGTTGTTTGCGCATCATTATTTATGATCTCACATGTTATTTTTGTAGTCAATAAAAAAGATCACTTTTTTATTGACTACAAAAGTTGGTCTCAATTGAATTATCAATTGAGACCAACTCATGCAGAATTTTGATGCAAGCCAAATAGTCTTGCTTAGTTTTATTTGTTCAATTTGATATTATGACCAAACTGTGAAACAAGATTACCTTAATATTGCCCTAATATTTTTAATGAAGATAATCTTATGTATAAAAAACAATGATAGCAATAGCCAGTTGCCATACTATGTATCATGTACAATAGGTTACAATAGAATTACCATGCCATGCCATTTATAATAGCACAACTTCTTGAAGAATATCAATTAAATGGTGGTTATGATTCATATTGCAAAATAATGTCATCGACAATAAGCTTTTAAGTAGCAAGATTGTTAACTCGTTAAAATTCACGGTGATTGAAACCTGGGAACAAAAAAATCTCAATACATTTAATCCATCTCCCTACCCCAAACGTGAGGGCACTAATGTAGTAAAATTTTCAACTTTACTATCTAATAGAAATTTAAATTCATCAACAGATCTTAAATTTCATTCAAAAATACATTGAAGTTCAAAAGTTGTGATCATGCAAAATTTACAACCCCCCTTTTTTTTGGCATAATTTAGTAAGTATGCAGAAAGGTTTTTCAAACTTATATTTATGAGTTAAGGTTGTTCACTCATAAAAATTCTGAATGATAAAATTGGGGCATTAGTACTGAACAATCCTTTAAAAATAGTCTGATACAAACAAACTTTTAAGTAGTATATACAAATTTTTCATGTTTTAAACACGATATGCACTACTTAAAAGTTTGTTTGTATTAGACTTTATTTTTAAAGGATTGGTAAAAGGTGGTTAATTGGTTGATATATAGTAAAATCATTGATATATAGTAAGATAGATGTTAAATCTAACACACTACTTGGAGGAACTCTGATAAAACCGTATTGATTGTTTGACAGTAAGTTATTTGACTCAAGATAGGATGTTAAAAATTTGTTGATCAAAGACAAAAAAACCTTGAAATAACTGATAGAAGACTGATAGTTGGAGGGGTCAAAATGCTTACTAGAGTTTTTAAAAATTGGAACCACAGATGCCATATTCAAGCAGGCAGAAAAACAAGATTCAAACAAGTACTTGTTAAAAAGTTTAAAGAAAATTGAAGAGATTTCTGGAGAACACTTTTCTAATACTATGACAGAAATGTTGTCTGGACCTCAAGCCATAGAACATTTTGATTGAGGTATGACTTTAGCAACAAAGCTAGAGTGATTTAAATGTCTAACAATAAGTTAACCTATTTTAGTTATTCAAGTGTGATGAACATTAAAGCCTCAAATAACAACAATATTGGCAGAGGTGTAAAGAAAAAGGTCAATTTGATCAGAAATTACATCCAAAAGAGTGCAGCCTTTTCTGATTTCTCATTTTCTTTGCTTTTTTTATAATTTATTTGTTTAGGTTTTATAAATTAAGCTAGATATTTAAATTTTTTCTTTTCTTCTTTTCTTTTACTTTCTGCTAAAAGAAGAAAACAAAAAAAAGTAAATTTGAAGTACTGTTAAATCTTAAAACTTTAACATTTTTTGGGCCACAAATATTTTACATACTCACACTTTTAAACCTTTCATGTACTTTTACATAAAAATTTTTACTTTATTATACTTAGTTTTATTGTCACGTTTGTCTAATGTTAATTGCCTAACGATAATTGTCTAACGTTAATTTTCTAGCGTTGTCTAACGTTAATTGGCTTACCAGTATATATAACAGGCTCTTACATTAAAGAACTAAATACTAAAAAGTAACACAAAAAAAATATCTCACCTTCAACACATCCATAAGTTTGTAGATTATGTTTTGAGATCGCAGTGGTACCTGCATTTGTTCAGCTTTTGTTTCAATACTTTTATCAGTAACCAAGTTAAAAGAATAAATAATACCTTACAAAAATTAAAAAACTTAATTTAACTAATAATGATAATAACAATTAGTGATAAGTGGACCCAGAAAACAGATCTGGGTATAATTTAAATATATTATTAACAAAAAGAAAGAAAAAAAAAAAAAAAACCAAATTATCATAAAAAATTTCAAAATAATAAATATGAAACAATCCAATGTAAATAAACCACAAAGTTTACTTGTATGATTATTAATACAGATGCATTTTTTTAAACTCAACTTTAAAACAATCAATAAAGACAACAAAATTTAAATCACTAAGTAATTTTTATAATCAAATTTAAATGCTATTCGTTGCGCAAATAGCACTATTTGTTAAGCGAATAATGCTATTCGCTTAACGAATAGTCCTATTTGCTTAATGAATAGCGCTATTCGCTTAACGAACAGTGCTATTCGCTTAACGAACAGTGCTATTCGCTTAACAAACAGTGCTATTTGCTTAACAAACAGTGCTATTCGCTTAGCAAACAGTGCTATTCGACAAACTCTTACCCTCACTTCTTTATCTATTAGGCTGGCATAGATTTATTACATTGATTCCTGCCTATGATAATAAATGCTGGATCTTCTTTCTTCTGGACACATTTTGTATTCATATTAAATCTTGAAGAATTTATAATACATGCCACAATCTACAGACTTAATAATTTATTTTGAAAGTGAAATTTATTTAAAAAAAAATTAGCTCAAAAATTCTTTTTGAACATTTTCATTAACATGAATATAACATGTTTTGGAGGATGGTAGTCCTTTTAATGATTCTGGGACTACTTTGTAGTAAGGTTTCCCAAATTTTGTGATCGTTTTCATAGAGGTTAATCCAGCTGTAGAATATCAGAGAATTAAAAATGTCATGTTGTGCATGAGTAGTGTCCCTAATAGAGTTTTATGGTATCAACAACTTTACAGGTTATCAACAGGATTGAGGTAACTACATAGCTCACAGCTTAGGATGCCATGATGGATATCATGCACTATCTATGATTGAAGGATGCTATGTACTATCTATGATCGAATCGAATTCTCTAACAACTTAAAATTTAATTAAAGTATATTAAACATAAAAATCAAAATTGCTTTAAAGTAACTGTTCATCTGATCTTGCCTCTTGCATAATCGATCATCTTCCATAATCATCTTACTTGCTCTTTGTGAAAACTTTATAATCAGCTGTTTCATTTTTGAATCTCAGTGTTGTTAGATATTATTTGCTGATTTACAAAAACTGCAATAGCCACATGCTTGGCCTGGGCATATATCTGTTTATTAAATCACCTATTTATCATAGATGAGTATTTGACTTTATGAAAATCCCGGAAATTTTTTTTCTATGATAATTCCGAAAAATCCCGGCAAAATTACTTAACTAAAAATTTATCGCATTTAACTAACAAACGGAATTTAGATTATTTAACTTTTTACAAAAGGGAATTTCTAATATTCAAAAAAGTTTGAATAAATTAAAAAGCAAAAAAAAGAAAAGAAAAAAAATTGTTACAAAAATTGATCTCGTGAAAATTTTAATTATAGAAAACATATTTGTTTAAATGCAAAAGTTGTCATATTTAAAATTTAATGTATAAATATATTAACTTTTTATTTTTAACTATTCATTTTTTAGATATCATCTTTACTCCCTGATTCTAACTCACTTTATTACTATCTAAATTATTTAACAAAATTGCATTACTATTTAAATTATTTAACATAACTAAAAAATCTTGTTTTCGTTTTTTTAATAATCTACTGTTTTCCTATTTGGACAGGTTCTTCTAACTATGCCCTTTCCTTTCTAGACAAGGTCAAAAAAAAAGTTTCTGGCAATAAATTAATTTAAAAAATATTATTAATAAAAAAATAATAGCAACAACAAAAATAATAATAGAAACAATAATAATACTAATAGCAAAAACAAAATATCTCATATGACATAACATAAAATTACATATAACATATGACATAAAAATTAAAATATTACAAAAAAAATAACCTTTTGCAGTACTAGCCATGAGTAAATCATTTTCATTTATAGGACCAACAGAAGCTTCGAGTACGTTTATTTTTATATCATTTGAGTAAAATGAATTGATAACATTAACAATAGCTTCTAATGATCCACTTGAATCAGCTGTAATTGTTTTAATGTCACACATTAACATATAAATAAATATCAACACAAAGTATGAATAAAATATATAATACAACTTTTGGAATTAAAATTATAAATAAAAAATATATATATACATATATATATATATATATATATATATATATATATATATATATATATATATATATATATATATATATATATATATATATATATATATATATATATATATATTTAATAGTCAAATAGTATCCTTAATTTAAATTTGGATTTTTATCTTTATATCTTGTTTTTTTAAATAACTTCATACTTAATATTACAATAAATAACACAAACATTCATGATTTTGTAACACAAATATTTAAAATACAATAAATACAAATTTTAATTTATTTATAATCAAAATTTATACTGTTATATTAAGCATTTGCAAGTCAATTGCATTTATATTAAGTCAATGTATTTAACTTTATTTCTATATTCTAATTCAAACAATGATATAAAAATCTAGTATCAAATCAATTTTAATAAAGGAAGAAATTGAAGCTAGTTTTTTTGCCAAAAAATAAGGGGAAAAAAAAATTTATAATATTTTCCTAAGAAACTAATATAATATTGTCCTAACAAATTAATGTAATATTAAAATGTCTTGAAGAAAAAAAACTTTTTGACATTTCAATAAATTGAGTGAAGCACAACAATAAGTAATAGTTAAGTCAAATAAGAAAATAACTGTTAAAATAAGAGGTAATAGTTATCAAGAACTAATTTAACTTGCATGTCAAATAAGATTTTGTTTACTTACTACTTAAAAAAGTGTTGCGCTTGCATCGCTAGGTAGTTGTTGATTTAAAAAAATGTGTGGGGACCTTTCTCACTCCATTTAGATTGATTTTCACTCAAGTAAATAGTGCCAAAGGCCTTGCGAAGTGCTGTGGAGACAACCAAAATGTGAAAAACAGATAATAGTGAACACACTGGACAAGTTTTGTTCATTTATTATTTTTAATTTGTCGAGATAGGCAATAGCAACTTATGCAAAAAGGTTCAAAATAAACATTCACTTTTTTCAGCCCTGAAACTGGTGATGACTGTAAGATGATAATCTTACAGCTTATCATCTTACAGCTTCTTAATTATTACTAAACAAGTTTAGTAATAAGTAAGAAATAGTAATAATTTTACTCATTGTTATTTTATTATTTATTATCATTATATTATTTTGATTTTAACAAACTTAATTAGTTAAGAAGAACTAAGAATTTTTTAAACCAGAAATAATATCTGTAAACACATGCTTTACTGTATATATTATATTGTAGCGGTGTGGTTGTAGATGTAGATCATTTGGTTCTTAACCAAAAGGTATAGCATTCAAGTTTACTACATTCTTGGAAATACCACTTTTTTCACTATGCAACTACCTTGATATCTAGATGCATTCTCAGCAATTTTATTTTATAAAATAAAAAACCAAATTTGCTATTGTTTGTATGTAATTAGTGTATAACATTTAAAACAAGTAAAACTTGAAATTAAAGTTTGTTAAGTTAACTAGTTATTAAGTACATGGCGCATTTTAGTAAATAGTGCTTAGAGCATATTGTAAAGCCAGATCAGAAGAGTAGAGCTAAAGCACCATTAAAAACTGTTCTACAGTTCTGGTTAAATTTAAAGTAATAATTAAATGAAACTATATGTTAAATATTGAACAAATACTAAAAAATAAATTTGATTTGACAGAATAAAACCCTGCTTTTATAGTAATTGGCCACAATCAGCAATGACTGTTTTACTTTTTTGTGAGGAATCCACTACACTTATTTGTTAATAATGAATCCTTTAGAAATATAGCCAATATTTAATCAACCGATTTTAACTTTGTAAAAATGCACAGAGTTTATCATGGCAGTGATAATTTAAGTTATTTAAAAAAATTAAATTTGAAAAACTAGATTAGGAAAAATGAGATAAAAATAAAACTTTTGAAGGTGTAAGGTGTAAAGGTGTAAGGTGTAAAGGTATTTAAATTAAAATTTCTACTATGGGTGTAACTCTTTATCTTAAAACTAATTTTTACTACAATATTTCCAGAATATAGATACCCACATATTCAGGTATAATATAAATATAAAAAAACTGTTAAAGACAAAATAAAAACAAAAACAAATCAATCCAATAGCTTCTTTTGATTCAAAAATCAAAACATTGGTTTCCAAAAGAAAGATGTAAACTTATGTCATCTTGATTTAGACCGCTGTCTGAAGGTGCACATCCATGACGTTGTATTTCAAGTGTCTCACTTTTCTGTTAAAATTATTGATCTTTATTTTCAGAGTATTTTCATTTTTCCATGCAAAACCACCATGATAATTTTTTGAATGTTCCACTATCACTAAATTTTTCTATTTTACTTCTTTTGTATTTTTTGATGTTGGTAAATATGAGATGAGATATCTAATTTTGCTTCACCGATATAACATTTTTTGCAGAAGCTTTTTCAAAAAATTTCCTTACTTTAGGCTAGTTCCTGGAATCCATGGTAAAGATACAATATTTTTTGATGAAAAGTTGAGTTTCATTATTTTATTTTTTATTATGTAAATTTTCTTTAGACTTTTTTATGTTTTCCAGGCTTGTTTTTCTAAAACCATTTTCTACAAAAACATCAATTAGAAATATTAACTCTTGTTTAATATTATCATCAAAGCATAAATATAATGCCCTATGAACTGATCTGACTCATGAAACTTTTCAAGTATTCTGTCAACCATTCCCTTGCTCTATAACTCTATTCTTTTTTTTCTAGTAACTCCCAACTTAATAGTGATTGCTTGCAGCCTTGTTAAGAATGAATCAGAATTAAAAAAAAAAAAAAATCTTTTTAAAAACACCATTTATAATTTTTGGATCATTGATTTGAATGTTGGTCATGGCATCTTTACAGTAAACTTTAAAATCGTTTGTACCATTTTTATTATCAATAATAGTTATGTAAGGAAAGTTCAATTATTTTTTTTTTTAATTTCAATGATATACTGAATATTATTAAATTGGTTATTAAGTAATTTTTTTCATCTTTAGAAAAGTTAATGCAAGAATAGGAGTCATCAACATATTTTAAATGACTTTACATGAACACTATTGAAAACCACCTGTGCAATAAATTACTTTCATGAAACTGTAAAAAACACTACCATAAGTCCTAAACAAATAGGTTCAGAATCTTTTAGTTTATAAATGTTATGTTCATATAAAAAATAATGCAAAAGGCATATATCTAAAAATGTTTTTAACTCATCAAAAGTAAATTTTGATGTAAAAGCTGTAAAGGTGTAAGTTGTAAGTTGTAACTATTGGGATCGCCCCAATCCCAGTAAAGTAGAAAAGATTTTAAAGTTCCAACTTTTAGGATATATACTATGTATGTATTTATTATAAAACTATTAGGAAATGTAATGTGATGTAATTGTTTTACTAATAAAAGGTTTGGAAATAGCTATAGGAAAGTGAATGCAGTAACTGCATTTACTTTCTTAAGGTCAAGGGGGTCACTAGAGTTATGAGGGCTACTATTTTTTTGAAATTGAAATGTTGCATTTTAAGTCACTCCTCAGAAGGTAAGGTCTGCTTTTTTTTTGCCTGTGAGCTTATTTTTTCAAAATTTATTCTTTTAAATTATTAACAGTTAATAGTTTAAAGGTATTTTATGCAAATAGAAAAATTTGTTATAAAAATTAAAACGTAAAATTCATTAAATTTGTTATCTGGTGATGTGACCAGAGTTTAATTATGCACTTTTTGACTCAAATTTTATAAAATTTTAGAAAATACTAACTCTAACTCAATAACACAAAATTAACATGCGTCACAAAAAAGTATTTCTAAAAAAGTTACACCGGAAGGACACCATTGATTGACAACAACTAAAAACCAAGGTATTTTTTTATTAGCGCACAGACACTTTGTAAGTTTGGCATGATGCTGTCATTCTTATTTTTTTGCTAAAATCAAAATTTGTATTTAGGAGAAATTATGTACATGTTATTTAAACTGTTGATATAAGTGATTTAAACATTGTGTAAATCTACATGCAAAATAACTACAACTATTGTCTACACTTTACAAATATAGTCTCCTAAATTTAATGAATAAGAAGAAAAAAAAAACCTTTTAAAACTATATTTATGGCTGCACTTTTATTGGATTCTTCTTTCACACCTGAAGCAGCTTCTTGACGCATTATTACACGCATAGGAATTTTTGATCTACCACCTTTCATGTCTGATGTAATTGCCTTTTTACCAATAGCTTTCTGCAAAGGAGATTGTTTAATATGGATAGGTTTGCTATCTGATTCTTGCAATTTGATAATACTTTGGGCTTCTAACTATATATTAAAATATATAACATAAAAAATACAACTTTCAATTCTAAGTACAAAAAGTGCATATAGTTACAAACTTATATATACACATATTATATATATAAAAATACATGCAGTTATAAACTTCTATTATAAAAAAAAAAAAAGAATTACCTCATTTTTCACTTGCATAACTATAAAACCAGGCTTCGGCAAACTTTTCCATCCTACCACTTGACATGGTTCTGAAGGAAGCACTTGTTTCAATATTTTACCATTATGATCATATATTTGGCGAACCTTCACATTAAAAATAATATCTTTTTTATTTACTTTGAATAAATTTTTGTAAAAACAAAAATTAAAAAACTATATAACAAAAATATAAATTAATTGCATTTAAAAAAGCAATTGAAATAACTAAAGCATATTTACTTTTGAATAATTTAAAAACAAATATGCTTTTTTTTTAAAAAAAAAAGGTCAAAAAAATTAAAACATAAAGACAAGTGATTTTGAGAATTTTTTTTGAGTAGCCAAATTGCAATATGCCAATTACACATACATACATAAAGCTATATCTTAACTAAATTTGAAAAAATAACATTAAAATAAATAAAATAATTATGTATTAGAATTTTTTTCTATAAATCTTTATTATTTTGTTCAATAATTTTGTCTAACTCAGTTTCTAAAATTTTATATATGCGACCATTTGTTGTAGATGGCAGATCAATGGTACATAAAACATGATTTGATGGTACCTAGCACATATCTTCCCGTGCGGGCCAAGAAAAACTTGATCTGGGACCATGTGGATGCATAAATTAAACTTTATAATCTACTTCTCATTCATCTTTTTTTGTTATAATTCCAATCCACCAAAAATTGTCATAATTGCAATCTACATAACCCATATGATTACAAATAACCTGCTGCACAACCAGCTCATTTGGTATCTGCATAAGGTTAAATGTCTCAACATCAGTTTGTTAACTCAATCTTTTAAATGAAATTGTACATTTATTAAATGGTGAAAGCATCTTGTTCCTGGCAAGGTTCTTCCCATAGTAAACCTTGGTTGTAATGATGATCAAACTTTATTTATTTCTGTTTTATAAACTAAAATGAATTGAATGTTTTTTATACTGGTTACATAAAATTCAAACATCTTATCTACATCTAAAATCTGTCCAGTCACTGTTGTTTTTAAATTAGCTCGTGTAGTTATTCATTTTACTGTGCCCCTAATACAGTCACTAGCAGATTCACCATGGCTAAAAAGCAAGAAAAAAAAAACCATTTAGCATCAATGTCTACTTTGTAATGGCAAAGACTAATAAAGTTTTTAAAGTTTTTATATTGTGCTGCACAATGCAGCACAATATAAAAACTTAAAAAACTTTATTAGTCTTTGCCATTACAAAGTAGACATTGATGCTAAATGGTTTTTTTTTTCTTGCTTTTTAGCCATGGTGAATCTGCTAGTGACTGTATTAGGGGCACAGTATTTAATATTATTAATTTGTAGAATGTTTGATTTAATGTAATTGGTAATGAGCTGTTGTATTTTATATAGAAAGTATACATCATGCTCAACATCATCAGAAAGAAAGCAAAATGACTTATATATCAGTTTACCACTTTATTTATAGTAGGATGTAGTTATAGTTGATTAATAATAGAATAAAGTGTACATTTTGGTTTATTCCAGTGGTAACTTTTCATCTCGTCTTGAACAATAAATTGAAAGTTCTCTGCAAAGTCACCCAAAAGTTCTCTGCAAAGTCACCCAAAAGTTCTCTGCAAAGTCAACCAAAAGTTCTCTGCAAAGTCACCCAAATATACAAATAAACACTTATTGTGATTTAATAACTCTTTACAGCATTTAAGGTACTTGACCTGAATTTTAGCTATAAGTGAATGAGATGTTAGTTTATCTATTTTATTGCATATAAGGTCAATAACATCTTCAATATTGATTTTTTGATTGATCAGTGTAGTTTTTTCTGTACCTGGCCATTAGTTAATTGTTATTTCTTTATCACTGTTGTCAAATTTTACTGTTAAGAATCCTTTTAAAGCAGTAATACCAGGACATAGTAGACATCAATGTAACATGCACTCTGGATTATCCTGATTGCAAACAATCATTCTCATTATATCTCTATAGTCTTTGTCAATTTTAAGAGCATCAGTTAACAACTTAACATTTTAATGATAGAGACAGACACAAACACTGTGAGTGCCAGATGAGTTTGTGTTTACACACCATCTTGGGCAAAGGCTGCAAAACATTGAAAATCTAACATTTAAATTTTAGGTAAATTGTTCAGATTTAAATGCTACATGAAGTTCTTTTAAATTATTCAATATTAGTCTTATTTTGCATGTGTTTCCTGTACCCTATACTAACAAAATCTTTTTTTACCAGGCATCATTTGTCTGTACTCATCACTTTGATAAAAGCTATGAACAAAATCAATGATTTTATGGGAAAGCGACTTTTCTTTTATTAATGATGGTTTATACAAAATTCCATGTTTTTTAAATAGATTACAGCATTTCGAAAAATATTCTTTCAAATGCAACTCCAAAAGGTTTTCTATGATAGCAAACTGTTGTAAACAATTTTTCACAATCAAATAAACCACCTCTCCGTGACAACTCATGTTTTTCATCATTTGAAAATGTTGATAGGTCTAAAAGACCTTGCCTTCTTGTCAAACCTTGCTTGTGGCTATCAGTATTACATTCTAATCTAATTGAACACTTTTCCATATTTTCCAACTTTAAAATTTATTCAAAAAATCTAGTTTTAAAATATTTTACAAAAAAAATCTTTTTTAGAAATACCATTAGCATTTATTATAATATCCATATAATTGGATGTGCCATATTATATTACTTTCTCTTATACATGATTAAAAGGTAATTAATTTTTATTATATTTACAGATCATATAGTAATTATTTAACATTTTTTTAATTAGTTAAGTAAATATAAAAATCCTGCAAAGTAACAGGAGACTACAACATCAATCTACAACATGAAATCAGAAGCAATAATATAATAAAGAAATAAAAGGTTTTATTTATATAAAAGAAAAAAAAAAGATAAATATAGTCTTTTACAAAAAATATCTTCAATAAATGCATTTGGATTACAGCCTAGTAAAGTTTTTATACTTAAAAAAATGTTGATCTTTTACAAAAAAAGCCAGGGAAAGCCTGGTTGCACCCCCCCCCCATACTTTGAACCTACCCTAGGCAAAATATTTTGTCATAAGTTAGCAATAGATTTTATAATAAATATATAAGCTTCACTTAAAAGGCTGCATTTAAAAAATTAGCAAAATCTAAAACATGGGGTGACATGAGCCTGCTGATTTGACCTGAAATTACCCTTTATTAAGTTTTTTAAGTTTTATCAGTTAATTTATTAACTGATTAAGAAAAACATTTACTGGTGTTTATTGTGGCAGTGCATAGTCTATATGTATACTTTGGTATATTTTGTATACAACATTCCTTAAGGTTCTCCTAGTGCAAGTCTTAAATATATAGCAAATCCAGTGAAAAGTGTTATTTTTACTGGGTTTATTATGTAGTATCGCATTACTAATTTTAGATATGGTTAATGTTTTCACAAATTCCTTATATAAACAGAATAAATTTAGTTGTGGTAGTGGTGCAGTGGTAAAGCGCTTGTTTCATAAGTGAGAGGTTCTGAGTTCAATCCCCACCACATCCCTGGTAGTACAGCAGTCAACTTGTTTCTCTACGCAGCGGCCTTGTTCGTTAAGGTTCAAGTTTCAGAGTTATCGAGTTGAGAGAGGGTTGTAACCACAAATAAGTAGCCTCTTTGTTGGTAGTGGCCTTCTTGACCTTGGAGAGATGAATTAACATTTTAAAAAAATTATAAATATTTAAAAAAAAAGTATAAAAATAAAATATTAATAATTTGGAAAAATATCAATTTGACAATAATTATTGTAATAGTTTTGAAATTTTTAGGCTAAAAAAAACCTTTGCAATTGAAGTTCCTGATACTAAAACATTCCCCACTTTGAGCGTTCCTTGCTTCACCAAAAGAGAAGCAATTGCCCTGCAAACAAAAATAACAACTTACTAACAATATTTGAAATAATAATAACCAATAAAACAGCTTATATTATAGATTATTAAGAACTATATATTATGATAATCATAATTATTACAGATGTTTCTTGTTCATGGGATAACACCAACCAAAGGTTTAAAAGAACCAAAGTTTTTTTATTAATTTTGTAGGTCATAACCAGTATACACTATGAATATCAAATATATAACACCTCTTGAAAGTCAATCAACTTCAAAATGGGTCATTACAAGAGATTACAATATTAAGATTTCAGCATTTTTTACAAAACCGAAATTATTAATTCTCCTGGGATTCTTTGTAAGATCGAGCAAAATGAAACACAACAAAAAATATGTAAAAACCAACAAATACCAACAGATTATGCGTAGTAATAAAATATTTTTTAATTAACAGAAAATAAAGAATTTAATTCCTGTTTTCAGCTGTACAGTAAAAAAAAAGTTTTCAAAAAGTTTTATTTAGAGAAAAAAAATTATTGAAATTTTTTGCAAGTTTTCATGTTGATAAGCTAATACACAATTCAAAAGTGATATACATTATTTTTTTTTTTTAAAAAAAGGCTATCAAGGTTTATAAGAAGAGGTAATCAAGGTTATAAGAAGGTTATAAGTAGAGGTTATCAAGGTTATAAGAAGGTTATAAATAGAGGTTATCAAGGTTATAAGAAGGTTATAAGAAGGTTATAATAAGAGGTAATCAAGGTTATAAGAAGGTTATAAGTATAAGTTATCAAGGTTATAAGAAGGTTATAAAAGAGGTTATCAAGTTGATAAGAAGGTTATAAGTAGAGGTTATCAAGATTATAAGAAGGTTATAAGTAGAGGTTATTAAGGTTATAAGAAGGTTATAAGAAGAGGTTATCAAGGCTTATAAGAAGGTTATAAATGATATGTTGTTTGAAAAAAGTTACATACACATTTAAAAAGTGAGTTTAATTTTAATAATAAAGGTAAATTAAAAACAAGACTTTGTTATCTTATCCAAGTGAGAACACCAAAAGGCATACTTCCTAACAATTTTACAAATAAAAGTAATTTAGCTGTTTGGAAACTTTTTACAGAATGATAAAGAACAAACAGCAACAGACAGAGAAAAGATGAACTGCAATGTGTAAATAACTGAACTGAAAGAAGATTTTAAAAATCAGTGGTTCAACAAAAGGTCTTCATACACACGTTGTTGGAGCATAATGTAAAGGTCAAATGTCCAGCTAAACAAAACACAATCAGAGAAAGCACATCAGATAAACCAATTTTTGATTTAGGAAAAGGAAGATAAAACACTTAATGCTACACCTGCCCATCTAAAAGCATTAGGTTTTTATTTAAAGTGATTTATTTTTCAACAGAGTTACGAACTACTTTAACTGCCATGAAATTTAAAAATTTGCCAAAGCCATTAAATACATTTTGTAATAATTTGGTAGAGAACTGAAAAAAAATAAGATTAGGTAAAATTCATCAAATTGAAAAGGCATAAATTTAGGGTAGGGATTAGAGTATGAGAGAGATTTTCTTTGTTTTTAAGCAAATGAACATTACTTTGAAATAATTGTCATGAATATTAACATTCTTAAACATAAAATTTTGTTTAATGAACACCTGGGGCTACATGGTCTTCAGCTTAATACAAAAAAATCAGGTGGACCAGCCATGAACTTAATTGTATATCTAAAGTTTGTTGATAGACATCCTAAGTGATAACTTATCACCTGCTATACTAAATATCAATGAAGATTTTAGTCATAATTCTGATATAGGTAAATAGAGGCAATTATCCAAATAATGTCAGTTTAGCATTTATAAATATTGATTCAATTCATAATAAATTATCTGATATTATTACCTTAATAAATAATATTGTTGATGGGCTTTTAGTTGAAACCAAAATAAATTACTCTTTTTCAAATAATCAGTTCTTACATTCAGGTAATAAAACCCCCTATTGGTTTAACATTTTTCAATATAGGAGAGGCCTAGTTGTGTACATATATTAAAAAATCTCTTCTAAAAGGTAGTTAAAAAAATTTCACCAATGACATCGAAATTATCACTTAAGCTAAGAAGGCAGAAATGGTCATATCTACTTATAAATCCCCATCCCCTACATCCATCCCCTACTTACAAATCCCTTAATCAGAATTGTGACTATTTCCTAAATCACCTAAAAAAAAGTGCTTTTATTTGCGCCTTGATTATACGCTGTAAAATTGATTATATTCTATTATAAACCAATTATGCTTTGCTTTACATTATACAAAAAAACTCCTTGTTGATAAATCTGATACTTCAGTACTAATGTACAAAAAACAAAGGTATTGGGTGGTTAACTTATATAGTAAACTTGAAAAATGTATCTAAGGTGATTTAATACACTCTCAGTTTCAAATACATCTCATTGGAAGTAACCTTTTTTTTTCAAACAAATCAGATTAAAACAAGTAAAACTGGTAAAAAATATCATCTAACAGTTGTTGACATGCCATCTAGTATCACTGACTACATAAATCAATTTATATTTTCTCGCTCTTCAGAATGGCTTGATACAATTATCAAAAAGTATATTGATCATCCCAGTATTATAAAAATTAGGAATAAATTTTAAATGTGTACACAAAGTTGTCAGTTCAATTGTATTACACCTGATGATATCACAAAAAATATAGGGCCTCGAAAATTAAAATAAACACTAGGGACATACCAATTTTAATGATGAAATGGCAGATATATTACCATGTTTTAACCTGGACTTCTGTCCTATAAATATTCTACCAGTTTTCTTAATTATTAATCGATCTTTCAAAAATGTTTAACATAATTCTGCATGACCTACTTATTGGTATGTTAGATACTTATAGCTTCTCTGAGAATGCCTTAAACTTCTTATATAAATGTTAGTGATTGGTAAGTGTTATGTTAGTGAAAAACTAACATAACAACAACAAAAGAAATTCTTGCGCTAGTGAAAGGTAAAAGTAGGATCTACTGTTTCAAATTGAGTGGATATTTTATCTATGGTGCATCAAGGTTCTATCTTATATTTTTCAATATCATTATAAATGACATACTTTTATTTATTAAAGATACTGAACTGTGCAATTTTGATAAAGTTTGATTTTTTACATTAAATATTTATGCAATAAACCAAATGTTTTTTTTGCTTTTTCACAAACTTTTTTATGTTTTGGTCTAAATACTTTGACAACCTCATAAATAGAATTAATAAAATTTTCCTATATTCCACAAAAGGTAATTGTTTTAGGTTATCTTTATATAATTTTCAAATTCTTATGATGAAAGCTTTTAAACCAATTGCTTGTCTAAACCCAGAACATGAGAAGAATCAATTCACTATAAAGTCTCACCTATAAACTTAGTTGTAGCAAAAAAAATTATTCTACCTCCAAATGGTTCTAAAAATACGAATACATGTTGTACTTTATATAGAATAATCTCACTGTGGAGAACTCTACATAACAAGACTATTCCTCAAAAAGTCCTGAGGTGTTCAAAAAACAAATTTAGAATTGGTAAAAATACGGTAAAAATTGTGCTTGTAAGATTTGTTTTTAACTTTTGTTTTAATTCATTTTGACTGAGGAAAACAAGATGAAGGGTGCAAATTCCGAAGAACTGATGTTCGAGGAAAAAAGCAAGACAAAAAAATAATTTTTGAAGCAGTTAAGAACAGTCACAATAAAAAGAATAATTAAATGTTAAGTAACACGAAAACTAATTTTAATAAATGGCACAGAGTAGCCTATTGCACCTTGTCTAAAAGAGAGAGGGCATCATTCAAAGATCTGTTCCAGATATTGCAACAGTATTCCATACAAAGATGGATTAGAGATTTATAGAGATAAAAAACATAATCTGGAGAAAGAAATTGGCAAGCATGATAAAGAGATACAACCTTAGCAGATGCAAATTTTAAAATTGATTTGATATATGGTTTCCAAGAAAGGTCAGAAATAATCCTAAAAGAGGATGAATAGATGACTCATTTAATACATTACCATTCATAAATATAGGAAGATCTAGATTATTGCAATAATAATTAGCTGAAAAAAAAAAAAAAAAATCAAAGTTCACAACCCACTAATAGCACCATGTCACAGCAGAAATGAGGTCCTTTTCAAACTCAAATGCCTCCTCTGAGTAATCAAGGAGTATTGGTTTCTTATCATGACAAGAATAAATGGTAACAGTATCAGCAAACAATGCCACCTTAGATGTGAGAATATCTGGAAGATAGTTAATGTAAATTAAAAAGAGTATAGGACCAAGAATAGAACCTTAAGGAACCCCTGAAGTTACAGGATATGAAGAAGAGTGCTGTCCATCGAGGATAACTTTTACATTGGGAAGAAAGGATTGAATAATCTTAAAGATGTCACCAGATTCACTGTATATACCAGATACACTGAAAATAGGGATAACAGTTGCCACTTTCCAGCAAGCTGGATAACAAGTTTCTGATAAGCAAGTTCAGGAGAACACTTCTGCCAGCCTATAACAGGTTCCCAATGGATCCCAAGCTGCAGAAGAGAACAGGAAATCACTTCAGATACAGAAGCTGGAGTGATTGCAAAAATGCAAACAATTCAGCTTTTTCTTTAGGTGAGGTAACAAAATCTGAACCGTGCAAGAGAGATAGAATAACAGATTTATTCTTATTATAGAAACTGTTAAAGATTCTCCAGAAGTCTTGGGAGCCTAATTTTTTAGATAAATTGAGATTTCCTGACCTTTTAGATAAAATGAGATTTCCTGACCTGAGAATAACAGACTTTGATATCAGACAAATTTTGTTCTTTTTTTGGAGAATTTTAAGAAAAGAGAAAAGTAATGTTAACGATTGGAAATCGCAGCAGCACAATGAGAGGGAAAAAATGAAAGAAGAGTGAGCCTAGACTTGGAATCTTAGAAGTTATATAAGAACCACATTCGTCAGCAGAAAGATGAAAGATTTCTACCCAAGAAACATCACAAAGAAACCAGTCAGTTTTAAAATAGTTGTAAGAGATACGATGATAGGGACTTTCTGATGATGAAAAAGTAATGAGGTAATAGAGAAATCAAACTGCAATCAGAAGCACCTAAGGGAGAATGTGCAGAAACTGATCACTGACTAGGATCAGAAACAAGATATAAGTCAATTAGAGAAGGTAAATGATTTGGATTGTCCGGAAAGCAAGTTGAAAAGTTGACTATTTGTGTTAGACATTAAGAAAGATAAAAGTTGTAGACCTTAATGCCTGCAGAGTTACTGACACTAGAGCGAAGCCATTCAAAGGACTTGGTCAATTTGATCAGAATTAATATCAAAAAGAGTGCAGTCTTGAGATGAAGGGGAGAGATATGAAGGAGAGAGAACAAAGAGGTGATAAAGAGGTGATTGAGTAAAGTGGTGTTAAACAAAAGCACATAAAAGAATAGTTGGTATTTACATTTGAGCATTTACATTCTTACGAATATAAATGCTCAGGCCATGCATGTCACTATTGGAGTCTTAACAAAATAAAAGAAGTTAACTATCAATACTAAGATCGCAAGGTGAGACAGTTAAGCAAATTAATCTTACAATGAGCAAGTAGGTCTGGTGAATTTTGAAAAAGAAAAGACTCAACAGAAGAAACAGAGACACCATCCATGCGCAACATGGCACTGTTAGTACTCTGATACTTTGCAACTGTTGATGGAATCAGACTTTCTGAGAGCTACCACAGAGTTTGGGAAACCTGACTACTGCCAGGCCTTAGAACCATAAAACTGAGTTTCAGAGCTCATATCCCTCCCTATTAACCTAATATCTCCCTCATGAGGAGATAATAGAATAAGTCATAAAAACAAAGACAAGCAAAACCCATGCATTGAGTCAGCATTCAACATCTTAAACTGGAAACAATGTATTATAAATACATCTACACCAGCTTAATAGATGAAGAAGTGGTACAAAGCTGGTCAATAGATAGAATCTACTTACCCCTCAATCTAACAACTTACCTAAATAAAAAAATCAAACTTAGTCTGGGGATGGGGTCTGGGGAGTCTGGGAAAATTTTAAACTTCTTAGGGTCACTCTTAACATTTTTGTTTTGTTATAAAACATATTCTATAGAGAAAGTTTAAAATAACTTAAAAAGCATACCCATTCAATTTATTTTTTTCTGCTTCTAAAACAACTGCTTCAACAGGTCCATCATAACTAGCTTCTAGTTTCAACTCTTTTGAGACATCATTTAGAAGAACTAAAAAATTGTCAATGTTTAAGCCCTAAAATAATAAATAACAAATAGTAAAGTAATAAATAAAAACAAAAAAAAAGCAGCAAAATTATATTACACTATATTTTATATAAGAGAAAAAGCAAGATTGAGAGAGAGTGTATGCCAGCACATTGGATAGACTTGCCATCTTGCCTAACAGAATCTAAGCAATGAGTGGACAATGCAATTTATGCAAGTCCATTTACCATCAAAGTTCATTTGCCCTTAATTACTTTAAACCATTTGTCTTTTTATCACTTCATTTTCAAGTACATTTCTTTCTTGGCTTTTTTGTCAACATCCTTTTTTTTTTAACCTAACATTTTATACACTTTTTTATTGTATGTTGTCACCAACTACCTGATTGGCTTATCTAAATTAAGCTATATGTCAGCTTGTTTTGGTTTTAAATTAGGTCATAAGACTTTATTCATAGGTATATGAAGATCAATTTTTTCTTTAATTTTTCACTATTTTTTTTTTCTCTTTCCTTTTATTTTGTTTTAAATGAAAAAGTTTAAAGAAACAAAAAATGAATATTGACAGAATATGTTTAATTATAATTATAATAAATGAACAATAATAGAATATATGGCTATTTTACTAAATAAAATGTTAACATTCATGTTTAATAGTTTTATTATTTCATCAGCTCTAAAAATGTATACAACCAACTGAATTGTGCTACTTATTTATAAAGCATTTTAATATCTATAAAACTTAATTTTATAACCAATTATATCAAATAACTTTTACAACCAAACATATCACTTAGTTTATACAACCAATCACATCATTTAATTTATACAACCAATCACAACATCTAATTTGTGTCAATTTTTTGATAGTTCTTTAGTAATTTAAACTCAGTGAATATTCCTATTTGAAAACATTTTTCACGTAATAAAAAATCATAATGGAATAAGTGATTGATAAAAATGACTGTAATTTGTGTAAAACTTTTTAATGTGCTTTGTGAGCATTTAATGCACAGTAAAATATTAGATACATAGTGGACAAAATTATTTTAACAATTTTTTTTTTTACTATAACTCTTCAAATGTACATCAATCTCATTATGTTCAGATATATTTAGATATATGCAGATATATTTACTTTTATTATAAACAATTACTTTGTATTAAGACATATTTACTTTTATTATAAACAATTACTTTGTATTGAGATATATTTACTTTTATTATAAACAATTACTTTGTATTGAGATATATTTACTTTTATTATAAACAATTACTTTGTATTGAGACATATTTACTTTTATTATAAACAATTACTTTGTATTGAGATATATTTACTTTTATTATAAACAATTACTTTGTATTGAGACATATTTACTTTTATTATAAACAATTACTTTGTATTGAGATATATTTACTTTTATTATAAACAATTACTTTGTATTAAGACATATTTACTTTTATTATAAACAATTACTTTGTATTAAGACATATTTACTTTTATTATAAACAATTACTTTGTATTAAGACATATTTACTTTTATTATAAACAATTACTTTGTATTAAGACATATTTACTTTTATTATAAACAATTACTTTGTATTAAGACATATTTACTTTTATTATAAACAATTACTTTGTATTAAGACATATTTACTTTTATTATAAACAATTACTTTGTATTAAGACATATTTACTTTTATTATAAACAATTACTTTGTATTAAGACATATTTACTTTTATTATAAACAATTACTTTGTATTAAGACATATTTACTTTTATTATAAACAATTACTTTGTATTAAGACATATTTACTTTTATTATAAACAATTACTTTGTATTAAGACATATTTACTTTTATTATAAACAATTACTTTGTATTAAGACATATTTACTTTTATTATAAACAATTACTTTGTATTAAGACATATTTACTTTTATTATAAACAATTACTTTGTATTAAGACATATTTACTTTTATTATAAACAATTACTTTGTATTAAGACATATTTACTTTTATTATAAACAATTACTTTGTATTAAGACATATTTACTTTTATTATAAACAATTACTTTGTATTAAGACATATTTACTTTTATTATAAACAATTACTTTGTATTAAGACATATTTACTTTTATTATAAACAATTACTTTGTATTAAGACATATTTACTTTTATTATAAACAATTACTTTGTATTAAGACATATTTACTTTTATTATAAACAATTACTTTGTATTAAGACATATTTACTTTTATTATAAACAATTACTTTGTATTAAGACATATTTACTTTTATTATAAACAATTACTTTGTATTAAGACATATTTACTTTTATTATAAACAATTACTTTGTATTAAGACATATTTACTTTTATTATAAACAATTACTTTGTATTAAGACATATTTACTTTTATTATAAACAATTACTTTGTATTAAGACATATTTACTTTTATTATAAACAATTACTTTGTATTAAGACATATTTACTTTTATTATAAACAATTACTTTGTATTAAGACATATTTACTTTTATTATAAACAATTACTTTGTATTAAGACATATTTACTTTTATTATAAACAATTACTTTGTATTAAGACATATTTACTTTTATTATAAACAATTACTTTGTATTAAGACATATTTACTTTTATTATAAACAATTACTTTGTATTAAGACATATTTACTTTTATTATAAACAATTACTTTGTATTAAGACATATTTACTTTTATTATAAACAATTACTTTGTATTAAGACATATTTACTTTTATTATAAACAATTACTTTGTATTAAGACATATTTACTTTTATTATAAACAATTACTTTGTATTAAGACATATTTACTTTTATTATAAACAATTACTTTGTATTAAGACATATTTACTTTTATTATAAACAATTACTTTGTATTAAGACATATTTACTTTTATTATAAACAATTACTTTGTATTAAGACATATTTACTTTTATTATAAACAATTACTTTGTATTAAGACATATTTACTTTTATTATAAACAATTACTTTGTATTAAGACATATTTACTTTTATTATAAACAATTACTTTGTATTAAGACATATTTACTTTTATTATAAACAATTACTTTGTATTAAGACATATTTACTTTTATTATAAACAATTACTTTGTATTAAGACATATTTACTTTTATTATAAACAATTACTTTGTATTAAGACATATTTACTTTTATTATAAACAATTACTTTGTATTAAGACATATTTACTTTTATTATAAACAATTACTTTGTATTAAGACATATTTACTTTTATTATAAACAATTACTTTGTATTAAGACATATTTACTTTTATTATAAACAATTACTTTGTATTAAGACATATTTACTTTTATTATAAACAATTACTTTGTATTAAGACATATTTACTTTTATTATAAACAATTACTTTGTATTAAGACATATTTACTTTTATTATAAACAATTACTTTGTATTAAGACATATTTACTTTTATTATAAACAATTACTTTGTATTAAGACATATTTACTTTTATTATAAACAATTACTTTGTATTAAGACATATTTACTTTTATTATAAACAATTACTTTGTATTAAGACATATTTACTTTTATTATGAATTTTAGCTAAATCATTGAAAATATTATTTCAAACTTTTTACTCAAAACTTTAACTTGTAAAACTAAACACTTGTAGTCACACATAACACTTTTACTCAAAACACAGATTTATAGTTTTTTAGATTAAAATTAATTAACTTCTCAAAATAATTTTACAACACGAAACTAAAATCTCTTCTATGTTAACTAAAAACTATGCTAACTTAAAACAAAATGAAAATTTATGACTAGATTTGAAACTCTGACATCAAATTGTCGTTACTCATCAAGATGCTCACAACATTTATTTAAAAAATATGATGATATTTGATAGATTAATAATGTTATCTATATACAATAGCATTTTTTAAAATACAACAGGTTTTTTTGCCCCCACATTCTGGATGACACTAATTTTTGTATGTTGTATTGTTATTCAAACAACTATTTTGTACCAAAAATGCTTATGTTTAAAAAAAAATGCAAGGATAAAAAAACTTGTACTAAATTATATATTGAAAATCTGCATATTATAGAGCTGATTCTACCAACAAATCTAGAAGCTGACTGGAAAATATATGCAAACTTGGATTGCTATTTAACTAAAATTTTCTTGGAGGTGTTATGACAGGATCCCTGGACACAAGAAGCATTTATTTTTAAATTGTATCTTTTCTCAAGTTCTTTCTACTAAAAAGTATCAGAAGCATTTAAAGTTTTTATATGCCTGTTTAGGATCTTTTCTAACATTATCCAGATTGGAAGGTATTGCCTTGTATATATAACATGAGCATGAACAAGAATGTTGTGAACAAATAAAATATAACATAAAATTCTCAATTGCTATAAAATCTCTCATCTTGAATTTAATAACTTACTTTCTGATCATCAATATGGATTTCGATCTTCTCCCTCTACAGCTGATTTGCTAACAGTAATAACAGATCGTTGTTATGATCGTTGTTATAGCAATCGTGATAACAGATAGGTTTTATCGTGCATTAGATAAAGGTGGAGAAGGTTAAGGCCATCGCTCTTGACATTTCTAAAGCTTTTAATAAAGTTTGGCATGCTGGTCTTCTTCATAAGCTTTCTTCTTACTGTGTATCTGGTAACATCTTTAAGATTATTGAATCCTTCTTTTCCAATTGTAGTATAAAAATTGTCCTCAATGGACAGCACTATTCTTCTTATTCTGCAACTTCAGGGGCTCCCCAAGGTTTAATAATTTGGCCCTAAATTTTTTTTAATTTACATTAACGATCTTCCAGATATTCTCACATCCCACAAGGTGGTATTGTTTGCTGATGATACTACTATTTATTCTTGCCATGATAAGATGCCAACACTTTCTGATTGTTTGCAGGAGGCATTTTAACTGGAAAAGGATTTCACCTCTGCTACAGCATGGAGCTCACATTGGCTGGTAAACTTTAAGGTGGTACTAAAGCTATTATAAAAATGTTAAATAATGTATTAAAAGTTGCAAATTGTTGCAGAAGTTTTATATAAAAAACTAAAATATACAAATTTTAAAATAATTTGTGAATAAAAATTTTTTGTTGCCTCGCTTACCCAAATCTAAAAACACATAAAAAGAAAAAAAGCAGAATGCAATATCTCAAGATAAGGTCATTTATTTGCTTCAAAACTTTACCATAGTATAGGTCCCATAATGACAAAGGAGTTGTACTAGAATCATCTACTGTATGCATATAGTTTAGGAGTAAACTTTACTCCTAAACTATATGCATACAGTAGATGTATACATATAGTTTAGGATTAAACTATATGCATACATCTACAGTAGATGAATGCATATAGTTTAGGATTAAACTTTACTACTAAACTATATGCATACAGTAGATGATTCTAGTACAACTCCTAAATTGTTATGGGACCTATGTTATGGTAAAGTTTTGGAGCAAATAGTTGACCCTATCTTGAGATATTGCATTCTGCATATTTTTCTTTTTATATGTTTTTAGATTTGGGTACGTGAGACAACTAAAAAATTTTATTTACAAATTATTTTAAAATTTGTATATTTTAGTTTTTTATATATAAAACTTTTAATTTGCAACTTTTTAATACATTATTTAACATTTTAATAATAGCTTTAGTACCACCTTTTTTTCTTGGAAACCATATATCAAATCCATTGCAAAATTAGCATTCGCTAAGGTTGCATCTCTTTATCCAGCTTGACACTTTCTTACTCCTGATTCTATTCTCTATCTCTATAAATCTTAAATCCAACCTTGTATGGAATACTATTGCCATATCTGGGGCAGATCTTCTAATGATGCCCTTTCTCTTTTAGACAAGGTGTAAAAACCTATTGTAAAAATAGTTGGATCTGCTCTTGCAGCCAACCTTCAACCATTATCACATCATCGTAATGTTGCTTCTCTTTTTCTTTTCTACAAATACTATAATGGGCACTGCTCTAAAGAGCTAGCGTCTCTTGTGCCATCTACTAAAATTCATTCTTGTGTTACTCCTCATTCAATTAAGTCTCATCATTTTTATGTAACTGTTCTTAAATGCTCCAAAAACTCTTATTTCTCTAGTTTTTTTCCTCAAACAACAGTTCTTTGGAATTCGCTTCCTTCATCTTCCTTTCCTGATTCATATAATTTGCAATCTTTTAAGTCGTCTGTCAATTATTATCTTGCTCTACAAACTTCATATATTCTCTTTCAGTAACTTCCAACTCTGATAGTGGTTGCTTGCAGCCTTGTTGGGAGTGAAGATGTTAAAAAAATAAATAAATTCCTAAAAGTTCAGATTTAAAGTGTTACACACTTTAAATCTGAACTTTTGTAGAAAATGCAATTAGTATGCAAAATTAATAAAGAAATGAATTAAGTTCGAGAACAACTGTTTTTTTTTTTGATGTGAAAAAAAGCGTTGTTAACAAGCATTAACAAGCAAGGTCAATTCAAATGCAAAACAAAAAAGTTTAATTTTTAAACACAAAATGTACATTTACAAAAATTATTTTTTTTTCTAATTTACAAATAAAAAATTACTGGATATCTAAATTTGCAGCTTAAATTTACTTTTTACGGGTTAACCGCCTTCGTGCGGTGAACGAATTCACCCCTTAAATTTTCTTTGCTTTTTTTAAATCAGTTCTATATAACATCTTGCAATCTTGCAAAGTTCTTGTAACTAACATGGCCACCCAAGCAAGTTGCTTATCTAAAAGATATCAAGTTATCTTTTTAAATGTTGATTTTTTTACTTTCAATTTTAATGTTATAAAGTTTTAAATACCATATTTAATGTAATTTTAAAAACTATGAATTTATTTAAAATTTACCCGTAAAAACTTATTCAATGATAAAAATTCCTTTTTTTCAAATGTTGGAATGCAATCTTTTTTATCTGCATTTTTTGCATTAAAGGGTTTTGATCAGGACACTTTTGACTTTTTTTCAACATGTTATATGAATATATACATATTACATACATATATATATATATGTATATATACATTTATGTATATGCTTCCCTTTCCTGTTATAACTATTCATTTCTATTTTTAAGGTATTGCAACCGTTTCTGTGGAAATTTCCTTGAAAAAGTTTAGCTACAGCTGACTTTTTCCTTTAACCTTATTGTGCAATTGTTTGATGTTGGCATATCAAGACAATGACTGATTCCAGAGATATAGAGTAAAGACACAAAATGTTTTGGAGACTTTTAAGAAAAGTTGCTTTTTCGAGAAATCATTTTTGTTGCTAATACTCTTTCATAGACTGATTTAGTTTTTCAAGACTTTTCCAGTCATTTTTTACAAATATATCAATAAGAAACAAATACATCAATAAGAAAATACATATATAAGAAATGACAACTCATTATCAATGTTATCAAATTATTAGTGGTGTCAATAAAGACACCACTAATAATTTGATTGTTTGTGATTGCATTTTTGCAATGTTTTTTAAAACTATATGTACCTGTTTTACTGTTAGTAACTGAAATATCAAGATAGTTTAATGTATTGGTTAAATCAGCAGATTCGATTGTGTATTGAATACTTTTGTGTTGTTTATTAAGTAGATCTAAAAACTTTTGTGCATCTTCTACCTGGAACCTTGAATGTATATGATCAACTTAGCTTTAAAGTGATTTGACATGGATGTTACTGTTAAGCACCATTCTTACTCCATATATACATAATGGTACGGTGCCACTCAGGTAGATATTTTTACACTCTTTTTTGGTAAAACACTCTAGTTTATTTAACTTCCTGAGAGTGGTTTGAACTTTGTGAAAATTTAACTAGTTCATAATAATATTTGAAAAGGGTCATAATTTAACATTTCTGCATTTTCTAATTGTTCTTTAATTTTTTCCACAACACTATTTTGATTGATTCAAACTAATGACCCTTTGTTAAAGGGAAATATAATTCTTTTAAAACCAGATAAATCAGTTGCGGTTCCATGGATAATAAAATAATTTTTTATAATATATACAATGATATATTTGAATATTTATATTTTTCCTAATTTCGTAAAGAGCTTTTCTTTGTTTATTGTTAAAATTACTTTTAACTGGCTTAAACATTTTTTACATTTTGAAAACTTTTTGTCTTAATTTAATTCCCTTAGTCGGTTTCTTATTTTATTTCAATTTTAAGACATGTGATTCTGTAACTGATATGATGTCTAAATAAGGTATTTTGTTGTTAAAATAAAGATTGATCTGAGATTTTTTGTGATGTATTAGAATTTCAGACTAAATTAGGGTTTAACTCTCTAAACTTCTTCTTTTTGTTGTTGATAGTGCTATTATGTTGTTGATAGTGCTACTATGTTGTTGATAGTGCTAATATGTTGTTGATAGTGCTACTATGTTGTTGATAGTGCTATTATGTTGTTGTTAGTGCTACTATGTTGTTGATAGTGCTACTATGTTGTTGATAGTGCTACTATGTTGTTGATAGTGCTACTATGTTGTTGATAGTGCTACTATGTTGTTGATAGTGCTACTATGTTGTTGATAGTGCTACTATGTTGTTGATAGTGCTACTATGTTGTTGATAGTGCTATGTTGTTGATAGTGCTACTATGTTGTTGATAGTGCTACTATGTTGTTGATAGTGCTATGTTGTTGATAGTGCTACTATGTTGTTGATAGTGCTACTGTTATTTTATAGTTTTTTATTTTTTTTATTATTTAATCTCTCAAGCTCTATTTAATGGTAAGAGTTGTGAACAATTGTTTGCATTTATTCCTTGCAAAACTTTGCTTTATATGTGTTTTAAAAAAACATTTTTTACAGTCATTCTTTATATGGTATAATAGGTTGTATTCGTTTAGTTGTATTCGTTTAGTTGTTTTGCATCCCATACCATTTGGGAAACCCATGTTTCAATAATTACCCAGTATGGAAAATAAGAAATTGAAGGCGAGCGGTCATTTCTACCAGCTAACACCAATGTGTTTTTGACAGTCTATTGTTTTTTTAGACGACTAAAATTGTTATTTTTTTTTTTCTTTAAATTTTTATTTTAGTATTAGTTCTTCATGAACAATTTTATAAATAAAAAAATAACTTAATGCTTTAAAATTAACAAATTAGTATTCCTTTTAAAATAATAATTCTAAATAAAATAAATGTATTTTTTAAATGGAAACTTGCATTAATATTAGAAATTTCACGCTTATTTTTTTTTTTTTAATATTTTATTATACATGGAACCACAACTGATTTATCTGGTTTTTAAAGATAGAATTTTATTTTTAAAATTTTTTTAAATAGTACAATAAAATATTAAAATGTTTTATAATATGGTTTTGAATATAATGAACATTTTTTTAAGGTTTTGTCAGCCACTTGGTGTGTATAGGTCTAAAACCAATTTCATTTACATTAACACTGTATTATCTGCAGAGATATCAGTAAAGAGAGATTTATTTGTCAAAATTGCAAAAATTTTCAAAAAAACACTCAGTTCAATATTATTTTTGACTTTTTTTTTATAAATATTTTATGCTTTCATTTTTAAGAGCTTTAATTAACAATCACAACTTTACTAAGATTACAACTAAATATTTTCTAAATATTTTTAAAATTAATAGTTTATGGGTAAAATCATTTTCATTTCTATCACATGATATTAGATACCATATGATTGACACAAACATTTATATACATATGCCTATATAGCTATATAATAGTTTAAAAAAGTACCTTTAAAGCAGAAATATTAATACTTTTGACTGACCCACCAAATTCTTCAAGAAGTATGCCATTAGTGAGCAAATCACGGCGAATTTTGGCCTAAGAGATATTTTTAAATTTTTAATAGCAAAAAAATATATATATTTTCTATTTTAAAAAGATATATATAAATAAGAAAACAATATTGTATTTAATGATCAATAAAGGAATGATCAATAAAAGAAAAAATCTTTAATTTTTTGATTTAAGGAAAAAAAAAAAATTTTAATTAATGTTTTTGACTTACAGGATTTCCATTGGGTTTATCTATTTTATTTATTGCAACAATTAAAGGAACTAAACAAAATAAAAACATTAAATCAAAAATAATGGTTGTAAAAGAATATAAAAATATAAGTATTATTACTTTTGTATATATATATATATATATATATATATATATATATATATATATATATATATATTTAGGTAATTCTAAAATCAACTTTTTTTGAAAATATCCGCTGGCACCTCCTAAATGTGGTGTATATAATAAAAATAATACTAGATTTAAATTTTTTTTGAATAAAAAACATTTCTAGGGGTGTACCAAGATTCTTTAACATTAGACAGGTGCCAAATACTATCACAAAAAGTTTTTCAAAAGTAAGTTCATTCTTCCTCTACCATGACTTTAAGAAAACTTTTAACTTTAAAACTTTATAATTTCAAAACCATAGCAGATTTAAATTTAGAGTTTTCAAATAAATAATTTATACTAAATTATTAACTAATTTATATTATTCAAATTTGAATAAAATTATTTTTTTAATTTTAATTTTAATTTTTTGTAAGATCTAGTACATTTCTTCACCTACGGTGATATTAGGGTGTTGACTTTTTGGTATCTCCTGTTTCCAATATAAAAAACAGATGAACTTTGGTTTGAAAGTAACTGAAAAGTCATTGGTTTTTTTAATTTTTGAAAAAGGTCACCCACCTTGTTTACACACTGGTTCCCGCATACCAATGAATTTTTTTTCTTCAAAAGTATATATCAACCTGGGTCTCAAAAGAACCAGAATTTTATACAACACCCAACACCCAGAATTAGTCAACACTCTAATGTGATATGGCACCACCTACCATAATTGATTCTTCACCTACCATGAATGAAAAAATTGTATATTTTGATTTTAATTCTATTTACCTTCAGAAAAAAAATGCATAAATTTAATATGATTACTAAATAAAAGATACGTTGGTTTTTTAGTTTTGTAAAAATTATCCACTAAAGATTTTCTCTGAATGAGAACTTTGTTTCTTCTTAACCATCTTTTTTTAATGCTTTTTTTTGTCTTTTAATTTTTTTGCTGTAATTATTAGCTGTATATTATAAAACTAAAATAAAAAATAATTTTAAGATTTTCAAATGAGCATGTCACCTAGATATGACCTTTTATATTTTGAAAAAAATGACAATAATTTTAAGGTACGTCCTTTTAAAAAACTCACGCACCAAATGAATTATAGTTCCTAAGGGATTGTCCATTAACTACACAACATTAAATTTATTTTTTAAATGGAAATAGGAGATCTTATAATATGTAAAATGCCAACAAGTTGGCAAATAAGTAAACGATACACCAGCTTGGCATCATACTGTAAGTATGTGAAAAGGCAAAGAAAATTTCAGATGAATGTTTAGAACTATGAGCTAATTAGTATTTTCTGACAAAAGATCAGTGCCAAGAATAATAGAAAAATTAATTAAAAAGAGACAAATAGAAATCAAAAAACCAGGTACTTATAGTTTTGATGGTTTATTAGATATAATGAAAGAGGACTTTAGTTGCATTCTAAAGATAAAAATCTTTATTTAAAGCAATTAGAGAAATCTGATAAAGTGGAATATACTACAATGAAGCTGAATGATCCTAACTACATCCTTCAAAAAAAATAAATATTGGAAACATTCTATCAATGCCATCAACTTCAGTTCTAAATGAATACAGAGAGGAACATGAAAGTAGTAATGAGTCAGTAAGCGACAATGGCCATGATTATGAATCTTGAAAAAATATTAATAAATGAAAAATTAAACAGACGACAGTCGAGGCTGTTAAATTGGTTTCTTAAGCAATGCTAAGTATACAAAAAGCTGCCACAGTGTTTCAACAATTTCAGATGGCTGGTAATGATCTTCCTGCACCAACTCAACCAACCTATATTGATCTTCCTGCAATAGCAATAGCACCTATCAACTAGCAATCTATATGGCAGCCATCAGAGAAGGTAAAAAGTTACAAGATAAACTGAAAAAAAAATTGAAATTCGAAAATTGTTGTTTGCATTTTAATAGAAAAAAAAAAAGCTGGGGTGGAACATCAAGTTCCACCCCAGTTTTATAAGTTATTGTAAAGAACAATAAAAAAGAGGTTAGGCAATCGTATTGAAGAATAGAAAGTTAGAGGCAATTTTTGAAGGACACATTTTGAAAGTGTTGGCTTTCAGAAACCTCACTATGTTAGCTGTCAACACCATATATTAGATTGATTATTAAGGTTATGTCTAGATGACTTTTTTGGAGGTAATACCAATTCACCTGAACTGTCATATTATTTTGTTGAAGCAATATGTAGTAAATATGGCTATTTAACATTGAACTTTGACAATAGTGATATAATTTTAAAGAAGAATGAACTGAAATGGAGAGATGACATGCAGTTTTTGAAACATCTGATTAACGTAGTGAAAACCTTTTGAAATGAAAAAAAATTTTCTAAGGGTAATTAAAATAAGGGTAAATAAAAGTTTACCAAATATTATACTATCCAGATGGAACTCCCTGGCAATATTTACTATTTGCTTACATACTAGTTCCTTCAGACAGACAACAACTTGAGATGACAGTTAAGCTTCTTGCTGGAAAATGGGCAGATATCTGGTTTTCAAACCAAACGTTTAACCCTGAAAATGGTAAAGTATTGGAGAAAGCCATTAAAGATCATCTGAAGGCTATCAATACATTCACAAAGTTTTGGTGTGATGTTCCTTTGCCTATAAATACGCAAAGATGCAAAATTTGTACTGAACGAGCAGTAAAAGTTTTAGAAGATATTAAAAGTCTTTATAAATCTGAAGAAACTTTGCTTTTGAAATATTTATTAACAAATCACAATTAAAGCAAATGCAAACCTTTTGAGTTAATGTAGTTTTAACAATATAGTTTTTTAAACATTTTGATGTTTTGTTAATTTTATAAATATAGCTTTATTTACGTGATTTATATCTTTATTACTTATTGGAACAAGACTTATTATTTTAAGACAAAGCAAAAAATATTTTACTTCAAATTAACAGTAAAGAATTTCTAGGCGTATTTGTTATGTGATTAACAGCTTTTGGCTCGGCTTTCTAGTGCATCAGATCCTGAGTTTTTTTCTAGAAAAATTATAACGAAACTAAATTCTCTAAAATATTTACAAAAGCTCATCAGAATACTACATGCTCATTAAGTTTGTAAAAATATTATACCCCTACTGTATATGTTCCTGCAGTTTTACGTTGGAATATATTATATATATATATATATATATATATATATATATATATATATATTTATATATATATATTTATATATATATATTTATATATATATATTTATATATATATATTTATATATATATATTTATATATATATATTTATATATATATATATATATATATATATATATATATATATATATATATTTATATATATATATATATATATATATATATATATATATATATATATATATATATATATATATATATATATATATATATATATATATATATATGTATATATCAGGGCTCAATTTAACGGTCGGACATCAGACATTGAATGGCTAAAATCTCAGATTGTCCAATCAATTTACAAATTAATCAGACATTTTGAATGACGGGAATTAAATTCTACAAAATAAAGATTGGACAGGAAAGGTGTGCGATTGAACACTATTGCTGACCACGCAAATGGTTTTTTGTTTACAATTGTTGACCACAACTGTTTAGATGTTTTGATGATTTAAATGTTTCAGAAATACTCTGAGACGTTAAGCTAAACTTAAACTAGAAAAAAAATTTTAAAAATTAAAGAATAAGCAAAACAACTCCTACGAAAAAGAAAACAAATTAGCTTTAAAATAAAACTATAAAAACTCGAAGTTAAAATTACTTTTTGTAACATATTTAATTGCATTTGAAAAAATTACTCTAAAACTTACCTTTTAAAACGTTAAATTAAAGTTACGCAAAACACTTTTAAAATTTACTTTTATAGATTGATGATAATGATATATAAATAAACAAATTTTATTTAATTATTGAAAATTGAATTTAAAGTATTAAAAAGAAAAAATTTAATATTTTTAAGTTGTATAAAAATTTTTTTCAAAAAGTTGCAAAAAAATATTGTTTAAAAAACTAGCGTATTCTTTTTAAAATCGTAATTTTTAATCGTTTTATGCTTTAATTAGTAAGTCAAGTTTTACACAATTCATTGTAAAAAAAAGAAACAAACGAAAAAAAAATAAAGCAATTAAATCATGGGAAGATTTAATTTAACTTTTAACTTATTCATAATTAAAAGTAACTTAAAAACTAATATTTTAAAAGATTTTAAGAAAGACATGCAGAAATAGTTTCAAACGTTTAAATTTTTCATAAAAAATATATATCTTTTACAAAAAAATTATGTATAACATTTAATTTCCACATAATGCATTTACTTTAAACGATAATTATATTAATTTTTATTTTATTTAAAGCCTTCACATACAATAAAAACTTAACTTAATATAAAAAAGATCAATGGTTAAAAGTTATTCGTAATATAACGATTTTTTTTATTGCTTTTAAATTGTTAAAACATCAAAACAGCCGTCATCAAATTGTAAAGAAATTCATAGTCAGTTAAAGCGTGAAAATTTAAATCTACCTAAAAAAACATAAAATATTAAACTGAAACTATTTTATTAAAAAACAAAAATGATGCTCTAAATAATAAGAAAAGAAACTGCAACTTCATGTTAATTAAACTGAATAAAATGAAAAAGATTTTGATAACCCAACTCGATTTTGTAACACTAAAAAAATTATATTTTAAAAATATGATCAGACACTGTCCGACCCAAACAAGTTTTGATTAGACATTTTGTCCAGGACTTTAAAAAAAATTAGATTGAGCCCTGTACATACAACTCTCAGAATTAGGGTCGGGATTTGGCAACATCGACCTAATTGCTGACCTAAAAGTGTTTGAGGTTGACAAAAAATTGCTGACATAGTATCTATGTTTTATGGTTAGACCTTTGTATCAAATAGTTTTTGCTGACCTGACGCCGATCTCAAAAAGATTGAGGTCAGCAAATTATTGCCAACCTCATTTTTCCTATTTCTGAGTGTTGATATATATATATATATATATATATATATATATATATATATATATATATATATATATATATATATATATATATATATATATATTTATATATAATATTATAATTATCTAACCTTGTGCTTCTTTGATATGTTGAATGCATTCCTTAGTTTGAGCCATAACACCATCATCAGCTGCAATAACTAGAACTACTATGTCTGTTAGGTGTGCACCACGTGAACGCATTAAACTGAAAGCAGCATGGCCAGGAGTATCAATAAATGTTACTTTAGCATTCTCAAGACCTGGCACCTGAACTAAAAAAAATTATTTAATTCATTTAAAAAATGAAATAATAAGAAAAAGCATATTGAACAATATAAGTTGCCTCCATTAAGATATAATTGTGTAAGTTCATTTGCATGCAATTTTTCGACCACTTCTTTTTATTCTTTGAACTTTTCATGCAGATTTATAAAATTTTGAAAAATCCATAATAATCCATCTTAGCATTTTACATTTAAAATCCATGAAAGGAAAAAAAAGAAAATTATTTTTATTTTTTTAAAAAAATATTTTGCTTTTATTAAAATCCTGTAGTTTTCTTTGTTTGCAGAGTTGTCCAAAATCAGAAAAATCATTAGAGTTTAAACAGGAAATCACTTTAGATACAGAAGTTGTAGTGATACAGATCTCGAGCAATGAACCAACCCGTTTAACAGCTATATCAGGTAGAACACAACTAGTGGAATCAAGAGATGATATTGATGAAAAGTTCTTAGTAAACAATTCAGCTTGGTCTTTAGGTTAGGTGACTAAGTCTGAACCATACAAAAGAGGTGGAATTACAGACTTGCCCTTATTATTGATACTATTAAAGATTCTGCCGAAGTCACGACTGCCTAATTTTTGTGATGAAATATGAGATTTCATGATCTGAGAATAGCAGGCTTTGGCATTAAACAAAACCTTTTTACAATGGTTCCTAGCAGTAATAAACAGACATCTGTTTTCTGGAGAATTGTTTTGCTGATAGATATGGAAGTAATGGAGAATTGTTTTGCTGATAGATATGGAAGTAATGGTTTCGACTGGCAATTGCAGCAGCACAATGTGAGGAAAACCATGGAGAAGAGTGAGGCTTGACCTGGAACCGTCGAAAGGGAATAAAGGCCATGCCAGCCTGAATCCACAAAGTTATGTAAGAAGCACATTTGTCAACAAGAAGACAAAAGATTTATACCAATCGGCCATCACAAAGAAAATCACGGAAAGAATCCTAGCCAGCTTTAAGGTAGTTCTAAGATGTACGATGATAGGGATTCTGATGATAAAGAAGAATGAGATAATAGTTTTAGAGAGACCAAACCATGATCAGAAGCACCTAAGGGTGAATGTGAAGAAACTAAGCACTGATTAGGATCAGAAACAAGACACAAGTCGACTAGAGAAAGTAAATAATTTGGGTTGTCTGGAAAGCGAGTTGGAAAATTGACTATTTTAGTTAGGGATTGAGAAAGGCAAAAGTTGTGGGCTTTAATGCCTGCAGAGTCACTAACACTAGAGCCAAGCCATTCAGTTTAATGAACATTAAAGTCACCAACAACAACAATATTGGCTGATGGATAATGAGAGAGGGCTTGGTCAATATGATCAGAAATAATATTAAGAAGAGTGCAGTCTTGAGATGAAGAAGAGCAATATAGAAAAAAGAGAAAAGTGAAGTGGTGCCAAACAAAAGCACATAAAAGAGTAGTCTGTGAATTCAAACCTAGTTTCCGGAAAAACGGGTGAATTCTTACAAATGTAAATGCCCAGGCCAAGCATGTGACTATTGGAGTCTTTACGAATTAAAGAAAGATAACCATCAACACTAATGAATTAAAAAATAATTATATGATGAAAAGCATGTGACTATTGGAGTCTTTACAAACTTAAGAAAGATAACCATCAACACTAATGAATTAAAAAATAATTACATTAATGAATTAAAAAATAATTATATGACATGACTCATTTAGCGTTTAAAACTGTCTTTAGCATTTAAAACTGTCTTTTGTCTGATTTTTACAAAAATTTAGTCTTGGATCAAAGAAGATTTACTTATCTTCATACATGATTATATAAAAATGTTTTTTTAACATGCAGAAAATGACTTAATATTCAAACATTTATGCATATGAAAACGTCAATGAAAATGTTTTCAAACTTGGCATGTTCAGCAACAAAGTATTGTAATTTTTTTTCTGCATAAATTTGTTTGCATATAAAAGTGATGATGTAACCTTAAATGTGTTACATCCAAGCTATTAATTAATTAATTATACGATGTAACCTTAAATGTGTTACATTTAAGCTATTAATTAATGAATTATATGTAAACAATTATATGAAGACAAATTATGGAAACAACTATATGTTGTCATATGTTTCCTATATATTTTTTTTTTCTTATTAATTCACCTCCTCAAGGCCGTGAAGGCCACTACAGGCGAGGAGGCTACTTATGTGTGGTTATAACCCTCTCTCAACTCTATAACTCCGAAACAGGAACCTTGACGAACAAGGCCACTGCACAGAGAAACGAGTTGATATATTGTGACAAATTTTGAAGTATAAACTAAAAAATGTTCCACAGAATTAATTTGCCATGGATTACAAAATTATAGTAACTTACTCATCAAAGTTTAACAGAGGAAATTTAGAATTTCCTTACTTATATTAAATTTGCAACAGGGCATTGCCATGCAAAGTTAATTCTTCTGGTTGCCGTGCAAAGTTAATTCTTCTGGTTGCCATGGTTGCCAAATTTTAAATTTCTTTTTGATTAATTAATCAACATAGATATCAAGATGTTTTTGGATGACCAAAAAATGGATCACTTTTAGAAAAAAAAATGATAGAACTGAATTGAGCCCCAAATTGTTTTACCCCCATTTAGAATTAAGGCTCCAAATTTTTAAAAAAAACATACTAATGTAATGTAACTCAAAAATGTATAAACTCAAAGAATGCAATCAGTAACTATTATAAGCTCGGTAGACAGAGATGATTGTGCATACAACATCCAAACAAAGGATTTGTGTTGGTATTCCCAACTATCGAGAATGAACCAATCAATCAGGTTCTTTTTTAGCTAGATATTCTTTCACCTAACCTAACTCTATTGTCTTGCACATGTTATAAAGATACTGCTGCTTAGGGTGTCCCAAAAAACAACATTTTTGAAAATAATCTGCTCTCACCCCCTAAATGTGTTCTATCTAATAAAAAAACACTAGGTTTAAATTTTTTTTTGAATAAAAAATATTTTAAGGGGTCCCTCAAGACCCTTGAATATTTAATGGGTCCCTAATATTTTCGAAAAAAAAGTTTTTCAAAAATATGTCAACCTGGTACTCTAATGAAGCAAAATTATATAAATATTTCAAAAATAATATTCATTTCAAAATATTTTTAACTTATTTATCAAAATTATTATAAGAAAACATTAGAAATGCATTTTTTTCATTTTTTCTTGAAAAAATCAACTTTTTGTGTAATAAAACCAAAAATAACAATTTTATTGCAAAATGAATATTATTTTTAGAATTTTTATATAATTTCGCTTCATTTGAGTACCAGGTTGACATATTTTTGAAAAACTTTTTTTTCAAAAATATTAGGGATCCATTAAATATTTGAGGGTCTTGAGGGACCCCTTAAAATATTTTTTATTCAAAAAAAATTTAAACCTAGTGTTTTTACATTAGATAGAACACATTTAGGGGGTGAGAGCAGATTATTTTCAAAAACGTTGTTTTTTGGGACACCCTACTGCCGCTAATATCTTTGCAAATACTGTTAGTCAAAATCTCATGTAGATCATTTGGTAAGTTATCTTATCTGATATCAAATTTGATAATTGGCAACTTGAGACACTTTGCAAGTTCTTTCCCAATGTTGCCACTAAATGTAGTCCAGAAGGTCCAGAAGTACTGCCATCTAAATGCAATACTGTCTCAATGGAAGTTAATTAAAATGGAACATACACACTAACCATTGAAATAGATATGCAAAATGCAGTTCCAGTAATCTTTATTACACAACTGTATATGTGCTATTTCATCAGCGCCAATAGCTAATACATCAAGTTTTGTTTTCGTCAAAAATATGTATAATAGCATTATTGATGTGTCAATGCTGGAGAAACATGACCAAAAAAATGGAATGAAGTTTACTTCTATTAAAGTGTTTAGAAGAACATCAATGTAGATAAGAAACAAAACAAGAAAAAGGATAAAACCTTGAAGTACCCCAAAAGCTACTGGAAATGAAAAAGAGTGTTGGCCTTTGAAGATCACTTTAATAAAGTGGTTAGAAAGAAATGACTTGATAATCTCAAAAGCTTTTCCAAATACACCATATGAAGCAAGCTTAAAGAGAAGACGAGCCAAACTTTATTGAAAGCTTCAGATACATAATGAGCTCTTTTTTTGTCACTCCCATCTAATGCATGATGATGAAACTTTTAGTTACAGCAGTTAGCAAGTCAGCTGTTAAACTAGAAGCTTAAAACCATAATAATTGTCAAAGAGTAAGTTATTAGACTCATATTATTTTAGTAACATATTAGATGGTCGAAATTTGTTGATTAAAGAATATTCAACCATGCTTTGCATGGTTTGCATGCACGGATGATATAAGTCAAATGACATTCAAACTTATAATATCATCCAAACTTATAATATCATCCAAACTAATAATATCGTCCAAAACTTATAATATCAACTAAACTTACACATGTTTACACTATAGAAAGATAAATTTTGTAACCAAATTACCAAGTAATTAAATACTGATAAAAGCATAAAAATGCAAAAACATGATGATTTAAGTGCCCCTGGCACCAAATGTAGACACTAAAAATAACAAAAAAAATTTCCATCCATTTTACATTATCTAAGAACAAGAATTTATTATTATTTAAAGTCAAATTTTGTATATGACCTACCTAGTATTGATAAATAAAATATGTCTAACATTAACTAAAAACAGTATATAAATAAAATTTTGAAAATTAAAAAAAAAAATCTTCCAAAAAAGTAAAAAACTTGTGCTAGCATCAGGTGTTTCATTACAAATACAAATGTAATAATGATTGGATTGTACGTAATTGTAGTGTTGTATGTGCCAACAATGATTTTATCAATATTGTAAACTTATTGAATCAAAAAAAAAAAAAATTTAAGAATTATTTAATTGTTCAAAAAATTGAACTCTAGTTTTATTTTTGTTACACAATAAACTTTATCAGCTTTGCGTAATGATATATTATATAACTAGATATTATATATGATATATTATATAATCCGAAAAGTGCAGCCGCTTTTTGCCCTTTTTACAAATGGCAGATTAAATTTGTAAACAAATATTTTTAACTTTTCTTTTCTTAAATGAAGTAAATATATTTTAAATTTAAATACTATTTACATAAAAGTGCTCGGCGGAAATTATAATAATTATTGAATCTTAAATTATTATTTTATAATTATTAGTGTTGAAAATTTCAGCAAAATTTGCGGAAATTTTCAACCCTAATAATTTGTGGAACAAATATCAGAACAAACAAACTATTAATTTGTTTGTTTCTTATTTCTTCTGTTACTTGTTCCGCAAAATAATATGGTTGAAAATTTGTGGAAATTTTCAACACTAATAATTATAAAATAATAATTTAAGATTCAATAATTTATTTTTGTTTAAAAAGGGATTAAAGTTTTGTATAGAAAAGTAAAATGACAGACGCTTTGGAAACATTTTAATGAATTAAAATACTTTTTAACAAACATAAGCTCATAAAAAAACTTTTATAAGTATTTTATAATAATTAAAATTTGTTTTTGAATTATCTTTAATTTATTGGGAACTTTTGAATTGCATTTTTAACTTTTATTCCACACTTTGGCTTCAGCTTTTGCCTTTTTTACAAATGGCGGACTATTATTATAAAAAAAAAAAGCAGCTTCACTTTTTGTTCAATAAAATCCTGCAAGTTAGATATCTAGTTATATAATATATCATTGGCTTTACGTGAATCCTTTTAAAGTACTTAAATATCTTAAATATTTTAAAATTCATTTAATTTTTTGCTTAACTTTATTTATTTTAAATATTTTTTGTGATTTTGTTGTATGACTAAAATCTAAAGTTCACATTAAGTTTAAATAAAGTTTTAATTTTGTTTTAAAATTGGACAATGTTTATATCAGATGATAAATATCAGATATATTTTCTGATCATTTCTGCTAAAAAGTAATTTTCATTTTTTTCATTCACTGAAATTCAGCCATGTTCAACATTTTGTGTGTTAATTTGAAAATCCAAACAAAGATTTGATTATTTGTGAATGTGATGACAAATTTTGTATTTTTAATCTTTTTCGGAACAAATTGATCACAAATATTTTTAAAGTTATATAAGTTCTTGTGATATTAGTGAATTTTTTCATAAAATTACAAGAAGCTATATAATCGCCGAGAAAAAGTTGTTACATGTGTGAAAAACTAAAACTGTTTTTTACTTTATCTCAATTTATCACAATTTAAAATTTGAGAGAGAAAAAAATTATCAAAACATTTTAAAACAAACTAATAATAATAAATTTTAAATCGATTTTCTATGTTTCTCTTTTTTATATCAGAGAGGGAGGAGTGTCTAAACTTTTATACTTGAATATGTTTACAGCTTTTCTCCATAAGTTATTGTAAGAAATTAGATTTCCAAAGATCTTCTAGAAGTAGTATTCATTCTTTTCATATTTAATGTTATTCATACACCGAATCTTCAAATAATACTATCAAAGTTAAAGTTATGGAATTTAGATGATGATTGGATTATTTAAGTTAATTATGATGATTTGAAATTAACACAAATGCAAAAAAAGCTGTTCAAAACTCACAGCTCCAATAAACTAACTTTAAAAAAAAAACTCTTTTACTACTGCATTTGTTACTTATTATAAAACATAATGACCTGAAAAAGCTCCAATAGACTGTGTAATTCCACCTGCCTCATTAGCAGCAATAGATGTCTTTCTCAAAAAATCCAATAAAGTTGTTTTCCCATGATCTACATGGCCCATTATTGTTACAACTGGAGATCTAAAAAAATTATTTTATTAAGTAAAGAAAAAATCAATCAAGGTAAAACTAAACAAACGTTTTAATAAGCCTGTAATTAAATTCTAATAATGATATGATAATAATATTCAGTGAATGAACATTAAATAAATCACCTAAAGGTGATTAACAAAATTGCCAAGGATTTTTTTTTATTATCATTATTATTTTTATTTTTAATAATACTTTTTTGTTATTGCTTCTATCAACTTTTCTAATTTTCTTTCGAATAATGTAGTTAGATTTAATGCTTTCAGTCTTTTTTCATAGGATAGAATCTTATTTATGATACCATTTTAGTAGCTTTGTGCTGGATTCTTTCTATAGTGTCACAGTCAGATTTTAGAAAGGGACTGAAACTACAAACTTTAGTAATGGCCGAATAAAGGTCAAAAAAAGCAATTAAAGTAATTTACAATCAAAATGAGCAAAAGATTTCTTGATGCGGCCAAGCATTTGATTGTTTTGTTCAAAGCAATAACAACTTGATTTTTTCCACTTTAGATTTGTACTGAATTTTACTCCAAGATCACTTTTCAAGACCATTTGGCGGCATTATCTAATCAGTTTGAAATTTAGTAAGACTTTTACTAAATTTTAGAGGAGATTTTGCATTTAATTTAGAAGATTTTTTCTGCAAAATTACAAAATTTTGAATAAAAATAGAGGATTTTAAAGGATTTTTTTTTACTCTAAAACCCTCTTTTTTGGATAGAGATCAATAATGCCATTTTTTATGTTAGATGACATGGATTAGCTAAAATTGAGTTTTTACAACCCAATACTCATTTTATACAAGTTTTGTATAAAATGAGTATTGTTTTTTGCAGACCAGGAATTATTAACATTACTACTATCAAAAATAAAAAAAATAAAAAATTTAAGATTTGATCACATTTTTAATTTTTTTAGAAGATAATAGAGAAGGTTTTTGAGGAGGTTTTTGAAATAAGAGGACTTAAGCTGATTTTAGCGAAGCTGTGGCCACCTGTATTACATAGTTGCATGAATATTTTTGAGACTATTTTTGTATCATCTGCATATAGTTTAGTGACATTAAGCAAATTTTTAGGAAAGTCATTAATATATAAAAGGAATAGAAATGTGGCAATTACAGAACCTTACGGTATACCACTAAAACTCTTAACCTAGCCAGAAATGATTTCGCCTTAAGTAACTCTTTGTCTTCTGCTTCCTAGGAACGCTTTCATCAATTTAAAAAACAAAAAACTTTATGTTTTCAGTTTGACTAGCAATCTTTTGTGTGTGTCAAAGGCTTTGGCAAAATCTAGCAAAACTACATTAACTTGAATACCGATATATAAGTTTGATAAAATGTAATCAAGGCTTTCTAACAGATTAGTGGTACATGGTTTGTTTTTAATGAAGCCATGTTGCTGAATTTGCTTTGTAGATTATTTTTAAATAATGTCCTCCATTTATGCTCTTATTATACTTTCCATTGTTTTACATAAGATTGGAGTCAAAGAAACTGGACGGTAGTTGCTTGGCAGAGTCATATCACATTTTTTGAACAGTGGTGTTACGCTTGCTGATGTTAATTAAACACGGTTATTGAGCAGAAATAGATGCATATTATCAAGACCACATGCTTTGTTTTGAATTTTTAGTTTGTCTAATACCATTTCATTACTGGTGTCATTTTTAATACCATTTTATTAAATGTCATCTAAATCAATAAACCTTTTATTAATTGTCATCTAAATCAATAAACCTTGAATGATTCTTATTAAATTCAACTGTAAAATGTAAAAGTTTACCTTCTTCAATTACAAAAACATCTTGGAAACATATGTTTAGTAAACTACTATTTCTCCCAGATCTTGGATTAGATTAACATTGGCTATTTTTAAGGCTCTGAATGATTCTTTAGCAAACTATTGGCTGTTCAAATACTTATATAGGAGCTTTGGATTCAGTTTTTCAAATACTTAGGAGCTTTGGATTCAGTTTGAACTTTTCAACTAAATCAATTTCATATGCAAGACGAGCTACTTAAATTTCTTTTTTGCAAATTAAGTTATTATCATTAGTTAAATTATTCTTTGCTCAAGTTTAATGCTTAAGTTTGTACTCTTTGCACTTAAGTTTGCACTGGTTTGGTGGGGATTGAGTTCAATCCCCACCACGCCCCTGGTAGTACTGTGCTCAACTTGTTTCTCCGTGCAGTGGACTACCATGCCCCTGGTAGTACTGTGCTCAACTTGTTTCTCCGTGCAGTGGACAGTTCATCAAGATTCAGGTTTTGGAGTTATAGAGTTGAGAGAGGGTTATAACCACAATAAAGTAGCCTCCTCGTCTGCAGTGGCCTTGTTGGTCTTGGGGAGGAGAATAAACATAAATTGGGGAGGAAAATAAACATAAAAAAAATAAAAACTTCCCGATTGAGTTGTACAAATTAGATCAAGGATGGTGACAGAATCATTTGGTCGGCACATTTACATGCTGTTACAAGTCAGCACATTTACATGCTGATACAAATATGTTTTGTTAAGAGTTTTGCTAAAGTTTTGCTCAATACCATTTTTATTTTTAATGTTTTTGATGTAACCATTTGACCATTTGATTGATGGGAAATTAAAATCCCCTGTAATTAGTAAGTCCTTATTTATCTACATAATTTTAGGTCTTTTTTAAAACCTTATCAAAATCATTTATGTCAACAAAATTATTTGGTCTATAAATACAACCAAATAAGTACTTGTCATTTCCAAAATAAGCTATAGCCCAAATATGTTAAACTTTACTCAAGTTAACAACTTTTTTTAAGAAATTTTACGGTTTTATTGAACCGAATTATCCAAGCGAAATATGTGTCATACTCAGTGTCATACTCAAACATTTCAGTTTATTTAACATTAGTGCAGTTTTTTTTTATTATTTAGAATATTCAATCGCTGATTTTTATTTATTTTTTTTGATATAAAATAGTTTCAATACAGTATTGTGTATTTTAGTGATGTTTTTTTAATTTGACAACGGCTAATTTGATGTTTTAACAATTTAAATGCAATTTAAAAAATCGTTACGTTAGGAATAGCTTTTCATTGTTGCTCTTTTCTAAAGTATTTTACGCGAAAACTTTAAATAAAATCAATTTATTATAATAAAACAAACGCAATATGTGTGAATTAAATGTTTATTTTAATTTTTTTTCAGTAGGTATGTATTTTTATGATAATTTTAAACGCTTGAAACTGTTATTCTATATCTTTCTAAAAATCTTTCAAAAGATTATTTTTTTAAGTTACTTTAAATTATGAATAAGTTAAATCTTCATGATTTAATTGTTTTATTTTTTTTTTATTTATTTTTTTTTTCTTTCTATTTTGACAAAGAATTGTTAAAAAGTTTTTTTTTCTAAACTTGACTTACTAATCAAAGCATGAAATGATTAAAAATTATTTTTTAAAAACTACGCTATTTTTATAAACAATTTTTTTTTTTTTTTGCAACTTTTAAAAAAAAATGTTTATACAATTAAAAATATTATATTTTTTTCTTTTCAATAATTTAATTTCACTTTTCAATAATTTAAATAAAATTTGTTTATTTATTAAACAATCAATAGAAGTAATTTCTAAAAACGTTTTGCGTTACTTTAATAAAATGTTTCAAAAGATAAGTTTTAAAGAAAATTTTTTTCAAAAGCAATTAAAAAAAAAGTAAAAAAAAAATTTTAACTTCAAGTTTTTGAGTTTTATTTTAAAGCATTCTTTTTTCTTTTTCGTTCTAAATGAACAAGAAAGAATGAAAAAGTTCACTCATAGTTGCATTTGCTATGGCTAATTGGTCAGCTGGTTTTTAACATTTTTAGCACCTTGATTAGTTACTTGAACGAAATTCCTGCTGATACAATGTTACTGCTGTTTTAGCTGTTTCTGAGTTTTGAGATTTTCTATTTCTTAGTTTTTCTTAGTGTTGTAATAATTCTGAAGTGTCTTACAGGATCATTAACTGAAAAGTTTTTTTAACACAAAATTTTATTTATTCATCAGATATTAAATTTTATATATCCTTAAAATAAAATGTTGGATCTATAGATGGATCATTGGATGTTGGAGTATAGGTAAAATCCATATTTATTATTTTAAAAAATTTATTTTTTTTCAAAAGTTAATTTAAAAAATAATAAATTTGATTTATTAAAAAAGATTAGTTGATGTATTTGTACTTTCATTGCTTTTATAAAAGTAATAACCTTATATATAATTTTATTACAAAAGCTTTTGACAAAAAAGTTTAATTAATGATGCGAGTTTTTTAATTTTCATTAATTTGTTAATAATATTGTAAACATAACTAATGGTAATATTATTTGTATATTATCAATAAAAAGGCATGTTAAATCAAATTAAATTCAATTTAAAAGTCTGAATTTAACTTTCAGTTAAATTTGGTTTGAGAGAAGAAATTCACGTTTCCGTTAAATTCGGTTTAAAACCGAAATACAGATTTTAGTCAAATTCAGTTTAAAAGCCAAAATTCTGGTTTCAGTCAAATTCTGTTAAAAAGCCAAAATTCAGGTTTCAGTTAAATTTGGTTTAAAAGTCGAAATTCAGGTTTCAGTTGAATCTAAACTCATCGTTCAGTTAAATGTCTAAATTTGTTTTCCAGTTAAATTCAGGTCTTAAAAAGTTAACCTCTGGTCTTAAATGAGAACTACTGAATATACTTAACAGGGATGCAAAATCCCAAAGGGACTCCAGCTTTATATCTCCATTTTTTTCAGGTCTGTAGTGTCCAGAAGCTTTAAATATGTTTGTTGACTAATAATCTGCCTTAAGAAAAAAAATAATTTGATTTAATGACTTGGAACTTATTGTTTTTAAGCCCGGAGTCCTGGAGTCCCGGAGTCCTTGCCGCCATTATACCAAAGGACTCCGGGTTCAAAAAATGATTGCTCCTCTTACCTAAAAACATTTTTTTTTTTTTCTATTAGAAAACAATAATTTTTTTTATATTTTTACAGCTTCTGGATACCAAAAAATAGGAAGAAGTAGTCTTTTTGTGACTTTTAAATCCAGAGTTCTTTTGGGGACTCTGTATCCCTGATACTTAAGCATGTATAATTGCAAAACTTGCTCAAACTTTAGTAATAAAAAAAATACTTGCTTACTTACAAATGTTGCTGTTTTCAAAATGTTATATACTTTTATCACAAATCAACTGTAAATAAAAGTATCTATGCAAACTAATAATCAAATACAATAATTATATTTCATGTGTTTTCATTTACTAAAGATTTTATTATTGTATGATATTACTCTTGTGTATACAAAGTAATAGCAAAATAAAAAAAACCTTTTTAAACGATGAGTGTCCCCTGCTGCAATAACTTCAAAATGGTATTCATCTGCAATGGCCTCAGCAATTTCAAAATCAAGAACTAAAAAATAAATTTAAAAATTGCAAAAATTTAATTTAATAATTTTAACTAAAAATAACTATAATTAAACTACTAAATAAATAACTAGATTAAACTATAAATAAACTGAATTGACATAGTTTGCATAATTAGATTGATTTAAATTTCTCTGTAATTCAATTTAGAAATTTCAAAATTATGTATTATAATTTTATACCTGTACTGAGACCTTTATTAACAGTATAGCCATAGTCTGTCAGCAATTTTATTATAGAAGAAGAATCTACTGCAAGTTTACTTGATAACTCAGCTATAGTGATATGATTGGTCAATATAATTTTCTAAACAAAGTTTTAAAAACTTGAATACTTTAGTCAATTTTCTAAACATGAAAAAACAAAACAAAAAATAATTTTCAAAAAACTGATTACTGGTTTATTAGCAAGTATTCTGCCATATGACAACCATCTTATCTATAAAAAATAAATATTAAAATAATAAAAATATGTTAAAATGATTTTGTTATTCAACAAAATCATTTTAACCAAAGATTTTTCATTATGAATAAAAGATTAGCAATAGAAATTTTTTTTATTTAAAGTGCAACTAAGATTTAGAAATTTTTAAAAAAGAATTTTTGAAGACTAATTAATCTTCATTTAGTTAATTGATTTTTACAGTAAACATCATTTTTATTTCTTATTATATGACGGTGTTATCAATATAATTTGAATGATGATGTCATTAAAATCATATTAATAACACCGTCATATGATAAGAAATACATATATATATATATATATATATATGTATATATATATATATATATATATATATATATATATATATATATATATATATATATATATATATATATATATATATATATATATATATATATATATATATATATATATATATATATATATATATATATATATATATATATATATATATATATGTAATTAGGGGCCTCCAAAAATTTTAAAAACTTATTTTTTATTTTTAATAATATGCAAATAAGACATTTTATTGTGAACGAATAATGCAAATAATGCGATTTAAACATTTATTATTATTCTACTTTATTTATAAAAATATTTAAAACACTTCTGTGAAAGATAATCCAGCAATTAAGCAGCGTATCTTTAAGTTTTTTGCGCTCTCATCTGTAGAGACTTGAAAACTCCAGAATGTTTAGGAAAGCAAAATAAGTTTCAAAGTATACTTTGAAATTAAATTTATTCTAATAAGTAATTTTAAGTAAATAAATTTCAAACTAATTATTTTTATTAACTACTTTGAAATTTATTTACTTCGCTGTTATTACTGCTATTACTATTATATTTTTTTATTAATTGTTTATTATTTTATCCTTAGCATTGTTAAAAATTTGTTTTGTATTGTCTATTATTTTTCTAAGTTCAAATTTTTAAACTGTGCACGAAATGTTGATTGCAGCGGTTGCAGCGGTTGTGAGCTTAAACTTAAACCTAGTTTAAATCATAAGAATAATCGATTGTGAGTTCTTTGAAGTGTAAATTTCATTTTTCATGTTTACACAAATAAACTTATATAACAGCTGATCTTTTCTATATAATGTTCTGATTAAGTCAAATTTTATCAGAACATTTTCAATTTTTAATTCAATATAAAAATTGCCAGTTGTTTGTTTATGCATAATCATAGGTTAAACCATGGTAGGATCTTACCTAAGTAGGTCAAACCAAAGAAAACTAGCACAGGAAAAAAAAATCAATTATGCTTTAGCAAAAATTTCAAAACTAACTTCATTTTTCCAAGGGTCTGTTTTCCAATCTCTCACCCAGTGAAAAAAATTGAAACTGCTAGTAATGAAAATGTGATATTTATAATGGATATTTATAGTAGTGTTTTTAGTGGTAAATTTGCAGGTTCAATCACAAACATATATAATTGATCATTTTGACAGCAGTGATTCTCCTGCTCATCAAAATGAATTAAACCCTCAAAATAATAGCTGTTAGAATGATTAAGAGTGTCAAAATCATTCTGATTCAAAATCACCGTTTGAGTGTTCTCGCAGATTTTTTAATAAAGAATCAAAGATACGTTATTGTTCAGACAGAACATTTTATGGGAAAAAAGCAAATAGCAAAAGGTTTTTGCAAAATGGCTCATTTATTTCACAACAACTAGTTTTGTGTACCGCTCCCCTTGTAAACATTTTGTGTCTAAAGAAAAATCAAACAAACTCACAAGCGATGGATTTAATGATTGGAAGAATATTTTTCAAATACATCAATATGAAAATGTATCTCTTCACAGAGAATGCATGTTGACATATATTTAGAGGAAACAAAGCTCTGTTGTGTGTAACACCCTTCCACTTCAATTCCAAACGGAGCAAAATTACTTGTTAGAAGTATTGAAACATCTTATACCAGTTTATAATGCTATGTGATAAAGGTTTACCTTTTCACGGAACAAACCAGCATTTTGGTGTTCCAGATAATGGGAATTATTTGGGTTTGCTAGAACTTGTGGCTCAGTTTGACTCATTTTTTAAAAATCACATTTCAACATATGTAGATAAAGGTAAACGAAATCCATCTTACCTATCAAAAACAATATGCGAGGAGTTGATTTATATAATGGGAGAAAAAGTGCAACATCACGTTACACAAGAGATTTTAGTTGTCTGCTGTTTTAGTGTTTCCGTCGATTCAACTCCAGTCATTGCTCACATTGACCAACTGAGTATAGTTTTTTTTTTAATTCACGTCAGTGCAGTAATTGCAGAACAGTCTTTAAAACTTTTAGGCAAGACTTGTCACTTAGATTTTATAAATTGTAGAAGTCAGTTTTATAACAATACCGCAAATATGTTGGAAGTATACAGAGGGATGCAAGCAATAATGTATAATCCCAATGAGCATGCGATATATATACCACATGCTACGCATTTGTTGAACTTAGTTGGACTAACTTCTGAACAATGCTGCTTGTTTGCAGTTAATTTTTTTTCTATCGTGCAACTATTGTATACAAATTTTGTGAACGAAAAAGTACTCAAATCATTATCAAAAATACAAATGGAGGCTCACGCAAATGCCACCAAAGCTGTTCTCAATTCTTTTAAAGTAATTTTGACAGCAATGAATGAGATTGCTGAAGATCCCTCTCAAAAAAGTGAAACCAGGCATGAAGCTGAATGTATTGCAAATAAAATGGGAACTTTTGAATTTGTCTTCATGCTCGTATTGTGGAGCAATATTTTAATTAGTTTTCGATTGACAAGCAAAGCACTTTAGTCAGATGATATTCTCATCGTTAGAAAGTATGTTAGACAAAATGAGAGACAATTTTGATGAATTTGAAAACACAGCAAAATCAATCTTGTCAGTTATTGATTATGCAAATATTACAATGCAAATTTGTCTAAAAAGAAGAACTTCTAAAGAACTACATGCCCTGTACATGATTTTTTATTTTTTTTTTATTTTTTTGAGTTTTTGACAAAAAGGTTGAAATGAAGTGTCCTTGAATAAATGGTTGTCAGTCATCTAATATATGTAAAAAGGCACTATAATATTCTTACCTTGTGCCACAAACAGTCTTCTAGATAAAGAGCAAAAGGTCATTTTTTCCTTGAGAGAATAGACAACAAAAATGGACAACAAGAACATATAATCAACAAATTCTTTGCGCTATATCTAAAAGTAATTTTTTTATTACTTCTATGCATTACTACTTCTTTTTGAAAAAGAAGTAGTAATGCATAATTAGTAGTAATGCATAATTAGTAAATGCCAAGATTAAAGCTTCTTGAGCAACTTCTACTGCTTTCCATGTTTCTGTACAAACACATTTTGTAGTGCTTCAATAAAAAGCAACACCATCTAACTCCAAATCAAGTGCCTATACCACTTCAACAATAAACAAGAAACCTTGATCTGTTAGACAAACTTGATCCAGTGCAGTTTTTTTATAATTACCAGTTTCTTTAATTTGTTGTAAATGATGGCAATAATGGGAAAATAATCCATCCAAATGGATGATGGGGTGTCAAAACCATCATCAGAAAGAGGAATAGAAGGATGAGTTTTTGGTTGATGAGTTGAGACACAGACAACTGGCGAGTTAATTAAAGCTTGGTTAAAAACTATTTAAAAACTTACTTTTGCGCAAAAAAAACGTAGCAAGTATATTGCTTACTTTTACATTAAAATTTAAAGTTTATAAAGATATACAAATACCTGATTTTCTCTTTTTCCTTTTATAATACAGTAACAAGTTTTTTTCAAACAAAGTAAATCTGAGCGAATGGTCTAAAAAAAAATTTAGACAAGGTCATTTATTGAGTAACTCTTGGATATTCTAATTGATAAGGAAAACATTAACATAATCATAAAATTTATTTGCCTGCAAAAAGAAAAAAATTAAACATTGAACTTACACTGTATTACCTTCAAAATTCATTTTCAAACTTACCTTCTTTTCTTTTTTAAAATTTAAGCAAAAAGCATTAAATGACAAAAAAACAATCAGATAAAAAAGAGAAATTCATTTGTTTGTTTTTTTTTAACTTTTGAAAATGAATTTTTAATATTTATTACATAAAAATTCTCACTCATTTGTATTTACCACATTTTAAAAAGCATCAAAACATTTTTTTTTTAATTTTTTTGTTTTGTTTTTTACAAATGATAATTATTATTTTTATTGTTTATTTGTTTTTTTAATATTCTGAATTTACATACATTGCTCATTTTTTAGATTTATGTTTAATATTACCCAAAAAAAGAAATTTATTTTGAAAAATCCATACAAATTACCATAAAAATTATAACTATTTTTTAACTAAAAATATTTTAAGTGGTTTGTTCTGTAAAAAGGTTATTAACTAAACAGTAATTTCAAAAATTTATTTTTTAACAAGGTTGTGACAGTTAAACTTATACAAGTTAAAATTTAAATTAATAAGTAAAACTAAAATTAATAAGACTAAAAATAATTTTCTATGTTTTAACAAAAATTTTAAGAATTTAACTTTAAGAAAATAGTAAACATTCCATTCTATTATTTAGTGAATTAGCAGTTAAACTTTAAAACTTTCCATTAATTGTTTTTTTACAAAACAAAAACTTGCTTATTTAAACTGGGTGACATTTTACGAAACATAAAGCCAGAGAAACTTATCTTAAAAACTAGCATAATTGCTTTCAGAATAAGTTTGAAAAACTTATCATTTAAAGTTTATTTAAAGACATTAAAAAAAAAAACTACATTTAAGTCATATTAAGATGCTATGGCTTATGTTTTTTTTTAATGAAAACTCAAAACGGACATTACTTAATCTTTTTTATTGTTATTTTAAAAAGATTTCACTTTTTTTAGTTAGGACGTTTTAAATATACAAGGTTAATAATAAAGAAATTTACCTAGAGTATTTTTTGAGCCCTTATAAAATCTAAATAAATTGCCAACAAGTAAATTAAGCAAACTCTTAACAATTTATTATCTGTTGCACAGCATACTTTTATAATGCATATTATAAATAGTATCTAGCAAAATGGATTAGTCAAACCAAAAATTGAGAATACTTGTGACAAACAATTACTGTCTGAGATAAAATATGAGGGCAGGGGATCGCAAAGAGAAACAACAATATTTGTCAATTGAGGCTTAAAAATACAGGATGACAGAGTGGTTGATGAAGCTGACTGAAGTTGTCAGTGTTAATTATGGAGCAATGTATTATAGAAGTATTACTATATAGAAGTATTATGTATTATGTCAGTTGCATTATTTTTTTTCCTTCTCTATAAACAATCTCATAATTGTAACACAATAATTCAATTGCAGACACCTGTTTTAAGTTATTTTTTGCTAAAAGTTTAAGAGCTTGTAGATTCATGTCCAATCTATTTCCTTGCTGTTTTTTACATGTTGCTAACTTTATTTGATGGCTTAATGTAAACAGATTGTTATGGCTGGTTGGTAATTTAAATGTTCAATTGTTACCTATAAAATGTCAGGCAACACAAAATTTGTGAAGAATTTTAGCTTGCTAAGGTCTTGAGGGAGTTTATTAAGATAATACTTAAATATTTGAATAATTTTGTAGCAGAAGACAAATTATGTAATGCATAAAATAAGAAATATTTTGGCTTACTGCTCAATCTTTTTAATTTGAGTTAACAAAGATTAGAAAATTGAAACACTTGTACTGAGAATGATAACAATTCTTATAAGTTTTTCTAATTTAAAATAAACAAAGTAAATAAATCACAACGATTGTGTCTTGTTGTATTACATCTATCCATATGAATATTTGTATTTTATGTATCTACTCACTTACTTATAAAATTTCTTATAATAAAGGTTTGAAAGGTATTAAAAACTATCATCTTACATGCAGATTACTTTTAAGAACTTGGTGACTCTAACTCCTAAAACTTTTCGACAGACGCGTATTTCAGGCAAACTCTTTTTAGAAAATTTTAGTAAAATTGATTTCAATTATTTAACTGTTTAATGATTGTTAAAGCTAATGTACATATTATTTAAACTTTTCGGCCTGCCCAAGTTTTTCTTGCTTCGTTTAACCACAAACTGTAGTAAAAATTTTGGATTTGGCACAAAAAAGAAGTTTTTTCTTTCTATCATGCTATAATTTATATATTTTTTAAAATTATTATAAATATAGCCAGATAGATTCATATTGTTGATTTTTTAAACCAGTCTTACCGCAAAATTTAAGAAAGAGGCAAGCTTCCACATTTTAATGTACTAAACCAACAAAATATCATTTCGATACTTTTGGATTTATTGATTTAATGTAAAACTTTTCAAAAGGTACAATATAGTAAACTTATATAGTAGCACTCTTTGGCTCACTATTGTGTAAATTTTGTTAATAACAAGTGTTAAACACGAGGTTTATGCTATGTTGTTTTTAACAGAAGATTTGAATATCCCGGTACTTTAATGTACCCGAATACAATTTATTACCGTTACTAATTAATGAACTGCGTACGGGTAGAAAAAAAATATTGTTTATAGTTTAGTTTATTTTAGTGATTCGAAAATATTTACAACAATCCGAAATAAATTAATAGACTTTTGAAAAATCATAAATGTTCGCTATTTTTAAATTACCAACGAATATGTGCTGTATCTGGCAACTCTATACTAACAGTCTTAAGATACTCGTGCACGTCTGCGACTAAGGACACGCGGTTAAGGTTTTTTTTGGTTCGGTTTTTTTTAAAACCTTCTCTGAAATTACAGAAGTTGTTGTATACAAAGATATTTTCATGCATAATTTGATAAAATTGGGTATTGCAACTTCATAATTTCCACCACTCTAAAATATTTATTGTTACTTCAGCTGTTTCGGCTGCTAAATTATGATCAATTTCTAAAACCAATTTAGTCATCGTTGAAGCACTGCACGCTGAAATGTCTTTTTCCAAGCAGTTTGTGGTGATTATAACCATTGCGACCGTGGCGCAATGGTTACAGCGCTTGCTTTATAAGCAGAATATTAAGGTTCGAAACGAGTTCTGGACATATTTTCGCGTCACGGTAAGGAAGGAGGTGTGAACTTCCTGGTTAAACGCACTTCCGCTGTGCTTTGTGACAATACCGTTAGGTCTTCTTGGGGCACCTATAAATAAAAAAATTTAAAAATATAAAAAAATAATAAAAATTAACTTTAAAATTTTCATCACTTCTTTGTCTGTTTTGCTGCTACTCGTTGAAGCTTTTTCATATTTTTTATCTTTTTCCTGAATCAATATTGCTTCTTTTATTTCATCATATTTTTTATATTCAATCAAACGCAGGTCTTTGTAACGTGGGTCTAAAAAATTTGCAAAACAATCAGCTGTTCAGCACCATTAAGAGGATAATTCGGCTGAGAAGATTAATGAAACGTTGTAAAGTTTTTCAAGAAATAGAATCCTGTATTCTAATGCCTTCCATCAATCATTTGAGGGACATGACCTTTCAAACTCATCATTGTTTTATGCAAGTCTTTTGATTGTATCTTTGACTTCAAGAACTGACTTTATGCGCATATAATTGGAATTCCATTGTGTTGTACATGGAACAATCAATTTCATGGGCTTAATTCCAAGTTCTTCACAAGCATCTTGAAGCTAGGTTGTAGAGAGTACACTTCAATGTGTGCGTGATGCTAAATCTGTACAGTTGTTTATTGCTTAAGAAATTTCAATTAAATTTTTGATTGCTCTAAGAATAACTAGCTGGATTGTGTGATCATTGCAGCGCAATTCTGAATTAATTTCATCACTTTCTTTAGAAGCTAAAACAAGGTTGCTTCCATTGTCATTGTCATTAATGCAGACTCGATGGACTTCTTCATTTAAGTTTAAATTAGCAATAAAAGAATCCAGGTTTACTTCAGCAGCAACCCCAGTGTGTCTACCAGTAAATGGTGCGCAAGCAATAAAAAAACTTTCTAAATAAAAGTCTGAACTAATGTAGTGGATTGTAAGACTCATTTAGGAATCATTGTTTTGACTTGTCTAGAGATCTGTATTAAAACTAACTCCAGTTACTTCTGGAAAATCTTTGAGAAATTTTATTTGCAACCCATTCTTTACCTTTTCATACAACATAGGATGTTTTTGAGGTCTAAATGTTGATGCAGATTTTACTGTAAACTTGCAATTTACTTCAAAATTTTGTGTTCCTCCATTGTCTAATTTGACAATGGAGGAACAAAAGATGCATTACAAAAAACCAAATTTTTGGTTTTTTGTAATGCATCTTTCAATTGTAGTTGTTTTTATCTCTTTTTCTTTAAGTTTTTGTTTAATAAGTATCTCGGTAGTTTTTAAAACACGTTCTTTCCAAGATGCTTCATGTTTAGTTTTGATGTGGCTGGTTATTGTTAAAGTACTGTCACAGTTTATTTTGTAAGATTTAAAGTAAATTTTACATTTTGCTTAATTTTGAAAAAGTATAATATTAGATTACAACATAAATAAGTTTAACTTATAAATTTTTCAAAATCGTTCAAAAGTATTGCAGTTATTTTTTAGAACATTATTAGCTACAATTCAAATATTAAATTATTTTACGTCTTGCATGCTCCTAAAGGCAATAATATTTAAACAACAAATTTTTTTTGATTAAATCAGTTTTATTATTTAAAAAATGAAAACAATTTAAAAAACAAGGTTTTCAAAATAACAATGTTATAAGGTAAATATTATACACAATATTAGAAATTTAAATAAAATAAAATACAGCTTTTTAGAAAAAGCTTATACTATACTAAAATTTTTTTTTTGTTTACATTTTTGTCGTTGTTTACAAAGACAAACAAATAGGGATTCTGAAAGAAGACCATAATGATCTTATCATCAGAACCTTTTACAAGTTTTTAACATCAATACAATAATGAGACTAAAAAGTTATAATAAATCGTGATAAAAATTGGAAATATAAATCAAGCCACTAATGTTAGAAATAAGTTGGTGTTGTCGGCAAACATGATAATCATTAAATTTAAGGCTTAATTTAAATCATTTATACAGATTAAGAACAAAAGTGGCCCCAAGATAGAATCTTGGGGAACACCACAGAAAATATTTAATAGATGGCTTCAATTATAGTTGTTAATAAAAACAAATTGTTTGCGGTTTGAAAGTAACTTCGAAGCCATCTATAGTTATATAGTTTAATCCGTATTTTTTAGTTTTTCAAGCAGGATTTTATGGTCGACAGTATCAAAAGCCTTCGACAAGTCAATAAAAACACCTAATGTAAATTGGGATCTTTGAAAAAAATTTGAGATTTTTTGTACAATTTGGATGATTGCATTTTCAGTGGAATTTTTTTTTTTTAAACCAAATTGATTATTATATAAAAAATTATTTGAAACAAGATAATTGTATACTCTATTGTATATAATACGCTCAAAGATTTTTGAAAAGCTAGAAAGGATAGATATAGGGGGATAGTTACTGATATTGCAAGAGTCTCCTTCTTTCAAAATAGGAATAACTTTTGCAATTTTTATTTGATTAGGAAAAATTTCTTGGTGGACAGATGATTTATAAACTTTAAAAAGAATATCTTTGAGATGATCAAAACACTCGATAATTATGCCACCATTAATTCCATCAGCTCCGATAGATTTTTTTTTTTTAGTGATTTAAAGGCAATTTCGAATTTATCAAGAAATAATTCTGAGTATATATCTTTGGAACAGTTGTAATCATCCATTGGTACCAAGAAATCATTAAAGGCGGCTGGGGTAAAGAGAACTTTATTAGCTAATTTAGGGCTGATTTCGATAAAGTATTTATTAAATTCGTTAGATTCATGATTCGTTTGATTCATGAATACATTTGTTATCAACTATAATTATTTTGGGTAGATATCCTGAGCATGTTTTTTGATTGCCAGTAATTTTTTTTTTATTACTTGCCTAGTGCGCTTAGAATTTTGTATAAACTCAAAAATTTTGTATTAGGGTAAAGCGGCCTAAATCTGGCCGCGTCCTTATTCTGGCCGATTTTCAGAAGCACTAAAATATTTGATGGAGGATGGAATTGGTCTGTTTTAAATAAAAAAATATATTAATTTAACCTTGTAATTTTGAAATATTTACTTTAAATTCTTATATCGACTTGCTAATACTTCAGTAACATTTTAAAAGCATTTCATAAGTTTTATGTTTCCGTAAGCTCGATGTTTGCAATTTTCAAACTTGTAATGATTACATTCAAATGTAATGCGTTTGTAAATCGCTTGAACTGAAAGTAATATTGGCATATAATTTTGTTAAAACTGTATATGTATTTATGCGTATTTTGTATATTGTTAAATAATTCTTTTTTATTTGAAAATTTATATGTACAATATTAAAGTATAATTTTTAGCGATTGTCCTATATCTGGCCAATGATTAGTCTCAATTCTGGCCATATATATGTACAATAACTTTATATAATTTTTATTTAATTTATATATATATATATATATATATATATATATATATATATATGTATATAATATATATGTGTATATATATATCATATATATGGTATGTTACATGAAATCATTTCATGTAACATATATATTACATACATATATATATATATACATATATTATGTTATAATATATGTATATATATAATATATAAATACATATATATAAATATATATATATATATATATATATGTGTATACATATATGTATATAATATATATGTTACATGAAATAATTTCATGTAACATACCATATATATGATATATATACACATATATATTATATACATATATATATATATATATATTATATACATATATATATATATATATATATATATATATATATATATATATATATATATATATATATATATATACATATATATTTATGAAATATGATATATTATGATAATATGAAATATGAAAAACCATTTAAGCCACACCAAGTGTGAAATCATGAACGTTAAACTAAATATTATATATATAAATTTATATATATATATATATATATATATATATATATATATATATATATATATATATATATATATATATATATATGTTACATATAAACATAAACATATACTATTATAAATATTATATTATTGCTGTTAATAATATAATCTTACATATACAGTAAGATAAATGTAAAAAACAGACAGCATTAGCCACAAGAATCATAATAATTTTATTTTTTTCAATTTTCTTTAGAATGGAAAAAATGAAGAAAAATAAAATAGTTAAAAATAATTCAAAGAAAATCAAAGTGCCTAGAAGTAAACGTGGAAAACACTGTCTATGGAATAATGCATCTATGATATCAGCAGTTGAAGCTGTAAGAAATGGATTTTCACAGAGAGCTGCTTGTAAAACTTTTGGCCTTCCAAGAAGTTCATTACAAGTTCGACTATCTGGAGTAACCGAAATTGGAGCCAAACCCGGACATCCAACTACTCTAACT